TAATGATAATATGTATATTTGGTTTATGTGTGAGTGGGTTGTAATTATTGATTCCATTAAGAAGATGTTTCTAGTCTCACTAGGAGTTATCTGTCTAGATAAGATAATCAACATGTTACCTTATCATATAGCAAAGCGATTTTCTACCTTCTTAAAATGTATTTTAAGTTAAACAAATATAATACCGGGTTGTATAATCCCTAGCTAATAATAAACAATAAAAGTAATATTATTATTATAATTAAAGACTTGACAGCGCTATAGCGTTCTACACTAGTGCGAGCAAGATACTCTTTAATGCATTAGAATAATGCATAAGCTACTTTATTGCCGCGAAAATCGATAGATCTACTTAAAATATACTAGATACTAGATTTGGACTTATAAAAAAATACGGTTTTAATGAAGAAATTTATAGTTGGAAAGTGTATTAGCCAGCTAAGACGTTGCCAAGAAGACGTGCTTAAAGCCATAGTGTTGGAGGGGGGCGGCTTTAACCTAAGATGGACTCGATAAGAAAAACACGGGGTGTTACGCGACGTGCGTCGATCTGTTTATACAAACTCTTTAACCTGGAATGCTCACTTCTTATAATCCCCAAAAGTATGCCTCATTTTTCGATTAACGCACAGCGATAACTTCCGTTAAAGATTATGGAAATCCTCAATCAAAAGAACGTAAACAAGGTGGGCTCTTTCCACCTGCCGGCTGCCTGTTTACCCCACGTAACTATTAAACGAAAAGCCCGTAGATTACACTCCACTATCTGACCAAGATAACAAACGGAAGCCGCAGAAAACAGGAATGCAGTCAAGTGTTAAAATGCCCATTTAATGATACCTACAATTAAGCCCACTCAGGCCGACTTACAGGCGATTAAGGGGTCTTTCGAGTGCGCCACCTCCTACTGTAATCGATAGGTGACAGAGGCAACAACAAGTGATTCATGACTCGTGCTCCCTTACAGCGGATTCCATTGGATTCCATGGGATTCCATCAGATTTCAGGTATTACAAGCATGCCTTTCAGCTGCGACCACACTCGAGAGTTCAACCGCAAATGGCGCAATTGAAAAGGCAATCAGCAGATAAATGTCCATCTAGTTCCAAAAAAAAAGAATTATCTGATTAATTTGAATGTGCCTCCCGGGCGGCGATCTTATCGCGCGCCGATAAGTGGGCCACCTTGAGACGCGATCGCACCTATAAAAGAGCCCCTCCACGCACTGGCCAGCCATCAGTTGGGGACACTCTACTGCAACATGAAGACTTTCCTGATTCTGGCACTCTGTGCTTTGGCCGGTGAGTCCTCTAACCAATCCCTTAGAACCTTCCAATTACTAATAGTAATCCCCTCCAGCTTCGGCCTATCCTCTGGCGGAATCCGAGCGCGTCAATGGGGAGAACGGCTGGTACGTTCCCCAGGAGGACGGCTCCTTCGAGTGGGTGGACATGGATGTCGCCGAGAAGTGGATGGAGGAAGCTGAGATGCTGGAAAGCCGTGGCCTGACAACCGTGCCCGTCAAGTTCTACCTGTACACCTCCTCTAATCCCACCAAGGGCAAGAAGATCACCACCACCACCAAGTCGGTGGATGCCTCCAACTTCAATGCCGCTCATCCCACCCGCTTCGTGATCCACGGCTGGACCCAGAGCTACACCGCCAGCATGAACAAGGACATCCGCAGTGCCTGGCTCTCCAAGGGAGACTACAACGTGATCGTCGTCGACTGGGCCCGTGCCCGTTCCGTGGACTACGCCACCTCTGTCATGGCCGTCGGCTCCACCGGCAAGAAGGTCGCTAAAATGATCAACTTCCTGGTTGACAACTACGGCATGGATTTGGGTAACCTTTACGTGATTGGTCACAGCCTGGGCGCCCACGTCGCTGGCTATGCTGGCAAGAACACCAACGGACAGGTTCACACCATTGTGGGTCTGGACCCTGCCCTTCCCCTCTTCAGCTACAACAAGCCCAACAAGCGCCTAAACTCCGAGGATGCCTACTATGTGGAGTCCATTCAGACCAACGGCGGAAACCTCGGTTTCCTGCAGCCCATCGGCAAGGGTGCCTTTTACCCCAACGGCGGAAAGACCCAGCCCGGCTGCACTCTGGACGTGACTGGTGCCTGCTCCCACGGTCGCTCCACCACCTACTATGCCGAGGCTGTGGCCGAGGACAACTTTGCAAGCATAAAGTGTGGCGACTACCAGGAGGCCGTGGCCAACGAGTGCGGTTCCACCTACAGCGGTGTCCGCATGGGCGCTGATACCAACGCCTACATGGTGGCCGGCGACTTCTACGTTCCAGTGAACTCCAAGGCGCCCTTCGGCGTGATTAACTAACTGATCAAAAAAAATAAATCAATTGATAAACATACTGGTTACGGTTTATAACTTGGGGTTAAATTTGCTCGTTTTAAGGTACATATATAGCTTATAATTTCTGTGCAACTCTTTCGAGTGGTTAGAATATTAACCCCTCTACAAGAAGACACATAAATAACACATAGTAATAATTCGCAAGTGCTTAGCCAGCATCCCAATAAATCTATTTAAATAACGTCAACAAAAGAACAATTGAGATTTATGGTATCATCCATCAAAAGAAGGCTAGACAATACTGTGATATTCCATTCCCATTAAAAACCCTCTGAATTGTGACTTCTAAATACCCCCTCGAACCACAAGACCTTGACTAACTACAACGTAAAATAAATTTCGTATTTGTCACCCGGCGGAAAATGAGGTCAGGAATCGCCTTGTATCGTTTCTTCAATGAACTTCTTTATCGGATCAAGCCGGGCCATAATAAACCTTCGCCTTGCCCAGCCAAGAGAGCTATAAATTAAAGCGAATCAGCCAGCCACTCGGGCAGACTTCGTCATTAGCAGTTTATTGACATTTATTACTGCAATTGACCACACTCTTGGATTTCTTTGGCTGTATAGTCTAGTTCTTTGACATATTGTCAAAAAGGTTTTAAGGGAGTCGCTAATAATCTATCGAGATTTTAATTTTTTTAATAACTAATAAATATTTAAAGTTTACGAGGTACTTTTCCCCATAAGTTCAGGATCACGACCCTGAACCTTATCTACCTTTTAGATGCAAGTGCCACTGGCGGCTCCTTAAGTTCCCCGCTTATCAACGGCGCTGGAGAAAAGCGTGTGCTATCAGAGTACCCAAAGTACCCAAAGTACCCCAAGTACCCGGAGTTTTTGTGTTCTAATCACAGTATCGGTCCTATCTCATCACCTGCCCACTGCTCACCGCTCAAGTGTTTACTGATATTAAAAGGTGATTACTTTCGTGCTATAAAAGGCGCCCCCAACCGACTCTGCACACCACACAATTGTGCGAGACCCCAAGATGAAGGTGTTTATTGTCCTAGCAGCTTTATTGGCAGCAGGTGAGTGGTGGCTCAACGATTGACACTCTGATCCTAACCCTTAAGGACCTCTCTTCCAGTGAGCTCTCTCCCCATTGAGGAGGAGCGCGTGAATGGCGTGAATGGCTGGTTCATCCCCAAGCTTGACGGCAGCTTTGAGTGGATGGAGATGCAGGATGCCGAGGAGCTGATGGCCAACGGCGCCCAGATGGAGGGCCGCATCAGCACCAACGCCGTCAACTTCTACCTGTACACCAAGTCGAACCCCACCAGCGGCAAGGAGATCAAGGCCAAGTCCGGCTCCGTCGAGGCCTCCCACTTCAACAAGGATCACGGCACCCGTTTCGTGATCCACGGCTGGACCCAGAAGTACACCGATGACATGAACACCAGGATCACCAAGGCCTGGCTGTCCAAGGGCGACTACAATGTGATCGTTGTCGACTGGGCCCGTGCACGTTCCGTGGACTATGCCTCCTCTGTCCTGGCCGTTCCCGGAGCCGGTGGCAAGGTCGGTGAGATGATCAAGTACCTGCACGACAGCCACGGCATGTCCTACGACAGCCTGGAGGTCATTGGCCACAGCCTGGGAGCCCATGTGGCCGGTTATGCCGGTAAGAAGGTGGGCGACCGGAAGATTCACACCATTGTGGGTCTGGACCCCGCCCTGCCCCTCTTCAGCTACGACAAGCCCAACAAGCGTCTGTCCACCGATGATGCCCACTATGTAGAGTCTATCCAGACCAACGGCGGAAAGCTGGGCTTCCTGAAGCCCATTGGCAAGGGAGCCTTCTACCCCAATGGCGGCAAGAGCCAGCCCGGCTGCGGACTGGACGCCACCGGCTCCTGCTCCCACGGACGCTCGGTGCTCTATTACGCCGAGGCCATCAGCGAGGACAATTTCGGAACCATCAAGTGCGAGGACTACGAGAAGGCCGTGGCCAAGGAGTGCGGCTCTCACTACAGCAGCGTCCGCATGGGAGCCATCACCAATGCCTACATGGTCGACGGTGACTTCTATGTGCCCGTGAACAGCAAGGCTCCTTATGGCAAGATCGAATAGAAAGCTTTGCCTGCTACTATTCGTTTTCTAAATAAAATACACAAATGAATACTCCAAAAGAATGTATATTCTTGAGGGTTTTAGAGGTGGGGAAGGGGATAATTCCTTTAAGGGAAAGCTACACTGTGGTCTAGTTCTTAAAGAAGTCCTTCTGCAAGGGCTTAATTCTTAAAATATTTCATCCAATTACGTTAAAGATTATTTATTGTACAATGTGAATGACTTTTCTACTTCTTATCTCCCTGGCTACCTCCCACTCAGCCCAAAACAACCTCCCATCGACATTAAAGAAGTGCTTACGTACTTAAAATCTAAAGTACTTTTGGGATTTGACAAGCACTTGAGCAGTCAAGAAGCTATCGTATCTATCACATAGATTAAGAGTTGGATTTAGGAGTTTCCTTAGATAAGCTTAATATTTAGCGACATTTTGCAGATAAGGAACGCTATCAGCTTATAGATTTAAAATAATAGATTATAGATTATAGATAATGAATAGACTTACAGCCTATATAAGTTCAGTAAATCGCCCGGTTTAGACCATAATCGGCTGAGATATGAAGGAGTTTGTGGTTCTAGCAGTCTTACTGGTGGCAGGTGAGTTCTCCCATAAAAGAAAAATAAAGGTGATTCAATCTAAAAAAAATATCCCTAAAATCCTAGTGAGTGCTCTTCCCATTGAAGAACGCATCAATGGCGAAAATGGCTGGCTTGTTCCCCAGGCAGATGGCAGTTTCCAGTGGATTGATTTGAATGAAGCTGAAGCACTCCTAGAAAATAGCCCAGCCATCGAAGGACGTTCCAACGAAGTCACTTTCTATCTCTACACCAAGCAGAACCCTCTTGTGGGCAAAGAAATCACTGCCGAGAAGGCCTCCATCGAGGACTCCCACTTCAACAAGAACCATGGCACTCGCTTCGTGATCCATGGCTGGGGCGGACGATACACCGATAGGATGAACACCAGAATAACCAGCGCGTGGCTCTCAAAGGGAGAATATAACGTGATCGTGGTCAACTGGGCCCGTGCCATTTCCATGGACTACGCCTCATCTGTTCTGGCTGTTCCCGGAGCCGGAGCCAAGGTCGGCGAGATGATCAAGTATCTGCATGAAAATCACGGCATGTCCTTGGAGAGCCTGGTCGTCATAGGACACAGTTTGGGTGCACACGTAGCCGGATATGCTGGCAAGACAGTGGGTGACCAGAGAGTCCACACCATCATCGGTCTCGATCCCGCCCTGCCTTTATTCAGCTACGACAAGCCTGACAAGCGACTGTCCGCCGATGATGCCTTCTACGTGGAGTCTATCCAGACGAATGGAGGATTGAAGGGATTCCTCAAGCCCATTGGCAACGGTGCCTTTTACCCGAATGGCGGCAAGAAGCAGCCAGGATGCGGCACTGATCTTGATGGCACCTGCTCTCATGGCCGATCTGTGACCTACTATGTGGAGGCTGTATCCGAGGATAACTTTGGAAGCATCCGATGCCATGATTATGAGGCAGCGGTGGCCAATGAATGCGGTTCTACCTACAGCGGCGTTCGCATGGGAGCCGTTACCAATGCTTACATGGTGGCTGGTGACTTTTACGTTCCGGTGAACAGCGAGGCTCCCTTCGGCAAGATTGAATAAAAAACTTGACATTGATAAATAAAGAAAACAACGTGAGAAGTTTAACAACATGAATAAGATATGTAAAATCTGTTTTTTATTATTTATTTTAGCATGCTAGCTTGATATTCTCTTGATTATTAATTATGACTTTGTAAATATTAATAATGAAGAACTTACGGCTCTTACTTCAAGTCGAATTTAATTATCTCTTAGTTAACTGATACTCGGCAACAATTTAGCAGCCACTATCATTGGGCTCAAGTACTCTAAACTAAAGTATACTGGGTTTTTCGAACCTATTCAACAATCAATAGCCTAAAATATAGATTAAGCTTTAAGTTATATATACTTCTCTCGTATGATTTGGAAACCTTAAAACCCGCTTTTTTTGAATCCCAATGGGGTTCCCTAGAATTATCAATTACCAAAAAAGCAAATACTCAAGTGCTTCCTTCTCGGGCTATATAAGCTCTGTGTAAACAGCTCCTAGAGACCATAATTACCCGAGATACCAATATGCAAGTGTTTATAGTTCTAGCTACTTTGCTCTTAGCAGGTAAAATTAAATAAATTCAAAATAATTAAGCAACAATTAAAGCTAAAATTATTAATTTTCAGCAAATGCACTTCCGATTGAGGAACGCATCAATGGAGAAAATGGTTGGCTTGTCCCTCAAGAAGACGGTGGTTTCCAGTGGATGGACTTGCAAGAGGCTGAGGATCTCCTCGAAAACAGCAAACCCATCGAAGGTCGTTCCAATGACGTTACCTTCTACCTGTACACCAAGCACAATCCCACCGAGGGCAAGGAGATCAGAGCCGAAAGGGCCTCGATCGATGACTCCCACTTCGACAAGAACCATGGCACTCGCTTTGTGATCCATGGCTGGAAGGGACGCTACACTGATGCCATGAACAAGCAGATCACCAAGGCCTGGCTCTCCCGGGGAGACTTTAACGTAATCGTGGTCAACTGGGCCCGTGCCATTTCCGTGGAGTATGCCTCATCCGTGATGGCCGTTCCCGGAGCTGGAATCAAGGTGGGCGAGATGATCGATTACCTCCATGAGCACCACGAGATGTCGTTGGACAGCCTCCAGGTGATTGGCCACAGCCTGGGAGCCCATGTGGCTGGTTATGCCGGTAAAAAGGTGGGCGACCGGAGGATTCACACCATTGTGGGCCTGGATCCCGCTATGCCTCTCTTCAGCTACGACAAACCCAGCAAGCGTCTCTCCACCGAAGACGCCTTTTATGTGGAGTCCATTCAGACCAACGGCGGCAAACTGGGCTTCCTCAAGCCAATCGGCAAGGGTTCCTTTTACCCGAATGGTGGCAAGAAGCAGCCGGGCTGTGGGGTGGATGTCACGGGATCCTGCTCCCACCAGCGATCTGTCACCTACTATGTGGAGGCCGTCACCAAGGATAACTTTGGGAGCATCAAGTGCGAGGACTACGAGCGGGCAGTGGCCAAGGAGTGCGGCTCCAACTACAGCAGCGTCCGCATGGGTGCCGATACCAATGCATACATGGTCGGGGGCGACTTTTACGTGCCCGTGAACTCGAAGGCTCCCTTCGGCAAGATTGAATAGAAGGGGTGGGTCTCTCATCGATGAAATATATGTACATATATCAAAGCGAAAATAAGTCTATTTGTGTCAGTCTATCTGCATCGCGATAGGGGTCTCAGGGGGTTCTAATCAAACCCCAAGTGGCTCTTCGCACGTCAGTGGATGAGGACGGGCCCATCCCATCCTGTTTTTGGCAGGCGAGTCGCCATTCATGGACAGTCGCCATTCATTTCGAGCAAGTCACGAGCCCGATCACGAGATTGACGATTGATTGATCTGAAGGCTTTATATATATGATACTTTGTTTATATGAAAAGTAAAGCTGATTAAATATTTAATTTAAATTTGTATGTCTAATGGGTTTGACCAAAAACAAAACTCTTTAAATATTTTTAGAATAGTCAAGATAAGAGGTCCTTTCATCACACGTACAGCTGATTGTTAAGGGTATTTCAGTGATGAATTTTGATTATTTATTTGAATAAATTTTGTATTATAATAATATTTGGAAAAGCATGAGCTCACTATTTATGATTAGACCCGTTAGCAAGTCACTGAGGTATGCTAATAAGTTCGTTAATCGGGCATCTCATCATAAGATTAACATAATATTTTATTTAAATACCTCCCCAGGTGTGTTGGTACTTAGAGATTAATACCTAAGGACTTGAGTCAATAAATAATAAGACTAGAAAAGCAAAGCAACAAAAAAACCTTGTCAATCTGCTTTTAAACTGTTTTCGACATTATTAATTTTATATTCTGTCCTGATGTTATGACAAAGGCAATTTTTCGATTAGAATTTGACAGATTGATTGACTATCTAAGCACACGAAGACCATGATAAAGACACACGTCAGCTACCGTTTGGCCTATCTGGAACGTGAACTACTTACGCTCAAAGGGCCTACACGCGGCTACTAAATAAATCAGTTCACCAAATTAAAACTAAATGGACATATTACCAACGACCGATTGCCGGAACACATGTTCCGCTCTTCGAACCCGCGATAACCACCTCTACTGCCTCCTTATCAGGATGCACTGGTATTGAGTGGCGTCCAATCTCGAGTGGAGTGCTCCTAAATGTCTGAGATTCGGATCGGACCATCATCGGACGAGGCCCATCCATATAAATGAGCCCTCGGGCCACCCACAACTGTTAGTTGAAGTTGACTTTGGCGCAATGATGAAACTGATTTTGGCTTTGGCTCTCTGCGTCCTAGCGGGTAAGTAGAGCACAATTTTAGGAAACTATTTTTGGAACATCCATATATATCAGAAAAAGATAGAATAAATATACAAGTTACAGCTCTCCTTACTTACAGTTAACGCCGTCGAGATTCGTGAGAACGGTGAGAATGGCTGGTATGTGCCCAAGGCCGATGGCAGCATGGAGTGGATGGACCGTGATGTGGCCGAGGCCTTTTTGGAGGACCAAAGCAGCATGGAGGGACGCAACGTCCTGAACCCCGTGACCTTCTACCTGTACACCCAGTCGAACCGCAACGATCCCCAGGTGATCACTGCCTCGACCTCCTCGATCTCAGGCTCCCACTTCAACCCCAACAACCCCACCCGTATCACCATCCACGGCTGGTCCTCCAGCAAGGATGAGTTCATCAACTACGGTGTTCGCGATGCCTGGTTCACCCACGGAAACATGAACATGATTGCCGTCGACTGGGGACGTGCCCGTTCCGTGGACTATGCCTCCTCCGTGGTGGCTGTTCCCGGTGTCGGAGAGCAGGTCGCCGCCCTGATTAACCATCTGCGCACCAACCACGGCTTGAACCTGGATAACACCATGATTATTGGTCACAGCCTGGGCGCCCATGTCTCTGGCTATGCCGGCAAGAACGTGAAGAATGGACAGGTGCACACCATCATCGGTCTGGACCCTGCCCTCCCCCTCTTCAGCTACGATACCCCCAACAAGCGCCTTAGCTCCACCGATGCCTACTACGTGGAGTCCATCCAGACCAACGGCGGAACTCTGGGATTCCTGAAGCCCATCGGCAAGGGAGCCTTCTACCCGAACGGCGGCAAGAGCCAGCCCGGCTGCGGCGTCGACCTGACCGGATCCTGCGCCCACAGCCGATCGGTGATCTACTACGCCGAGGCCGTTACCGAGAACAACTTCCCCACTATGAGGTGCGGCGACTACGAGTCGGCGGTGTCCAAGGAGTGCGGCAGCTCTTACAGCACCGTCAAGATGGGAGCCACCACCAATGCCTACATGGTGGCCGGCGACTACTACGTTCCCGTCCGCAGCGATGCTCCCTATGGCATGGGCAACTAAGATCCCTTACGCTTTTTAATCTAATAAATTGAGTGAAAGCTCTGTGAGCGAAAGCAGTAACCATTAGCATTATAGCTTTGTCGAGTTTGGAGGGTTATGCCTGTATGACACCTTAATGGGTAAAAATTGATAATAGCTAAAAAGCTTGAGAAGCTTTGACACTGCTTGCTAGCCAGAAAACAGTAGTTCTTTATCAGATTTTCCCTTTAGTTTTGGTGTTTTTTTACTATATGTGTGGCTAATCTGCAAAGGAGATAACTTAATTATTCATCGCAACAAGGTGAAATATATTTCTGATTTAAAGAGTAGTATTTCCTGGAAAGGTACTATCTATAAATAAGTCTGATACCGATTCCTAAATCGAACAATGGTAATGCGTAGAATTTTAGTAAAGAACCTGCAAAGGGAACTTCCATTTATTTCTGTTATTTGCAGCCGTAAGCTTTAAGGTGATAATCTCTACATAAATATTGTGTCATATCTTTATAGATAATATTTAGTTTCATACTAATAAAAATGCCACTAAATAATATTTAGAGGTAACTTTCACTTAGGAAGTTAACTTCACTTAATATATTATATTATATTATTGCTATTATTTCATAATGCAAGCAGTCTCCTAGGAACAACATGAATGTGTGGAAAATGTCTCTTAAAATTATTTAGTAGCATTTATTATTAGTATAATTAAGTAATACTATTTTCAGAATATTAGTAAAATTAAGTACTTTTGAGACAAATACCTTGAATCCCACAAATGAATCTGCAAAGAGAACTTTCACTTTTACCTATTTTTTCCCAATTTAGTCCCTAGTGTCATATTCTTGTAAATATATATATTTTTTTTATGTGCCAGGGATTGGAATCTCACTGATTAGAACGGATCTAATCACCCCACTTGTTGTTGCTGCGCAGATTTTGATTTCCATTCACGTTATTCAGAATTATAAAAAGGTATAAATAGCAGCGCCAGGTGCGGGCATTCGACCATTCCGAAACTTCAACTTCCACGATGAGATTGTGCTTCCTTGTGCTGCTGGCCTGCGTGATAGCAGGTAAAGACTTTGCTCCCTAAAACTTTCTAACTTTCCGCAACTAATTGAGGCTCGAAATCTAACCGACATTCCCAGCCAGCGCCTGGCCCGTTGACCAACATGCGCTGCGAGTCCCAGGCGTCAACGGCTGGTTTGTGCCGCAGAAGCAAGGCGGCCTAAGGTGGGTCAACAGGGCGGATGCCGAGCGTCAGTTGGCCTTCTACGAGGGTCAGGAACAATTGGAAGGCCGTCTGTCCACCAACACCGTCAAGTTCTATCTGTACACTCAGAAAAACCCCAGCACGGGACAGGAGATCAAGGCCACCAAGTCCTCCATTGATGCCTCCTACTTTAACCCCCAAAACCCCACAAGGTTAGCTTTAAAAAATTCTTTCCTCGGGAGTTGAATTTAATTAAAAATATTTTTCCACAGGATCACTATTCACGGCTGGAACTCCAACTACAAGGATGGCGTGAACACCAGGATTGCCGACGCTTGGTTCCAGTACGGAGACTATAACATGATCGCCGTGGACTGGTCCCGCGGCCGTTCTCTGGAATACGCCACCTCGGTGGCCGGTGCCCCGGGTGCTGGCAAGAAAGTGGCCGCCCTTTTGGACTTCCTGGTCACCGGTTACGGCATGTCCCTGGATACCCTCGAAATTGTGGGCTTCAGTCTGGGCGCCCATGTGGCCGGACACACGGGCAAGCAACTGACCACCGGAAAGGCGGGCAAGATCGTGGGATTGGACCCCGCCTCTCCCCTGATAAGCTACTCCAAGTCGGAGAAGCGTTTGTCCAGCGACGATGCCAATTACGTGGAGTCCATCCAGACGAACGGCGCGATCCTGGGATTCACCCAGCCCATCGGCAAGGCAGCCTTTTACATGAACGGTGGTAGATCGCAGCCCGGATGCGGAATCGATGTCACCGGCAGCTGCTCCCACACCCGTGCTGTTCTCTACTATGTGGAGGCTCTCCTGTGGAACAACTTCCCCTCGAAATCCTGCGAGACTTACCAGGAGGCCAATAAGAACGCCTGTGGAGATAGGTTCAGCTCCATCGCCATGGGTGCTTCTGTGAACACCTTTGTGGCCGAAGGTATCTTCTACGTCCCTGTAAACAAGGTTTCTCCTTATGGATATGGAGAAGTTCATACTGGAGGCGAAGAGACCACCGCTGCTCCAGTTGGTTCTACCACCACTGAAGGTCCGGAAGAGGTTTCCACAACAACTGCTGCACCCACTGATGCTCCTACGACTACTGCCAAGCCCACGGAGGTGCCCACAACTACTGCCGCACCAGAGGAGGATTCGACAACCGGGGAACCTGAGGAGGTTTCCACAACGGCTGCTGCTCCCACTGAAATTCCATCGACCACGGCTAAACCTACTGAGTTGCCGACAGCTACGACTCCCGGAGATGGAGAGGATGACACTACTTCAGCCCCTGAGGATGTTTCTACCACCGAAGAACCCGAAGAGATTTCTACCACTGCTGTTCCCACTACGACTGCCAAGCCCACCGAGATTCCAACAACAACTTCTAGACCCACTGAGGTTCCTTCAACTACTGCTTCTCCAGAGGAAGATACCACTGCTACTCCCGAGGAAGATACTACAGCCGTTCCAGAAGATGACTCTACTGCTTCTCCAGAGGAAGACACCACTGCTGCTCCAGAGGAAGATACCACTACTGTTCCTGAGGATGACACCACCGTTGCCCCAGAGGAGGACACGACAACTGGAAAACCCCAAGAGGTCACCACAACAACAGCCATTCCCACAGTTCCAACCAGCACTACTGATGTGCCTACAACAACCACGGAAGTTCCCAACACCACCTGGTTCCCAATTGTGACCCCCACACTCCCACCCAACGTCGACGACAGCTCGAAGCCGGGCAGCACCAAGAACATCTTCATCTTCAATGTGTTCCTAGTTAACGTCAAAGTTAGCAAGTAATAGTTCCGAGTTGTGAAACTCCCCCTAAAGGGGCGTGGATAAGTTTGCAATAAAATCAAAACAATATCGCATTTTGGCTGAAACCAATTTAAAGCTGAGGGGGACACGCCCAAGTTCGATTTTGTGGCTAAAACCGTTTAGATTTTAATTACTTTTGAAGCAGCAGCTCCTTTGATGTGCGGAAGTGTTGCCTGGCAGTGGAGACACCACTCATCCGGAGTGATTCACATTCAAAAAGCCAAGTAATATTTTTCGTTAATCAGTCTGTAGCAGCTGATAATTATTGAGACATTAAGTGCGGATGGCAGTCATTCGAACAAGTTGCCTTATCGCATTAACGCCAGTCACTGCTGCCGCTGATGGCGTCAATAAAAAAGTTGGCGAAAAGTCCCGGCCACCAAATGGCTACTTCCAAATTAATTTGATTTACTATTGCCGAACTTATCGTGTGGAGAGAGCTTATTTATTATTCATGCAAAATCGTGAAAGTTAAGGCGGTTAGAGATTGCATCCACAAGAATGCGGGCGTGCCTGTGCCTTAACCTCTAAAATTTCAGTTACCGTTTCAGCATTGTATATATAGTACTCCTGATCACCCACATTCCCAGTTCTTTCACATTCTTCACGTGACTTTACACACACTTGCTCCACATCCAGGAGGCAATCCATTTGGTTCACATTGAAATACCTCCCAGGAGCACACTTGAGATTCGCCACCACACCGCGGATACACTCTCTGTAGCCAGCACAGTCTTCAGGATCCATCCCGATCTCGCCTTCAATGCAACTCAATATATTGGTCACGCAGATACCCTCGTAGTCCTGGATACAGGTCTCCAGTGTGGCATGGAAGTAGGAGCCATTGGGACACAGCTCCTCCTCCAGTTCGCCATCGATGCACTTGAGGTAGCCGGCACAGTTGTTGGGATCCAGTTTCACCTTTCCCTCCGTGCACCTGGGAGGCGGTTCCACGCACAGACCATTCACATCCACGATGCAGATCATGAGCTTTGGCTCGAAGTAGCTGCCACTGGGACAGGTCTTGGATACCAGCTGGCCATCCTTACAGCCCAGGTAACCGGCACAATTTGTCGGATCTGCCTGGACCTCGCCCTCGGCACAGGTTTCCCGAAGTGAAAACAACTCGAAGTTCCAGTCCAGACGGCATGTTTTTGAAACGGAATTAAAGTAACTGCCCGAGGGACATCTCTCCTTCACCAGACTCCCTACAAGACACCTCAGGTAATTAGCTGGGTCCCTGGGATCCTCTAGAAGCTCTCCCTCAAAACAGATTCGCTCGGAATTGGGACAAATTCCCTGCTCATCCACCACACACACTTCGTGCTGAGCCTCGAAATAACTGCCAAAGGGACACTTCATGAGCAGGGACTCGGCGTCGAGGCACTGATAATAGCCTGCACAATCTTTGGGATCGGCTGACATAGAGCCCTCCGTGCACTTCACATAATCCTTTATGGCGGAGGATAAGGAGGGATGTATCAGATGTATGAGACACGACACTAAATTGATTAAAAAACTATTTCAATTACAAATATTTTCTTTAGTTTATTCCAGCTCACCAATGAATATTTTCCGCACTTGTTTTTCGTACATTTTTCTTGAAACTTTGCAAAAGGAAATATGATTTACTCTTATATATGCCTTTCCCATTACTTTAATTAGTTTTTAATATGTACTAACGATAAGATAGAGACGACTTTATCTCTGAGAGGTTACATATGTAAGACGTAAGAGGGTTGAGTCGTAGGAAATATTTTCAGGGGTGAACTAATATGTAAACAAATAAATTTACAGAACCCAAAGGAACCACTGAAAAGGATTTAATCCCAGTTGAAAAACAAAAATTAACCCATGAAAGACAATGCCTGTTTCGATTCACACTTTTTGTGTATGTTGTCAGTGGATTTGCATATTTGTATCAGCTAGTTTTCGACTCTTGTTCAAGTTGGGGTTTTCCTTTGCCGCTTCCGTTTTCGCTTGAGTTTCAGCATATTTTCCTATGAATTAACATAGCAACACGGAACCCAAAAAGCAGGCAAGACACATGTGTCAGTCGCCTCAGGACTCATTATTCTTTAAGCCTTTAAGCTTTAGGATCTTTGACGTTAATTTATCAAAATACAACCACAAAGGCTGGCATGATTTGAGCTTTATTTAGAGGCAAACATTTAGAAAATTCGCAGCACACAAAATCCCACAGGTATTGCGGTCAACTCCCCCTGTTTCCCATTTCGACAGCAATAAATATTCCGTTTGTTGTTCAAAGCGAAATCGTTTTTCCAGCCACCCTTTTTTTTTTGTGTTTTTACTGGCCAAAACACGCATTCTCGAATGTTTTTCTGTGGTTCGTTTCCCCAATGGCCCAAAAGGTACACAGAACACACGCTTCTGGCTGGCTAATGACACCAGTTCGGGAGTCCTTGAGTCCTCCTCGGGGCTGTGAAAGTAAAGCCAACTGCCAGCTAAAAAGTGTCAACATTTGTCGCCGCTCTGGGAGTTGAGACCTCTTTGCTGGGCTTTCCCGCTTTTTCCTTTGGCAAAACTGCAAAAGGTTGCAAGTAATAGTGCCAAAGATCATTCCCGAGAAAGTAAATTGAAAAGCCATTAGTTTGCACCCACTGAGGAAAAATAATGTAGCTTTTACATTAAAAAAACTAAATTAGTTTTATAATTATTGAGGAATTATTATAATTATATTAATTAGTATAAACCATTTCCTAGCTACATATATAAAGTATCGATACTGATTTTGAAGCGAGAGCTACCATATTTTAACTTTGCTATAAATTTAATGTTAGATATATATTTAAAATTTGGTTTAAACTAAAATTTTTGGAAATAAGTTTAATAAGGTAAGCAGAAACTACCTTTTAAAAATTTTTAAATATATAATCAGTAAAATAAAACTTTAAGAAAATAAATACAACGTTTCTGATATTTGTTTAACATTTCGTTCTCTTAGATATAATAAGTAGAGAGATATTTCCCTATTAAAAACTGTATTAGTGTCTTTTAAATATCTTCTAACTAAAAAAAATCAAGAAAACTAAACTTAATTATAACAATTCAAATCTTTAAAAATTAAAAACTAATACTTAAAAAAAAAAATTTACATTTTCAACACTTTTATAACCAATCTCACATCGAATACAAAATTTCCCCCCGTGCAGTCTGTAATTTAATGAGAACAAAAGGCATTCTAAGACCCATTTACTCGGACCAATTGCCTCACATAATAAAGAATGGGCTCCATTTCTATATTCCTCTACTCCCTCTTTTCCACCCCCCTCCGAACCCAGAACAGCTGAAATAATTCACAAGGCCGGCCAATGTCAAAGGCCAATGCCATGCAGCTTCGTATGGGACTTTTCGCGTAAGCTGGAGCTTCCATAGAAATTAAAGCACACGCTGACTCTCACTTTTCTCCATATAAAATGCGAAATTTGGTTGAATTAATTTTTGATTACATTTTATTATCGTTTTTATCGCAAGGAAAAGGGTGGAAAAGCGATTGGCCCCAAGCTGATTGGGTTTTCCACATGCTTGAACACTTCTGAGCGTGTTTTTTATTCCCAAAAGGAAACAATGGAAAGCGGAAATTTGAATGCGTTGAATACTTAAGGGGGGAGGCATTCTTAACTTATATTTATAAGGCATACTTTCCTTTATATTAAGAGGGTTATTTTAGGTAATACAAGTACGAAATAAGATATAATTTTTTTAGTTTGAATAACTATTTTTTCTCATACAAAATTTCAATAACAAGAATTATTTTATATATATTTTCATCGAAAGGTTCTCGTATAATAAAGCTTACTTTTAATTATTAAATTCCTTAAATGATTTTATTTACATAATTCCAGCACTTCACTGCTCCTTTACCCTCATTTTCTTTCTTAACATATTTATTTTAGTTTTATATTTAAACATTAAATATTATAGCTTTCATATATTTTTTATATATTTATATATATATATTTTTGAAAGCGAGAAATATACATATTATATATTTCTCGCTTTCACCAATTGCTGTATATTAAAGCTTCCTACAAATTATCATATTCTTTAAACGATTTTATTCCCATATTCCCAGCATTTCACTGCTCTAAGAAAATCCTTTACCCTTTTGTTCTTACTTAACATATTTAAAATAAATACTTCCCACAAGTCTCTGAGAGCCTTGTCAGAATAAATATTACGCATACGCCCTGTGTAAAAGACCCAGCACATGTTTTCCCGCAAGCCATAGCATTTATTTTGCGTTTATTTTTAAAGAAATTTGCATATAATTTGCACCAGCTTTTAAGCAAAAAAAACCAAACCATCACTGAGCCGCCTAAATCTCCGTTCGAGCGAGCAGAAATTCCTAAAAAAAATTCCTGAAATTGAAAAGCCAATGAAACATTGTGTGGCGGAAACAGAACGTTGAATGACATCTAACTTTGTATCTGTTTTTTCCTTTTATTTCCTTGGCAGGCAAACAAAACTCTTACTGAGCCAAGTGCAAACTTTGAAAAAGTAAAGGAATTTTTAATATTGGGCGGCTTGCATCAGTCTGGCTGCATCTTGCAGATTGTTTTTTTGGGTTTATTTCCGAGATGAGCATACAAACTTTATCTCTTCCTCAACGTTCCACCTCCTCACGGTAAAATCGAGTTTTATAAACACCAAAGACCAGTTTTTTTGGTTTTGTTCTTGGTAAACTGTTTTAAAAGTTTCGCCCATGGTGTTTGTGCGTATTTCGAGTATAAACAAATTCAATTTGTGGCTGTCATATCGTTCCTCTTGTTAACTCTGGCACAGGTTCTAAGTGCTTTGAAGAGCACAAGTCCAAGTGGATGAGAAACAGCATCCACATTGCTTGAGACGAAACAAAAATGTTGCGTATAGTTTATCTGTGTGTACGAATTTTTCCACTTTTTTATTTTGTTTAGTTTGCTTTTTCCCGAGGTATTTCTGAAAATCAGGATAAATCGTCCAAACACTCACTCCCCCGGGAACAGTGGACATATAGGAAAACTCCCCCTTTTGTTATTAATGAAAGTTCTCTTGTTGAACAGGATTTCTAACGCATTTATTGGGTTATTGATGAAGGAATTTTAATGCAATCATTCAGCTATTGCTGCGAAAATAAAACAACACCATAAATTCACAGCCAATTTTATTTTTGATTTGCTGAAAGCTGTATGGAAAATAAAACCAATTTCCCAAAATTTACTGCCTCTGCCACCTCGGAAATGTTTTTGTTTAAACAATGGACTGCCACTAATTCATCAATGCAGAATGTGAAGAGTAAAAACATGTACCATGTACTCTGATTAAGGCCTAATCAAAAACTAAACAAACATGTTTTTTGTTTAATTAAAAATGTGTTCAATATGGAAATTAAATGTCTAGGTATTTAAAGGCAAAGCTTATTTTTTCTGAATATATTTTATGCCTTAAAAACACAAACTCTGCGGTAATAAAATCGGTAGAGCACATATGTCGCTTGATAACTTAAGCCGATATTGTTTGTTGTTTTTTTTAGCGGATTTAGGACAATATGTTACGCGTGTAAAGGGCTTCATTCATAAAAACTTATTTGCATTTATTCAAACAAACACAAACTAGCGAGAATATAGTTTATACCCTTTAAAAATTTGTATTCTAAAAGTGTAGTGTTAATAGAACTTTTATAAAATATAATCCCTAAAGAAGGCCAATTTCCATGAACACAGTTTTGAAAATAATCACTCTTTATACTTCGTAATATAAAAAAAAATAGATATTTTAGTTATAAACCAATCACATTTACTTGACTGCTCTTTAATATAACATTTTTTCAGCATAATAATGCCGTTTTCATTTCATAAATTCATTTATTTTCGTGACGTAAAACTGAAAACTTATAAAATCACATACAGTGGACGTGACAAGTGGGGGCGGGCGGTCAGTCGTGAATTCGTGAATTCGCGAAATGGGCTGTCAATATCAAAATAAATAAAAGCAAGCAAAGAGCAAGCGTGAGCGTAAACTGATGTCTGACATTGAATTTATTATTACTTATGATGATGCTACTGAAAAGGAGGGTGGCAGGAGGGCCATCCGAGTGAGTACTTGGGCAATGCCAATATTGATTTTGGCAGCTCCCCGTGATTATCCCGGGACAGATGCAAATATCAGGAAGAGCGTGTATGTGTCGGGCACACGGCAAACAGATAAAAGCGGGCAATAAATCTCCGGCGACATTAAAGAAACGCATAAACCGGGCAGCCAAGAGTGTCAGAGCCGTAAAAGCTGGCTCAAAGCAATCTCACTGCTTAAATCGAGCCCAGAGCCAATTAAAGCTAAAGGACACACCCCCGAAAAGAAGTGAATTCCATGGCAAATTGATGATAAAATATGCTTTGTTCCACCTGCAACAAAATGGGAGCACATACACCCACGAGGAGGTTAATGCATAATTTATAATTAACCAGCCAGCCAGCGCTTTGTTGTCCGCTGTCAACGAAAACCCAATGGATGGGAAACTTAGAGGATAAGGCCAGGGCTAAAGTCCATTTCATGCAATTTTTACTACAGCAACGGCTCCGGCCACAACGCTGCGTATCCTTTATATTTTTTGTGAGCCGAGGCTTCAGCTTACTCTGCAGCACAAAAAAACGAAAAGGAATCAGCTGATTGATGGTACTTCCGGCTTCCCGGGGCTAAGAAGAATGTAATACAGATACAAAATTATTATGAAATTGTATTTCTTCCGTTTTTGTCTCTTTTCTGAGGGGAATTGGGCGAGGAGACGGCTTAGATTGGCCTAAGCCCGCTAAGCTTAATTGGAACACTCTTTCCTGGCAGGAAAATAAGTTAGCGGTTGAATTTAAGTTCATAAATAGAACTTAATCTGGAATTAAATGCAGCTGAAATACCTTGAGAACACGGCAAAAAAAGGATTATTTGCTATGCTTGCAAGTACTTTAAGATAATAATAAACAAAAATATAACTTTTGTCTTTGTCAACACATTTTAAAAATTTTTATTTCATATATATATAATTAATTAATTTTTTACACAGCTTAAAATTCCTCACTCAAATTTTTCCCCTCTCCAAGTTCTTTGCTATTTTACTCAAGTTTACTTCTAAGGGGAACTTTTGACTTTAATTGAGGTCCTGAGACGGGTAGCAGCCAAAGTTAAATTGACAGGCGTCTGTCCCAAGCCGCTGGGAAATCAATTTTGACACATCAGACAAGCGGTTGGAGACCCGAAAAAAAGGTAGCAAGGTTTGCCATAAATTCCCGGTCATGTGTTTCAGAGCTAATCCCACCCAGAACCAGAGAACCCAGAACCCAGAACCCGATGTGTGAAACCCGGCGAAATGCTAATGAACGGAAACAACAGGGCAGATGGCCGCCAAGCTGATTAGCAGCAGGTAAATACGGCTCATTACAACTCACCTGGCGAGATGCAGGGACCAGGAGCTCAATGTCAATGTCAATTCCGAACAAATTCACTTGCATTCACTTTCAGTATTGCGTATACGCAACGCGGGACAATATATTTTCGCAGTTCGTAAATTGTTTATCGCGGTCCGTCGAATTTAATTGATTTGAATGGAATTTTTATTTCATTTTTATTTACGTTTTTATGAGTTTACAAGTCCCATTACGGCAACGAGGTGCGATGACTGCTTAGCAATGTATTTCTGAAACGCAAACGACGACCACCTGCGTTGCGACTCTCTCGAGCACAGAAAGCGAACTGAGGTTGCCGTCGGACTGGACTTGAGTTCATCCAACCGGCCCACTGACTGACTGATCAGCCGAGGCCCCGGCACGAAGGCGTCCGGCGGAATCCTTTCAACATGTTGCCCCACTGCGACGCTCTGCGCAGGCACCGAAAGGCGGCGACAACCAACTGTTTGATTTGGCGGGAAACTGGCCCGCCCTTGGCAACATGTTGCCGGCTCCAAGCATAAATATTATTATTATTTATATCACTTTTAGCAGCAATGAGGAAGGGGGCATAAACAGTAGGCCGACCGCAGAAATTAACAAATCGTAACGCAATTAAGCAGGCCGTGTATTCGCCAAGGTCACGTCATCTTCGCCTGGAGGTCAGTTATCATTAGCCATCATTGCGAGTTTTGTGGTAATTCGTTTGAATTATATTACAGGAGTGTATTGTTGGAAATTGGGAAGTATTTAAGTACATTTTGGGGACTACACTGTTTCTTAAAACTATTCGCCCTCTTGGCGCAAATAAATATTTAGTTTAGGTATGTTTATTACTATTATTTATTATTTATATTTTTTTTTTCATATGTCATATGAATATCTGAAGAGAGTGTACTAGAATATATTAAAATAGTATAATTGTAAAAAAACAAAGCCAGCTTAAAATTTTTTCTATAAATTCGATTTATTTATCAACTACGAAGCTTTAACAAATTTAACAAGTTTTACAAAACGTACAAACAACGCGATGTGCAGGTGCCCAGGGTGTGGCACGTTTGTGCATGTGTGAATTGGAAAGAAGGGTGAATGGGACTGGGACGGGGAGGAAGTGCATCCAATGGAGATAAGACTATGACAAACTGGGACTTCACTTCAGCTTCTTGAGGAAGAAGCGGTTGGGAGGACCGTAGTTCGTGGCAGGCACGTGGGCGGGAGCCAGGCGCTGCTCCGGCTGCTGCTCCTCCACTATGATGGGCGCCATCGAGGGCTCCTCAATGGCCAAAGCAGAGGGTGCGGTGGCAGGAGGCAGGTACTGATTGGCAGGAGCGGCGGGCAGAGTGGTCTGCACCTCCTCGCGGGTGTAGGCAGCGGCCGTGGGAGGACCGTAAATCGCGGCAGGCACTGGCACGGCTGCGGGCTGCTCTACTTCCGGTTCCGGAGCCAGAGTGGTGGGTGGCAGGACATCAGCAACCTCGGCAAGAGGAGCAAAGTCCTCGGCGGTGGCCTGGCGGGGCTCCATCTCGGCTGGGGGCGGTCCATAGACGGGGGCCTCGTCCTTCTTGGTCTTGTACTTGATGAAGTACACCTCGGGCTTCGAGGGCTTGGTGGGTGGCGGCGTTGGGATGACAATGTCCTGCTCCTGCTCCGGCTTCTTGTGCAGCACGTAGATCAGGGTCTTCTCCTCGTTCTGAGGTGGAGGTGGCACGACTGGCGGACGGATCGCCGGGGCGGACGGGGCCTTGATGAACACGATCTTGTAGTGCTTCTGCTTGGGTCCCTGCTGGTGATGGACGCGTGTCTGGATGGCATCCTCCTCCTCGAAGTCCTTGGGTGGCACATGGACGTAGATGTGCTTGTGAACCTTGGTCTCCGGGGGGCCATTGTTATAGCCACTGGCGTGCTGCACTCCCGACAGGCGGTGGGCCATGTTGTAGCTGTCGTCGTAGGGATTCAGGGGCTCAGCGGAGGCGGGGGCAGTGGGAGCCACGGGCTCAATGGCGTCCAGGTGCATCTGGGGCGGCAGGTAGGTCTGCTGGGGTGCCGCGAAGTTGGCGAACGACTGCTCCTGAGGCAGGGACTGATAGATTTGCGGGGCCTGCGGATGAACTGATGGGGGAAGGGGGTTAAATGGGGTTTTCAAAATTAGAATATTAATTTAAATCAATTTGAATTACCTAATATTAATTTAAGGAAATATTTTAGCAGAGAATAAGCGATACAAAACATTTAATTGACATTTATTATATAAACAAAAATTATTTTAAAATATTTTCTAAAGTTTCTGTTATTAATATATTAATATGAATTGATTATTAATTTAAAAATAATGAGTAATAAATTTAAGTTCCCAAAAGGGGAAAGCAATTAAAATCACATATTAAAATATTCCTAACAGCTTTAAATACTTATTAAAATAACAAAAAAATATTAGTTTAATAATACATTTATGATTCAAAACATTTAAATTTACATTTAAATTTACATTTAATTTTACATTAATTTTTAATTTAAAACTAAAGTGTTTTAAATTATTTTGAATACCATAAAACATTTCTTAAAAACAATCTAAGGACAGCCCTGAACCACTTACCATTTAATGGCAAAGCCCGCTGACTCTGCTGCTGCGGTAATCCGTGATAGGCATAGGGCGATGGAGGCTCCGGACGGGCCAGAGAAGTGGCCACCAGGGAGGCGACGCACACGGCGAACAGGGAGAAGACACGCATGATGATTTATCCTTTTTGGCGACTAAAACCCGTAATCCTTTTTGCTCGATGTGGAGGAGGTGGTGAAGCTTCGATAGAGAAGCTCGACGGTGGACTGATGCCGAGTTGGACGCTGCGATGCCAATTTATATGATTCGATGTCCGACGACGACGCTGAGTGCTCGAAATCTCATTACAAAAGGTAAACGAAAAAGTGGATTTAATTAAGCATCAAAAGAGACGCGAGAGAAGAGAGCTTGGGCAGCTGAACTTGGCCAAAAAGCGAGGCGGCAGAGGCCGAGCTGCAGAGAGACACGTGTCTTTGGATGTGCACAAGCGCGAAATTAGAGCAAAAACCCGGCTGCGAATTTATTGCTTTAAGCGTTAAACGAACCCCCTCACCGCCCACAGGGGGGCTAAATGGAAATCCACCTACAAAAAGTCCGAAAATCAACACCCTGCACAGAAAGAAACTATAACCATTTAATATGCAGGCTTGGGAAAAATTAAATTGAAATTTAAAGCCAGAAACATAGTCTTTAGAATAAGTGTAAGTTTGAAAAGCAAAATATAATATCCCCTTAATTTCTGGTTAAATATTTATTATTTATATTATCAATTCCATCAATATATCCCTAAACCCTTAGGCATTTTTTTATGTGTGCTGGGTAGGCCCCCATAACGTTTTGTATAACAACACTCTCATGCAAGTATCTCGTATCTTTTGCTTTGTATCTCATGGCTCCTATCTCGTATCTGTAAGATGCAGCAGCCGGCGCAACCTTCGGCCGAGTGCGCCAAGTGTTATTTTCACAATTGGAGCGCACTTAAATCTTGGCCGGGAATGGAAAGTGACCCACGATTACACACTCGACCGAGTCCCATTGATGAACTTCATTCATGTGACGCCTCGAGGAACTTGTTTGGAACCAGTTTTGGGATCTTGGGTCAAGTGATTACCCCAGTGATTTGTCCATCCGGACAGCAAGTTAATCCATTTTTTCACAGGATTAGTTTTGACGAATGAAATCAAGCTCAAATATATATGTAAGTATATAAAATAATGGAGAAGTTAGTTATCTATTCCAAATCTGGTCCTAGTACCATTAAATTTTAAACTTCTTATTCAATCTGGTAAAGGCAATAACTATATCTGCTCGATATGCTTTCTGTACTCAAAGTCATGTATTTAATTTTGAGTTTTTGATTTATTTCCCTTAACCTTAACCTTGAACCAACAAGAATCCATTTCTTTATTATTTTTAGCACTTGTTTGAAACCTCATTTAAGACTATTCTTAGCCATAAAACTCCTTGAGAACCTCCTAAAAATAAACATAACCTATAAAACCCCAAAAATAACATCAAAGCGAAGGGCTTTTCAAGGCCAAAACAAAATTTTCCCCAAACTGTCAACCGAATTGTAAAAGCCGATGGCGAGTGCTTTCAACACCTACGACCCACGACAAACAATTACGAAACAATCGTAACAAAATCAAAATCCAAATCAAAATCAATTTTCAAATTGGAGCCAAACAAGACGAAATGGAAACAATAAGCAATAAGTAATAAAACAAAACAGCAGCTAACCAAATAAAGTGAATAGCGAGCGGCGTTTAATTGGATTTGGCTTGGATATCCAGAGGCACAGAGACCCGGAGACCCACAGGTCGGGAGTTCCGACGAGTGGAGACACTTGTCCACTTTGCTGTCCACACACAGAAATCCAAGAAATCACACACAAAATAAAAAGACCATCAACATCATTAATCGTAATTGCAGCCGACGCATCGGAGAAATGTCGAGTGCCCATGTAGGTACTCGTACTTGTCCATCGAAAACCTGAGGCTGGGGGGCGTCTTTTTTATATATATACTGGCAACAAGGTTGCTTTGGTGGCTTTACGTCACCGATCGAATCGAATCGATTGGAAATTGGTGCACTTGGCCACCGAAGAAGAAGCCCAAGAGTCGTCCATCGATGACAGCGGCCAGAAGAGCTCGCGACATCCCGAGAAAGAGAGCAGGGATGCGTATAGAGTGTTAGTTACAGAAAAATATTTATTTATATTTACTAAATTGCAAAAACAAACTTATTCAAGGTTAACATAGTTTTTGGAATTAATTTGGCAACTAATAAGTTGACGTTTTTCTAATGTAGGTATACAATGCATGTTCGATAAATCAACTATATAGGTTTCTTATATTATATTTTTAAAATTCCCTAAAACTCCTTTACATTTATTTTAATTAACATTCCATCCCTGCCCAAGCCAGAGATAGTAAGAAAGACCAAAGGAGCTGCCGCAGATTGTGTCATCGAAAATTCGAAATTGGGTGAAAACCAGGTCAACAGTGCAGTAGCCCAGCCATCATCATCGATGAGTTATTGATTCGCACCGAAGACCCCCGCCGCCGCCGAAACTCCTCCACTCCTCTTGGCCAGCTTGGCATTGGCTTTGTCTTCGCTGCCCTTCGTCCATGGGTTTTCCATTGGAGCAGCTTAAAAATAGACAGAGCCAGCGGCCGGGGGATGCGCCACTTGACTTGCCACTTGTTGCACTCAAGTGCCACGCACGCAGCCCCAGCAAATACAAAGGCTACAAAAGCCAAGAAAGAAGTCCAACGCAAAGGGGGCAGAAGCTTTGGGGCTTTGTCATTGAGATGTGAACCCACAAAAGTCGATTAGTTGGCCAATGGCAGTGGCTAAGGAGAGGCGTCGCATTCCATTCGCCGGAGAATGCGTAGGTCAAATGGCGCTAAAAAAGAGTGCCAAGATGGACCTTGGTGCTTAAGTGGACATAATGATACGGATGCCATTAGATATTATCGAATATAATTTTAAAATAATATATTCCTTCTTGAAGCTTAGAAATATTACTAAAAGCTGTTTGTTAGTCAATAAATACATTAAATTTTATATATATTAAGTAAGTATCGTTTTACGGAGATGCTTTTCTTAAGAAATTATTAATAAACATAGAAATTATAAATCAATAAAATTAAATTAGTTTAAAAATTAAATCAAAATAATTTATATTACTGCAAAAATGAATTTAATATAGTATTGAATAACACACAGCCACAAATAATATAGTCGAAGCTTTAAAATTCACACTCAATTTTCTTTCACCTCAAAAAAGCCACAAATTAAGCTCAGCTTTTTATCAATTTGACTTCCACACAATTAAAATCATTCACTTAATTCCCAGAAATACCTGAACAGCCATATTAAATAATTTACCTACACTCCAATGGCAAGTGTATTTTCGTACTTTTACCACACAAAATGCCGAAAGAAAAGAGTAAAAATAAAATGCAGGCAGAAAACATGCAAATCACGCTCCAAAACAAAACAAAAATAGCGAATATGTGTTATAGTTTTGACTGATTTTCAGCCCACAAGATGTGAATTATGACAAATGGCAGACGAATGTGTGGATGGTGGCCGGCTTCCTCCCCTTTTCCGCGGATTTAAGCCACGTTGACAAATCGTTCGGCTAAGTGACTTAATGGCCATGCCCGGAGGAGCATAATGATGATGATTACAGCGATCGGCGGCATCGATTATCTCGTTAATTAAAGACTACGGGCAGGCACACAGTTTTCAAGGTCATTCGATTTTAGCACACCTACCGGAGGGGGGCCCTTTATCATCACCATTGCCTCTGCCTTGGCACAACCTGCGGCCAGTAATTAAAATTGGAGCAAGTGGAGTGCTCCGTTTTTTATTGTTTTCCTGGCATTTTCGTGGGCGGTTGCCGTGGCTAGGTTCCTATGGCAATGTTAATGAGGCTAATGCCTAGTCTTGGCCTGCTGAGAAGGAAAGTGCTGTGGATTAGTCACCAAAGTAGGTGGTAAAAATAAAATTTAATTACAGACATTTAAGGGCTCAGAAAATTCTTTAGTGGTTTTAATTATGCGAGGGAATTTCGGGTTAAGTTTATTATACAAAGTTCAGAAAAATATCTAAACAATTATATTTATAATGTCATGTTAGGAAGAATTTTAACGAAATAAACACCATTATAAAAAAGGGCCTCAAAACTCAAGATAATTTCTTGATAAACTTATGGAATATTGCTGTATTTAAGAATGATACAAAAATACTCTGAAAATAATAATTTATTAATTTTAAACAACACAATTCCTTTTTATTTTAATAAGATCTTCCCTTTATAAAACTAAGCCCGACTTTTGTAATTTTTTCTGCCACTCAGAGGTCAGAATCCAAAACCAAATTCAAGCCCAGTTCCGCGGTGGAACAATTGACTTCGACATGTGGCCAAATATTGACATTGAATTATAATGCCCATTGAGACGAGCCACAATCAAAGGCCTATATATAGAGAGGCGCACACTGCACACTCATTACACACCGAAAAGTGGAGTGTAAGCAGGGGAAATAATAACATGGTTAGCAGCGAACAAAGGCGAACGAATGTCACTTACTCTGGGGGCTGGTCAAGGGTTAAGGGCTTTTCTTTTGGATTTTCCAGCAGCAGCAGCAGCAGTTCACAGCTGTCGTTCAGAGATTTCTTTGCAAATCGATTACTTCAACTGCTGCTGCTGCTGCTGCTGCCGGGCATCTCGAAGATATATTTCATTGAATTAAGTGCCCGGCTAAATGCTCGGTGAGCCGCAATTTGTATCTGGCGCTTTTGTTTATTTACGCTGTCATCTCCCATTGTTTGGCACTAGTTTTGGCCCCCTCTCTGTCTCATTTGTTAGCCATTTGCAGTCACTAACAAATTCGCTTGTCAGGCCGCTGCCTTTGCTCTTTGGTGGGGGCCGTCATCTCTGTTTGCCCCGGCTGGCAATTAAAAATGTATTTACCAGCGAGCGCACTTGGCCATTGTGGAGCACTTATCGCACGACTCTCGACCAGTTCCCATTCCGATTTATTTGAGGGCCTAAAGCCAGTCGAAGGACTCGCCCGTTCGCTAAATGGCCGTAACTAAGTTTCGAGTCGTGTCTTTAAGCCCACTTGTCGTATACTCGATGCGCGATCATAGTCGCCCGCTGGCGCCATCTACATGTCAGGCCGATCGACGTCTTATCACTCTTCTTCTTCTTCTTCTGCCTTGAGCATGTTCAGGCTTTAAAAGAAAAATCGTCGACGGAAAAAAAGAAAACAAAAAAAGCTTTGGAGAAGCCAAACAAAATTAAAGGCAAACAAAGAGCACATGGAGTAAGGTAAGTAGGGATTAGGGTTTGTGCTAGGCAGTACCTCTTAGTTTGGTAGCTATATTATTAGTATTTAGTACTACTATAAATATTTAATAAACAGTTTATAATTCAGACTGTTGCTAAACATTTTCCTAGTCTAGCAACATTTGCCTAGCAACATTTTCCAAGCCCGTATTTAATAATATAAATTGTATCGTTCTATTAAATCATCATCGCTCTATACTAAAATTCTCATATTTACAATTAAAAAAATGCAATATAAAAAAATGCATTTGCTAAAATCTAAATAATACAATAAATAAAATATAATAAATAAAAGCTTAGACAAGAAGATCTTTTAGTAAACCACTAAATATTTTTTAATAATATTAGATTACATTTTTGTAAACTCAATATAAGCTGAATATACCCTCACCACCCCTTCGTATAGGGTACTCAAAAAATTAAAAGAGATAACGTTGAGACAAAAGCATTCGGGTGCTATCGACTGCAGCAAAAGCGGGCACAAACACTTACTTTTAGTAGCTCACGCGAAGATCGTCGGAGAGGTACAACTTGTAGCCCATATCTAAAAGCAAGCTGAGTATATGGAATATCCCAGAGTAATGCAAACGCCAGGTGACAGTGATAGTCAGGTTGGGCACAAATATGGCTTATCTATGCGTGATTATAAATAGCACAAGTAATATTTTTTTAAAGCTTATTTTGGTGCTGCAAAATCTACGAACGCTGCCTGAAGAGCTAGTCAAAAGCCATGCTGACCATGTGGTGCAGCTGGACCTGAGTTACAATAGCCTGAAGGATCTGTCCTGGCTGGCGGAATTCGAGCAGCTGCGTCATTTAGTCCTTGACAGCAATCGTATGCATGAGGCTCATTTGAGGACCCTGACAAGGCCCATGCCCCAAGTGGAGGTCCTGATGTTGAACAAGAATGAGGTGAAAATAAATAACATTACTTTTAATTTTTTAATTTATTTTTTTCTGAATTTTTATTTCTTATCAAATTTTCATATTTGCGCTTCCAGTTCAGTGACCTGCCCACCACCATGCGACTGATCCGGAGGTTCTTTCCCAATTTGGAGTATCTGAGCCTCCACGGCAACCCGATCTGTCCCGATGGCCTGGAGCTGCAGCCCTTCTCCAGTTACCTGCGCTACGACTACGAGTATTACAGGTGTGTCTTCGGGTTAATGCCTGTCGAATCTATAATTACTTTTGTATTTGCTTGCAGTAATTACATTGCACAGTCGCTGAGCAAACTGAAGTTTCTGGATCACGGGCTGGTTCAACGCACCTATCAATACGAGAGTTTTCCTCTCAAGAGCTATGCTGGCAGGCAACTTGTTAAAACAACGAGTTTTTAAGAAGGACCTAATCTACTTTTTTTATTTCATACATTGGAATATCTTTAATTTTTATCTTAACCATGTTTTAAATATTTATTTATGTTAAATAAATGATTAAATAGAATCAAATAGGCAAAAAAAAAATTTCTAAAGAAATATATACTGTTTCTTTTAAAAAAGTATTCTAGAAAATAATAAAAACTTGTTCGTATTTTTGTAAAAAATGTATAGTTGGTAAAATACAATACCTTTTAATTTTAAAGAGTATTTGAAATAAATATTAATTCTTTAATATTTTATTTGACTTTGAGTTGTAAATATGTTTTCTATTTGGTTTTAAAAATATTATTATATATTGCCTCTAATGAAACTATTTTTAATAATTTAATTTAATAATAATTTATTTATTTATAATAATTCTTCAGCCAAGACTTCAACCGTATAAGAGTGAATAACGGATACAGCCTAGTCAACAACCGCTCAGAAAAGCTTAATTTTGGCAAAACACTGAAAAGATAATACAAAAGGGAATAGATGATAAAGCTAATGAATAAAATAATATTTTAAAGTCTAAGCCTTAAGCACTGTTAAGTGCGGTATATTAACAAATAAAAAATAACGAGTTGTGGAATTGAAGATACGAACCCAGTAAAAAAGATTTGAAAATATAAATGAAAAAAAATAATAATTAATATGTATTATAATTTATTTTTGGAAATATATTATTAAACCTAAATGAAATATTTAAAATGTTTAATTATATTATCAACCCCTAAATAATATAATTGGCATATCTATGACTTTTTTTATGGGTTTAAATATTGATTATTTTGGCAAATTACTTTAAAACCCATTATTTTAAGAAAATCTTTAAAATCTAGAGCTTAAATACAATTATAAATTATAAAACCAATTTTTCAAGATAAAAATCTCTTGAAAACCACCCCTTAAATCATCCCCTACCAACCCAGTTAACTAATCAATAGACCGTCAGATCGTAGGGTGCCTTTAAAAATATTTATTTGTGCGACAGCCGGCCGGCGAAAAAGCTGAGATAATTCTGCGGTGAAGGAGGCACAGAAAAGGTGAAGAATGGCAGAGCAAAAACAAAACGCTGATAGCCAGTTATCGGTGGCTATATAAGCAGCATCTGGCAGCATTTGCAGTTTCAGTTTCGCAGCGAGTCCCAGGCAGGCGGTTTTCCAGTTCTTGATTAAATTATATATACCCAGAGATATACACAAACATGGCCGATCCCAACGCCAAGCCCAAGTACACTAAAGTAAGTTTACCTTGTTGTCAATTGCATTTTAAATTCTACAAGTGTTAACCTGCTTATAAAGAGGAATACAGAGAAGATTCATATAATAAATTCAAGTGGCATATGTGTATAAGAGTGTTTGTGCATAGGAATAAATGTGGAATAATAATGATTTGCCCATAAAATAATTTAAATTAAATATTTTACTATATTAAAAGGCTATTACAGTGTTTGCTTTGATTAAATTTATATTTTTTGTTGTGTATTAAACGTGTTTGTGTCGCAATTTACAAATATTTGCGATTTGGTTCGCTCTTTTCATGGCTACTGGTTGCCTTTGCCATTCCAACACACAAACTAATACAGACTTATTCAATTATTTATTCGAAAAAAAAAGAAATCCAGCTGGTTGTTGTTGATTCTTAAGAAACAGGGTGTTCTTTTCTCGGTTCGTTATCAGCAGATGTTTGATGCGAAGTAAACACACAGATTCGCCCCACGTAAAGCCATAATAATTATGAGGTCGGTCTCCAAAGCTGATAAGGTAAAAACTGCCGGAGGGGTCCTGATAGAGAAGAGACTTTGAGACCCACATATGGAGACTTTATAGTTCAATGAGCTTTATATTGCGAAATGGTGGCGAACGGGGAAAATAAGCCTTAAGAGATAGAAGAGGTAGATTAAGCAGGTTAGTTTATGATTTCTAGTCATGTTTCATTGCGTGTTGATGTCAATTTAATAAAATATTTATAAAAGGGAAACTTTTAAAATCTTAAAATATATTTTACTTATAATTTATCAGGTATTATAACTTAAAATAAAATATAAACTATTCGTAATTATTTGAATTATTATATATACATATTCATCTCTCTCTAAAAGCCACCTTAGAACTATTTTATTTGTACGTTTTACCTTATCATTACCTATTTATTTATTTTACGTAACTAAAGTGAGCTACTGTAAATTTTTAAATAAATTAATAGGCTATACTTCCTAAAATATTCAAAAAATGGTGACTCTTGTCTGAGAAATATACTTTAACCGTATTTCTCACATAATATTCTTGCCTAAAATAAAATGCAAAGCAAGCTAAATCATTTAAATTATTTTATTTACACATTAAACAATCTCTAAAAGTCACTATACCCTCATAAAGTTATTTAGCTTAATCCGTTTAAACTTTTTATTGCCCACAATTGACTAACTACTTAATCTTTAAAGTTGTAAAATCTCTCCAATTGTAACCCTTTATCGCTCAATGACCCATTACAATTTTGAATGACTTTACTTATTTGTCAAACATTTCGTTTTGTTCAATAAACTTGACTATTTTAAAATTCGTGACTAGAATTTAAAACTACATTGTTTGCCTTGTCGCGTGTTGCCAGCAAATTGAAATGGCGTATACAAACTAACTGGGCCGATAATAATGCAAAGATTACACAAATTACTGCTGGAAGTTGGCGTGGGCAGATGGCTCTTGATGAGATGTGATCATAGCTTTGGGAATTGTAAACCTGATTACAGTCAGGTCGGGAGGATGTGCTGGGTTCTCACTTTGAAGATTAGTTAATCATGGTTTTTACTTTCTTTTGACAGCTCTTCATCAACAATGAGTTCGTTGATTCGGTTTCGGGCAAGACCTTTGCCACCTTCAATCCGGCCACTGGTAAGGAGATTATTAAGGTCTCCGAGGGAGATAAGGTGAGTAGAATGTTCCAAGTCAAAGGTGGGACTTTTGTACCTTTTTAATTGGGAAAGAAAATATGTATAGAAAATTATATGATTTTTAAAAAGAATGTAAGGAAAATATATACATTAAAATGTATAATATTTATAATAGAATTCCATGATTAATTCTATGTATAAAAATTAATGAGATTTAATATAGGAAATATAAATGCATAGAATATATATTTATTTAAATTTCTACAACAGCGTTGTTCAAATAAAAATATATTCCTTGTTCAAAAAAGAGTTTTAAGGTTTTATTTTGTTTTAATTTCAACTTATTATTCTACCTTATACTTATTAAAAATTCCTATCCTTTCCAATAATAACCCCTAGGCCGATGTGGATCTGGCTGTGATTGCGGCCAAGAAGGCCTTCCATCGCAACTCGGAGTGGCGCCAGCTGAGTCCTCTCCAACGCACTGCCCTGATGAACAAGTAAGTTTATTTCCTCCTCAAAATCAACCTCCTGTTTAATCTCAATCTCCGATAGACTCTGCGGCCTGATGACTCGGGACAAGGACTTGCTGGCCAGCCTGGAGACCCAGGACAATGGCAAACCCTACGCCGAAGCCCTGTTCGATGTCACCTACTCCATGCTGACGCTGCAGTACTATGCCGGCTGGACCGACAAGTTCTTTGGCGACACCATTCCTGCTGGTGGCTTCACTTCAATGACCCGCAAGGAACCTGTGGGAGTGGTGGGCCAGATTATTCCCTGGAACTATCCCCTGCTCATGCTGGCCTGGAAGTGGGGACCCGCTTTAGCCACTGGCTGCACCATCATCATGAAGCCGGCAGAGCAGACACCACTCACGGCTCTCCATATGGCAGCTTTGGCCAAGGAGGCGGGATTCCCTGCGGGTGTGATCAATGTGATCAATGGCTTCGGACCCACTGCAGGAGCTGCCATCAGTGAGCATCCCGACATCGCCAAGGTGGCCTTCACTGGATCCGTGGATATCGGCAGAATCGTCATGGAGGCGGCAGCCAAGTCTAACCTGAAGAGGGTGTCCTTGGAGCTGGGCGGCAAGAGTCCTGTGGTGGCCTTTGATGATGCGGATAGTAAGTAGAAGCTCTCATTCTCTGAATTTATCCTCCTTAAGCCCCGAATTTCCCCCTCCAGTTGACTTTGCTGTGGACACCACCCACGAGGCTCTGTTCTCGAACCACGGCCAGAGCTGCTGTGCCGGTAGCCGCACCTATGTCCACGAGAAGATCTACGATCAGTTCGTGGCCAAGGCCGCCGCCAAAGCCAAGGAGCGCAAGGTGGGCAATCCCTTTGAGGCCAATGTTCAGCAGGGTCCCCAGATTGACCAGGAGATGCTCACCAAGGTTTTGGGCTACATCGAGAGTGGCCAGAAGGAGGGAGCCAAGCTGCAGGCCGGCGGCAAGAGGATTGGCAACGTAGGCTTTTTCGTGGAACCCACTGTCTTCTCGGATGTCAAGGACGATATGCGTATTGCCCAGGAGGAGGTAAGTTCTCATGTTGTTTATTATATTATATTAGATATTATGTGGATATATTCCTCTGCAGATCTTTGGCCCAGTTCAGTCCATCTTCAAGTTTAGCTCTCTTGAGGAGATGATCGATCGGGCCAACAATGTGCAATATGGCCTGGCCGCCGGCGTGATAACCAACGACATCAACAAAGCCTTGAAGTTCGCCAACAGCGTTGATGCTGGCTCCGTGTGGATAAACTGCTACGACGCCGTGCTGCCCTCCACGCCCTTCGGTGGCTACAAGCACTCCGGCATTGGCCGCGAACTGGGCAAGGATGGCCTGGACAATTATCTGGAGACCAAGACCATCACCATGAAGCTGCTTTAAGCTCAGAGCTCAAAGATTGAAGATGGAAGATTGAAGTTTGATGATCGAAGATCGAAAATCAAAGATCGGTTTCATTATTTCGTATACACAACACTGTTTTTAATTCGCACTGCTTTTTGGTTGTTGTCACTTGGTTAGACAATTGCATTTTTTTAAGAATAAAACTCCTGGATTGAAGTTACAAAAGGTTATGGTCGAATCTTCCGACTCGGAGATATGTCACTTGCCTGACTAAGGTGGATTCGGTTGCTTTGAAAAAGGTATTATAAATAAATAAAAATTCTCCAAAAAAAGGAAATTCTTTATATATCTGCTGCAAATGATATCCGAATTTTATAGGCCAAAATTATTTGGTTCAAAAGTACTCTATTTTTTATACCCTTGCAGGGTATATAATTTCAGTAGGAAGTTTGCAACACAGTGAAGGAGACGTTTCCGACCCCATAAACCATATATATTCTTGATCAGCATCCACAGGGGAATCTTTCTAGATATGTCAGGAAGAAATCGATTTTTTGGCCATTTTTGCGAATTTTGATAAGGGGTTACATCATTAAAATTAGCAAAAATGGCCAAAAATTTTGATTTCTTAAAATTTTAAATTTGGTATGCAGTTTTTTTAAATTAATAAAAACTAACACAAAACTGCTTTCCGAATCGAAATTAATGCATTTTTGGCTTAGTTATGATATATTTTAATTGTTACCTGCAAGGGTATACAAACTTTGGCTGGCCAAAGTTAGCTTTCTTTCTTGTTGTACATTAAATTAAATTTTTTTTATAGGGTTATGACACTATATCCTCTTATTCTTTTTTAAATTCCTGAAATTATTTATTTTCGTGAAATATATGGATATGTTCACTTATACTCGATTTTGTGCTTAAAAGTTTTATAATTTGTCTTGCTACTTTTAATATATAAAGCTCAGACCACATTAAAATCATCAATTTTTCCTTAAATAAACTTTCCAGCAAGTGACATTTACATCGAATTAAATTAGATTTCGAGGCACGAGTTCGTTAAGCTAAGACAGTGAAAAATATCAATTAAATATCGATTCATTATACACTAAAACCTAAGCTAATCTGGGTTAGTTAAGATAGTATTCCTTAGGCCTCCGCTAAACTAACTATAAAAATAAACCTGAGATTGCACACACTCTCCACCCTAGGATTCAGGCCAAATTCGTTGGCGGAACCTGGGACTGGCTTTGCACCTCTAGGAGAGGCACCGCCAGATCGCTTATGTGCGACCTGGCACTCTGATAGTCATCCTCGGATCTAGGACGCACCTGCCTCTGCGGGCTACTCTGCTGCACGACCTCCGTGTAGACCGGTTGAATGGGCACCTCAATCTCCCCGTTCCTGCCCTGGTCAAACATATCGTCAATGTCCACCAGCTGGAAGTCCACAGCAAAGATAAAGCGCAGCACCATGACCAGCAGAGCCACAATCCACAGCACCATGCCAATTACATAGCTTGTTCTAAATAGTTCCAGATAAGTATCATGGGACACCTTGTGATCGTGGACGATGGGACGCAGCAGAGAAATGGCATCGCCGCAACTGATGGCCGTCGGGTTCGTGAGATTCTCCCTCAGCTGGCCACACAAACTCTTGAGGTGTCCGTTGGTCAGGATTGTATAGAGGACGCTCCCCAGACTCATCACCGAGAAGATGACAATGGAGGGCACCACAATGCGCCAGGGTTTGGGCAGAACTCTGCAAGGATAATTTTGGATATCACTAATTTTATAAATTTATTTACTTTATCTAAATATTACTTACGAGCTCTTTTTGCTGCCCGTTTGAAAGATCAGGCACATGGCTGTCCAAATGATAGCCACAATTTCTGAAATGGGTGGAAATGCATAGACAAACTGGGCTGCTATGCTGCGACTCCAAAATGTGGCATGGGCATCCAGGGACACTAAGGAAAATTATGATTTAGTATTATACATAACACAGATTGAAAAATTAGATACTTACTGGTCCCCAAAAACTGCCTGTCTGCCTCGGCATTGAACACAATCTTTGGCGTCGGAGCCTTTGTGGTGGTGGTGGTTATCTTTTCTATATCCTGTTCGGCTATCAGCCGCTCCAACGTAGGCCGGTTTTTGCTGGACTCGTAAATATGCGAAATCTTGAAGGTTGGCTTGGTAGTTTCTATACATATAAAATATATTTTATATTATATCTATAACCAAAAATATATCCATAAAGTCCTCTTACGGCTCTCGCTCTTTAGCGATTCGGGAGTGACTTCCTGCTCCTGCACGGAGTACTTTTGGCCATAGGCATTTTGAGTGACAGCCATGAAATCCCGGTGGAGAATCTGCTTGCTGTGCTCATCCATCTGCTCGAAGTTGCGCTCCCGGAAGATGAGTTTGGCACTGACAATTCCCTCGTACAAATCACCCGAAATCATGTGCAGCGATACGCTCCAAATAATGGAGAATATGGCTATGAGGACCATCAGGCACATGACGGTGTCTGGAATTAAAGAGAAAGGAGAAGTTTGTAAGTAAATTTGTGTAGTCTGTTTTTCTATGTCTTTAAGCGACTTAACAATATCTCTTTTAATTATCAAAAAAAAATTTCAAAATTAACGTACAAGCTCTGTAAAATTGTTAGCAATATTTCGTTTTCCTCTTAATCTCAAACTTTTTCCGTAATTAATCTTCCTCGCAATTAAAAAAAAAAAAATATATATAAAAATATCTCTTTTCCTTATCAAAATAATTTTTCACAATAAAGTACAAGCTCTGTAAAATTGTTAGCTATATTTTGTTTTCCTCTTAATCCCAAAAACTTCCAGTAAATAATCTTTCTCGCAACTTAAATAATGAAATCATAAAAAATAACCTCTGCTGCCACTATTTATTATTATCAAACGGACTCCGACAAATGTGAATTTCAAATTAATGGCACATAGACTTGACTATATATAGACAATCAACTATTTTATGGATCTGCACTGAGCCGTAGATCAAGTATACGCACTGTGGCGAACAATGGATTACGACATTACGACGACGAAGCTATAGCTAGAAGGTTAGGCAGTCGATAATTTATGGCTTTCTAGTTATGTTATATTCGAATTTGTTTGTTTTGTGTAAGAATCGGGTCTCGCCTCGCATTTAATGCCTTTGTGTGAATTTATACACAGAATATATACAGTATGATATCATGCCAAATGTTGTGGAGCGCGGTTAACGAGTCTCCACGGAACATTTTCAGATGACGTCGATACCGGCTGACTGACTGCTTCCCAATAAAATTCATTTCAATTGATGCAAATATTGTTTCTCTGAGATAAAAAGGAAAACAAAAATTGAGAAAACAAACCCCTGGCAGAGTCAACAAACAGATTTATGCCGGAAAATATACGATTATACTCTGGGCGCATGAAAAGCCATGTCAAATGGTGAAAAATGTTATATTACCATGTCCACTTTATGGCTGAATTGTACAAAGTTGGCATGTACTCTCTATATAGTATATAGATCAACTGAGGAAATAGATCAGGGGCCGTGCCACCGCAAATTTCATGCCCCAAGTGCTTTGAACGCATTAAGCGGAATATTTTTCAGCTTTCTGCCTTTCTGACTTTCCTTTTATTCAGCACATAATATATGTATATATATGTATGTGATGTATATATATATATATCTGAAGCGATTTACTACGCGTTCTGCGTTGCATGATCCGCCGCTGCCACCATGGCATGACATCATTCCCACGGATCCCCCCTCCAAGCCCATAGCTCAGGAAAAAAAAAAACAATCAGCAGCGACGTTGTTCAGCAGAGAGTTAACAATAATCGTTAGCTCATTTTTTTTGTATGTAGGGAACCGCTTTTGGCCAGGTTTTCATAGCTGAATATGGCTCAAAAGAGGCCAAGTTTAATTGGAAAAAACTATAAATAAATATTACTAATTGGTTTCGGGGGAGAGGAAGATGTAATCTACAACAAAAATATTATACATTATAATTGCTAACTAAAAAAAAGCTTTTAATAAAATGTATAAATGTATGAAGTATTTAGGAAGATTGTGGTACACTTTTAGTACTGAAAAATTAAATAAAAAAATATATTATGACTTATTATATTACATATTTATATGGTGTATTTTATTCAGGTTAGGTTAGAATATTTTTAGCACCTAATGTAATTTAATTTTGTTAAAATGAACACGAAACCTAAACATCATTGAATTTATAAGGTTTTCTTAGGATTCTATTGTTTTCATTTAAAGAGTTTTCCTTGAAAATTCCCCTAAAAAGCCTTCAGGAAGTTTACATTTAAAAAGCCCTCAATGTCTAGTTAACAATTTCCCTTTTGCAAAATTGAATACTTAAGTGCTTGTTTACAATCTGTGACGGCTCCCGGAAGCTCTTTGGCCACCGAGCTAATTTCGTTAATGCCATTTAAAGGAACCACATGGCGTATACGTATTATAGACTGCGCCCACTCAAACAAACTTTTCTCCACTTATCTTTCAGCCAAATGAGAGCTTCCACCAGCTGGATAATATTCATTAAGCCTCAGAGGAAGCAGAGAGATCGGTAGATCAGGGGACCAAGTGTTAAAATGTTTATAAACAAACGCAAAACGAAGTTTATTAGTAATTAGCACATTGGCCTAAAGGCTTTAGATCCAGTTAGCACCTTTAATGAATTGATTGACGCTATAAAAATAAATCTAAATTTGGCACGTTAAACTGGCGGTTAAAAAATTGTGTTAAGACCTGTTCTTAAGCTTGGAATAATATAGTTAAATAGTTGTAAGTTTATTATTTGGACTGTTTGTGACATTGCTGGTGGAGTGATCAGTGCCCAATAAAGCTAAACATACTTAATATAGTCCTTAGACATTTAAATACAAATATTCAGATTTGGACTATATATTTTAGCAACTTTTAAAAAGCACACACATTTGCCCCACTGTCCACAAATATCGAAAGCATTATTGAGTAGGCGAGTCTGCGAATTTTCAAAACATTCGAATACATGATGCTTAGACCGTTTATCGATGCTGAAAGACGCGCCCCCTCCGAGATCACCAGCCGTGACTGATGGACAAAACTCGTGAAATGCCTTTAATTGACTCAAACATTTCGGCTGTCATTGAGCGGAAAGACAGTTCACCTCAAAAATCAACCAATTGGTGCTGTCACACGGTTCATTCCGAACCAAATGGAAATTCTATGGAACTTGTTTTTAGTTTCACCTTCTTGTGACGTTTTGAGGGCCATTTTAAAAATATACCCAGAGTCCAAGGGCCTTAGTAATATGTAAAAATAAAAACTAAAATATATATAGGGATAACATAAGTCAACATACTGTTCAGATTTCGTATATCGCTGGTGGTTAGCTTTCCCTGTTTGTATTTTTTTATCAGCTCCATTTCATGTTTTTTTGTATTCCAAATTCCGTAGATTATGTTTATCACACAGTTTCCTTTAATTTTGTACTTTTTATGGCAAAATTAAACACATCTAGCACAGTAATTGATTTTTTTCACATTTGTTTAGTTTATGTGAACTTTTAATGTAGATATTTCACGTGGCTAAACGGAGAGGCACACAGAAAATTTATTAGCCAAACAATAAACAGAATTTTGATCGTAAATAAAACTGCATTTTTAATGAAAACTTTGCCCGATTTTGTTGGTTGAATTTTCGCCTCGATTGTGCCCAGTTGAGCGATCGAAATAATTGAGATTAATTGATTTGAAATTACCAGCGACTGTGGGTGCCTATGGGTGTGTGTATTTGAGAGAAAGACAAATGAATTTCCAACACTTTGGCTATTAGTTTACAATTTGGCACATGGAATCCCAAACAGTTTGAGTTTTCAATTTCCATTTCTATTTCCAGGCCACATTACGTATACGTAACATTAGCATTAACACCTTTTTGTGCTTGCCCTCGAGTCTTTATTCTAATTAACCCCTTTCAGCTTGTTTTTGTGTGAATTTTCGTTTGGGAAAACTGACATTTGTCTAAGCCCGAGTTCAAGGTTGCCTTTGGGCCCACGATTTTCGTTTAGATTTCTAACAAACTTTGTCTTATATACACTGATTGGTATTCGAATTTGGATATCTTTGGATATATTTGCATAAAACGCACATCGCACAGCGGGTTAATTGCCGAAATCGGTAGCGAGACCACGCGACATTCGGGCACGCATCCAAGAGATACAAAATCCGATGGATTTCCGAACTACGACGTCCGACGTTCGTGGCTGTTGTTCAGACACTGAGGCGACCCAGCCATAATTCTCCAGCCAGAGAATCGGAGCGCTCTCTCTACTCTTTTTTTCCGTCTTTATTTTATTTACTCGGTTTTCTCTCTCTCTCTCTCTCTTTTCGGTTTTGTTTTGATTTCGAAAATTTGCAACTGGTTGCTGCTCAGGTTTTCGTTTGTTTTTGTTTTGATTTCGACTTGATTTTTGTTTTTTATTTTGTTTCTTGAAGAGGGAGGCAGGGGCGGAGGAAAAGGTATGGCGTGCGTGGGATGGGAAATATTTTCTTTTTTTTATTTAATATTGTTAGGTCTATTTTTGCTATTTTTGCTCAACCAACAAATAATTATGCCAAGTAGGTAAGGAATTATATTGATAAAAATGCTCATTAAAAATTAAAATAAATAATATAAATAGAAATTTTAAAAATTTGTTTAATTAAAGTTTAGTTAAACCAACCAGGTTTTTCCATTAAAACCTAAACCCTAAAACCCTAACAAGTTTAAGTAAGTTAAATATTAATTTTAAAATCTACACCTAAAAACCTTATAGATTCAATTTTATACCTATAATTAATATTTCATAATTTATCTATTCTCCTAAAAAAATATAATATTCTATGACTTAACCAAGCCCTTTTGTTCTTTAATCCACTATATAAATAGTCTCACTCTTTTGTTTACCATATGTATACCTTAATAAAAAACGCACCAAAAATACACCACGAATTATATCGTCGATTATTGTGCATCCTCGATTAGAGGCAAAAGCATTAACGCCCAACAGGAATTCAATTTCTATTTTCATTCGCATTGTTTCGACTCTCGACTTTTGGCTTTTTGGGGGGGCAGTTGCCACGGCCGCAATTATCGGCGATGACCTTGGGGAGAACACGCCGCTTTTTCACGTTCAAGGTGAACTTAATTAGCGGCCAGAACAGGCCTTCAAAGGACCTCAAATCGCGTGCCTGACAGGCATCTGGCTTTATTTAGGTTTCTTTAACTAAACGTGAAACTCAACGCCGTCTAACAACAACTTTTATCGCTTGGGAGCTATTGAGGTCTCAGAGGAGTTATTGCCGAGTTCCAGTTTACATTTCAATAATTTCTCAAGGGGCCTATGTTTATAAGGATCAGCTATTGCCCTTGGGACTAATCCAAGAATTTTAAAAGCTATAAATAAATTATTATAATAAAATAATAATAACTATTTAGTGTATACAATTTTTTAAGAATAATGGGTGTTTTTATATGATTTTAAAGCTAAGATAAAAAAGCCGAAAATAAACAAGAAAGGGAGCTAAGCTTGAAGCTTGCAATTGGATATTTAAAAATCTAATTTTTTAATTATTTAATCATTAATTTTATATGATAATTTTTGGAACCAATCCTTACTTTTACGATGAACGAATCTTTAGATCTTGACGAAAATCGAACTTATTTTTCTGGGAAATAAAAGATCATTGTCCTGCAATCTTCATCAGCGAATAAATTACATTATCCAAATATGTTCTATTAGTCTTGGATAAAAAAAACGTAAATAATTACCGGTCGAATAAGGAATTTATTTATAGATGCCGCACTGAAACCAATATTAACAATAATGACTTTTATTGCTGGTCTTCTGTGGCACGCAGTAAACATTTGCTCAGCCCTAACGAACACAAACCATTTTCACATTTCCACATATTTCCACACATGTCATAATAAGGTCTCCTCCGCCGCCACTGCCACCTATGGAAATACGGATAAACAAACAAATCTTTGCCATGCTTCCATGTTGAAATTGGCGATGACGTCGTCGTCCCCGCTTATGCAAATCCACAGAAGATAATGCGACACTCATGAATTTATTACATGAATGTATTACTCCAGGCAACAAAACAATAACAATAACAATAAGTTTATGAAACATGTTTTCCTTGACTTTCCATACTAATATATTTTTTTAAATATTAATTATTTTTTTTTAATAATGATCTATGGTTTGATTATAGAAAATATTCAATAAATAGAAATTGTGAATTGAAACCTATTATTTATTTAAAAAATAACACCACATCGTTGCTAAATTTATTTTATTATTTAAATTTATACAGTAGAATAAACAAATATGAAATTACATATGCAAAAATTATTTAAAAGGGTCCTTCAAAATGCTCGTAATTGTTTTAAATATTTCTCTAATTAAACTATACAATTTAGAGTAGAAATATCTTAATTGTTTTGTTCAATAATTTCATATTCTTATCTTTATTTTTTTATTAATAATAGTTTTTTAAACTCACGTTCACAGCGCACCACCCCGCTCCTAGCTTCCCGGGTTAGCATCTGCAGGCTGTCACCAATCCGCCGTATCCGCTGCGGTGGCGGGCTCCCCATCTCTCTGATCTCCGCCAGCACTTGGCACCCGCATCTAATTACGGCTTTCTGTTTACATCAGGCAAACAATTAGCAAAATGGCTAAGCAGAAACCCAGTACTTGAGTGCGCATTTTTTGGAGAGTCTTGAGTTTTGCCCAAGTTGGCCACAACGACTTGGCAATAAATCGGAGATTAGCAATAGCGAACCGACACTGGAGGAGTGTATTGGAGGAACGTTCATGCGACACGACAGCTCGACGAAAACTAAATGCCATTAGGGGTATTTGCTTCGCCGCTGCTGCTGCTGCTCTGCTCCGGGGAAAATTCAAATTCGATGGCGTCACTGGGTGTCAGTGGTGGTTACAACACCGCACACACTCGCAGGGCAAAGAGCATTCCTAGATCCCTGTTAGTGGTGGGAAAGGTGAGCTAGTATATCCTTTAAGAGGTAAATATATATATTAAAGAGGAAATAAACCTTGGAATACGTTTTTAAAATATTTAGATAGAAAGCTTTACGTTAATAAAAATATGTTAAGGTCAGACTCTAAAAAATTAATAAATAGACAAAAAATAGAAAATAAATAAATATAAAGCCCACAAGGGACTGCGTAAGATTTCGTACATTTTCTAGTAAAGGATACGGCAAGCCACTAATAAAATTATTAAATATTAATTACTATTAATAATGAATATAATTGAATTGTTCAGGGTATCAAATATAAAATGTTTTTATCCATTATTAATCGAAATAAAAGACATAAAAATGTAACTTTTCTTAAGATATTATTTAAAGACTTTTTTAAGAAAAAAAAATAATTTTTTTTAGAATAAAAGAATTTTAAAAATATAAAATGCTTTTAAAATACATCACCCTTGCCCATCACTGATCCCAGCCAGACAGACAGCCGCACTGTCCACAAACGGGGGGTTGATTTACCCCTAAAAAAAAAAGAAGGAAACTCACGAAAACAGGAGTAAAGGCAATGACCTTTCGCGGCACAGGCCGGGCCTAAATGTTTTCGGCCACCTGGAAGCCCAGACAAGAAATGAGTGTCAGTAGAGCGATTGCGTGTGCCCCGTTAATTACTAAAAAATGTTGACAACATCTGGACAAAGGGAGGAGGGATTGCTTCTTCAACTCTTTTTGAAATTCAAGTTATTTATTATCCAAAAAATACTCGATCGTTTCTCGAAATAAGTTAGTAAATTAATATACATATATACTAAAAATGTAGTTGTATATAATGCGCGTATGCTTGGTGTTAGTTACAAATTTCACATAGCTTTAATTTGCTTTCCGATTTATTGGTTTTATACAAAAATGTTCACTTACGGTTAATTGTGTTAATTATACTACTGATTTCTCATATATTAAAACATTTGCGCAACAAAAAGGCATTGCAATTAACTTTCAGTTGCCCGCTTTACATAAATACAAATTAACATATACGTATGTACGCTGGTTGGTGTAAATATATATAAATATATCGTGTAAATCTATCAATTTGATCGAATTTCGTTGAAAACAATTCGCAGTGAAAATACAAAAATGATTAATATTACTTAATAAATCATCTAAGGTAACAATTTTCGTTTTTACACACAACTAAAAGGCGATTGGTTTGAACAATTTGTAGTTACTCATTTGTTTTTCGCTTGTTTTGCTTTTTTCTCTAAGACTCACACTCCTAGTGACGATTGCCATCGACATTTTGGTAGATTTTGGATATAGGATACTTAACTCTAGGGCTACCTATACATATATAGCTCGATTACATAATACTAGTAGTTGACGTTTTGCTTTTAAATGGGCAGAGCAAGTTGTTGTTTCTATGATCGAATTTTGATTATTCTTGCATTTTTCCATACGTTTCTGGAAAAATTTCTACTATGACATAATTTTTAATAATATATGTATATTTATTTCAAAAAATGTTATAAAAAAAACATGCCATAAGGCAACAATCCAAATTTTAAATTTAAATATTATTGTAAATTTTGTTGTAATTTTAACAATCAATTATTGCACAAGAAATTAACTTGCATAGTAATGACTTTTACAATAATGTAAGAAACAAAAAAAATGGTTTAATTAATAAAGTTGCATAGTAGTAATTTTTACCACAATGAAAGAAACGATCCAAAAAGGTTATTAATTATTAATAATTAATGCACCATTTTAGTTATTTGAAAAAATAAAACACTATTGACACATTGTATTATTACAATTTATAAGACAAAATATTGAGAAAATTTAATTGAAAAAAATCTCTAAATTTTGTGCGTGTTGCGACCTAAAGCGAATTTCGAATTCTCACAAGCTGCCAAGCTGCCAAGCGTTGCGTAAAATATATGACATACATGGGTAAAAAATATTATAGTTACGATAATAATAATAATTTATAATGGATAACAGATTGCAAATGATTTAAACCCTTAAAACAGAAGCTGCGTAAATGCACTCGAATGCTTAAAGCTCCGATAACTAAATATTCCTTAACTTTACAACATAGTTGGGCGCTCTGATTACTTAACTACAACTTAGTGAGTTTGGGTGGACGCAAACGAGTCGATCTATTAATAAATACGTAAAAAGAATAATAGCCATTGTAACTAGGTAAAATTCGCAAGGCAAATACAACACAGTGTTATCTGGGGAAATGGAAACTAGAGAGTGGCGGCGAGAATAAATTAATTACACTGAGAAATAATAATTACAATAACTAACATAGGGCGGAAATACTATTCGTTTTTGCATTTAGAACTCTCTCCTTGGGCGGGAATGGGTTTGCAGTTAGTACCGGATATCGGAGGAAAGAGACAAGTATTATTTGAAGCGTCGCTGCGGCAAAGTCGGACTCTCGGGTGGCGTATCGCCACCGGCACCGGCTCCGCCTCCCACGACGATCTGTTGCAGGGAGTGCTTCTTGGTCACATTCTTGAACGGCGCACCCAGCTTTCGGGGGCCACGTGGTGAAGCGGAGGCCAATCCAGTGGCCGCCTCCATGGCCGCCGTTGATCCAGCGGAGGCCGAGGGCACCAAACCCATTATGGGTGCAGAATCAATGGAGGCTTGTACCCAACCTGCAAGAGGGGGAGATTATTATTATTTAAAGGAATATATTTTTAAATTATTATCTTTAAATTGTTTCATATTTACCCTTAACGGAAGCCCGATTGTGATCCAGCAGAGCCGAAGCTAGGGGAGCTGCCGAGCTGCTGCTGGCATTGGACTCCCTCAGAGTGCCCAGCGTGGGCAGCGGCATGGGATTGTAGATTCGGCTGGCAAAGTCCTCGAAGGTGGTGCTCTCCTTGTACCTTGAAGAAACGCTGTCCAACGAACGATTGCGCTCCTCGTAGCTGTAAATATATTATTCGAATTATATTTTATAGCTAAAAAAAAACAAACATTTCAACTCACAATTGCTGGTAGAGCGGCAAAGCTGCGCGCTTTGTCCGACTGGCATTGATGGCCGTGGCCCGGATCAAGGTGGCCAGGCAGGCGCCGCTCACCACGCTCTCGTTAGCCAGCGGCCCAAACCACGGTACCTCGGGCTTTCTATTGACTGTGACCCGGAAAAGGCCGTTCCTCAGAGGATACACCACGATGAGCACGTCGCAGAACTCGGTGGGCAGGATGTCCCGCCGGTAATCGCGATGATGTTCGCTCCACACGATGTGCACCTCGTCGTTGCCCAAATGCCGCGTCTTCAGAAGCATGGCCTCCGACGAGTCCGAGGGCATCCGCGTGGCCACATGGTACACCACCTCCAGGAACGGTGTGGCGTAGTAAGGAGCCGTGGCGCCACATCCCTGACGCGGTAGACCCCCCAAGAAGCCATTGTGCGTCTCCAGATCAATCTCCCAGCCCAGGGCCGAGACGAACATTTCGTAGGTGCTGCTGCCACTCGTATTCCGGAGGATGCTGCCCTTGTCCTCCTGTCCGGCGGCCACATAGATCACCGCCATCTTGTGCGTTTCCCGGCACTTTTGCAGGTCAACGTTGCGCAGCTCCCGCATCAGCTTCTCGCTCCTCTGCAGTAAGTGCGTCCGGGAGCGTCGCTCCCAGCCAGCCAGTCCCAAGTGTGAGAAGAGCAGCCGGCAGTACTGGAAGGGCATCTCGGTGCGCGTGGGCAGGGAGTCGAAGGAGGCGCTGGTCGAGTGTATGGACCTCTGGTCAGGCAGCGAAGTACTAGAGCTGGCGTGCCGCAGGGCGGGCGAAGGAGCCTGCGCCGAGTGCGTCACGTACTCCTGCTCCAAAAGGCGTTGATTGAGGATCACCGAAATGGCCTGCGCCTCTTGGTTGCCGCTCAAAGGACTGCTACTCGGGGCATTAAGCTGAGTAACTGTGGGCGCCACGCACTCGGGGCTGGTGTGTCCTATGTAGGCCAACATATCGTCCAGCTGGTCCAGATCCGGGGCCATGTCCTGGGCCAAGGGCAGCACTCCAGCCGGACGATGACGCAAAGTGTGACGCGGTGCCTGCAGCTCATGGGCCACCATGGAGGAGGAGACCATGGAATCCAAGGGATGGGAGTGCAGGATCTTGGGAGGGGCTCTGCTAAGAGGAACCTCCTCCGACTTGCGGGGCTCCGAGTACAGAATGGAAGCATCCCAGCAGGCCTTGCCATTGAGATCCCGCATCAGGACCCTCACCTGCTTCTCTGCGGTGACCAGACCAGCGGTTACTCCTCCTCCAGGAAGCTTAAGCGTGGGCAACTCTATAAAGCTGGCCACCAGGCCCGAGTTGAGCATGAAGAGCTGCATGTTCTGGGCATTCACCACCGAAGGCAGCTCCACAGAATCGCGTCGAGCTTCCGCCGGACCTCCAAAGACGTTGCTCCCTATGTCATCCTGCTCCTCCACCATGGAACTGAGGCGAGAGGCGCCAATGCCCATGGGAAAGTGACCGATGTGGGTCACCAGATGCATGGACACCGCCTTGGCGCACAGCTTGATGGCCGTGATGCACTTGTGGATGGTCTCCGACGTCTGGTAGGTGGCTTCCGGCAGGCGCCCGTCGCCCTGCAGGTCATCATGGGTTATGTGCATGTCGAAGTCGTCGTCCGCCGTCAGCTTCACCCTCTCGTGGCGTGGGGCTCCGGAGGCAACCTGCAGGAGCACTCGGAGCACCTGAAGCACCAGGGTATCGCCCTGGTCATTGAACGGAGCCAGCATCAGAGCTGCGGGAATCGCCATGCAAAATTCACCCAAGCAGAGCATCAGCGACGTCAGCACCACCTTATCCGAGTCCCTGGGCTTGGTCACGTTCTGAATCTCCAAGGCCTTGCACAGCGCGGTTATTATGAGCTGGGGAACCCTTTCGATGGACGCCAGCTGCCGGCCACGCTCCGCGCAGAGCTTCAGTGAATCCACGGCCACCATGGCGATGGTGTGATGCTTGAACTGCAAGGCCTGCAGCAGCACCTGCAGCACTTCCTTGATGCGAGGATTAAACACCTGCGTCTCCTTGGGCTGGACATCCTTGTGATGCGGCACTGCCTGCTGGAAGAGGTGACCCTTGCCGGCAGCCGAGGAGGCACCCACCAAGGGCTGCGAGAGCCGCAGGAGCAGCCACTGGCCCAGCTGGGCGAGGGCAATGCAGCGCGCCCGAGAAGAGGGCTCCCGCCTGGCGCATCTCAATACAATGTTCAAGATGTGATCCTGCAGATCCGGGCACTCCATCAGCTCAAACTTCTGCGGCGAGGGCTGCAGCACGGGACGCGGCAGCAGCGAGGACGGATAGCAGAGCAGCGAGCCCAGCAGGGCAGCCACCTCGGCCCGGGGCGTGCTCCGGGAAACCTCCAGGGAGGTAAGCAGTATAGCACTCGCGTGAACCAAGTCCAGCAGGAGGAGCGTGTGCCCGGGCAGCAGCAGGCTAAGCAACCGGGGTCCCTCCAAGTGCTTGAGGATGGCATAAATCAAATCCCGATCCTCACCCGTCAGCAGCTGGTGGAGAGCGTGATAGAACAGCGGCAACTGCGGCTGCATGCCCACCGTTCCTCCTTGAATGGCCAGCGAGCAGAGCAGCTGCAGAGCCCACAGTTTGCCCTTCTTGAAGGATCTGTCCAGCGTGAGGGAGCCATAGCACCAGGGTGCCACTATTCCAATCGGTGGCACCAGAGTCGGCGGCGGTGGCGTGCTCTGATTATCCGTGGATATGCCCTGGTTCTGCTTGATCTTAATCAGATTCTGGGTCATCTCCAGCAGGTGCATGAAGACCTGGGCGTGCAGCTCCGGCTTTGGGATGCGATTCACATCGCCCAGGGCGCCCAGCATGCGCTTCCACATAATGGAGGTGGAGTCTGGATGCCAGCCCTCCGCCGAGCCGCCTAGGATGATGCAGCGACGACCGGAGAGGCTGCCCGAGTTGCTGCCGCTCCCGTAGCTCCCCGAATTGGCATCATCCAAGCTGGCATCGATCTGCAGTTGGGCATCCTTGATGGAGCCCCCTTCGATGCCACTGCTGGCGGTGGGCGATGGACTCCTGGACCCCGCTCCACTCTCGTTGTCGCCCTCCATGTCCGTCTCCTCGGCGGCATCGCTACTCTTCCTGGCCAGGGAGTCCAGGGACATGGCCCGGCGCAAGTCCTGCGCATTAATGCGATTCTCCCCGTTTGGCGGCTGCTGCTGCTGCTGGAGGGGCTTGGGTTTGGGCGGAGGAGCTGCTCTACGGCGACGTATCCTTGCCGAATTCCTGGCCGCCGAAGCCAGGCTGCCTTCGCTGTAGCTACGGCTCAGCATGGGCGTCAGAGGCACTGGTCGTGAGCCCTGTCCCGCGCCTCCTTGTGACTGTGTGTGCTGGTGATGCGTACGATTTGGTTGGTGCTGATGCGGCACCTGCGAGGACGAGGTCTCCTCCGAGCGACTGCTATTTGATTCCGCCAGCGACTCTCTCTGCCGGCCTTGGCCTGAGATGGCTGCCGAAGCAGCGGCATTGCCTCCGCCTGTGCTGGCGCCCGATCCCTGCCAGACGCTACCGATGCGACGCCGCTTCTCGGCCCGGCTCTCCGCCACCCGATCCAGGGGCAAGTCCAGCAAGTTGATGCCGTAACTGTAGCGGGAAAAGACCCGCGTCAGCGTCTGTATGGTCTTGTTCCATTCCACGATGAGCTCCTCGCGATGCGTCAGCGATTGCAGGACATTGAGGAACTTTTCCCACAGCTGCACATTCACGGGGACCTTGGTGTGGGCTCGTATCCAGGTGACAATCAGGGTTTGGAAGATTGCCGACCCCAAAATCCCTCCCAAAGTACCGCTCTTGGGTGTTCCACCGCCGCCATTGGGCTGATTCTGATGCAAAACCACAGAGGTGACCTGCAGGAGCACCAGCAGCAGCTGCTCCCAGGTGCGCGAGTCCATCTCGGTGTTCATTACCATGGTGCGGTACACATTCAGCACCTTCTTGCAGATCTCCGTCTGCTCCTCCAGCGGCGTGGACCGATAGGTGCGCGAGCGTCCGGGGAAGCAGATGTTCAGGTTGGCGGTGTTCACCAGGAACACGTTGGCGGCATTGGTCACGAATACCTGCAGCACATTCTGCCGACCAGCTCGCACTGCCTGCTGATCCTTGGAGCCCGCCATGGCACCCACATAGGAGGGCGTGCGCAATCGCTGACTCCGCGGTGTCCCGCCCGCCGTTGACAGAGGCGGTGGTTCATCATTCGGCTCCAGCAGAAACGGTGGCGGCGTCTCGCCCGTCATCCAATCCCTGTACACAGCGATGGCAGTGCGTATGGCCTCGATCTGGGGCTTGGAGGTGAAGTTCAGCAAGAAGGCCTGACGATACACCTCGTGCACAAAGTTGATATTCTCCCGGCTAACGTAGAACACATCCCGGACGATCAGTCCCTGCTGGTAGCCCTGCAGGCGGACATGATCCACCTCCTCGAGGTGCAGGGTGCAGTCCAGGCGGTGACTCAGCAAGCGCTCGTGGGTGAATCGCGACACCCAGTTGATGAGGACGACCACGCAGGAGGCCATCACCTCTTCCTTTTTGTTGATCGATCGCATCACGGGCAGATCCAAGCGCGGACTGTAGATGGAGCAGGTGACATCGAAGTTAGGCGAGAAGACGGGCAGGAATACGTCCATGAAGCGCTGCAGCAGAAAGGCGAACGCCCGGTGATCCTTTTGGGCCCGATTGTCACGCCATCGCAGGCAGGCCGCCGTATGCACCATGCTGTTCAGCAGCACCTCCAGCCCGTCCCGGGGATCCGGAGGTGCTGACTTCTCGCTGGACGAAGGCGGCAGCAGGGCAACAACCTCCGAACTCTGCACAGGGTGGGAGAAGGCGTTGTCGTGGAATACCGAGGCCATTCCACCGTCCGCCTTCATGTTGGGATGCGTGAGAAAGTCCGAGGCACTGAACTCCGTGTCCGGACCGGTGACGCCCTTCTGGGGAACAATGAGGCCGGGTATGAGGTCCGCGTACATGGCGTGCACATAGCCGGGGGCATTCTCCCCGAGGGTCTGATACCACAGCAGGAAGTACCTGACGCCCTCGCGTCTCAGTTTCGGCGAGTTGCCCAGATGCAGCAGCTTGGCCATGATGCGGCTGAGTGAGTGGCATTGCCAACGGCGGGCCAACAGCTCCGGCAGCAGGCACAGAATCTTCTCGAGAAGCCATAGCGAACCGTCGAGCTCCTCGCGATGCGCCTTGTGAACTGTTCGGAAGGAATGGATTTATTAATTAATTAATTAAATAAATGGTGGAAGGGAAAAGTATTCCTGTTTCCACTACGGATGCATTCTGGACAAGCACAAGAGACAGAGATTTAAAGAGAGAGAGATGCATGTGGTGCAGTTCGGAGAGAGATTACATAGCCACGGGAATGGTCAGTGGACACATGAGTTTTTTTATGGTAAACTGAGTTCATAAGCAAAGTCGAAGGGGAAGAGAGGAGGAGGTGTTGGAGCAAGTGGAGGCGTATACAATTCAATGGTCAATTCAAAAATGTCAATAAGAAACCACATAAACTTACCAATGTGAAACGGAAGTTCTGCCAGTTAGGGGATTTACAAAAACAGAGAGAGAAAGAGAAAAAAGGGGGTAAAATGGAGAAATAGAAGAGGATTTTCGATGTAGAACATCTCGATTTCTTTCTTTAATTGTTTTGTTTATTTTTGGGAAAATACTATCTCTACAAAAATGGGTCAAGGCATAAAGATTAACGAAACCCAAACAAGGCGGGAGACTTAATGTCACCGCTGTTTGTTTTGCTTAATTGGAGGAAATTAAATCTTCACAAACATATGAGCTAATTAAAAGAAAGGGTTTCTACGAAAATCGAATGATAAATACTCTAAGAAATATAGAAAAGCCAAATATTGGAACTTTAATTTAGGGGAAACATACATAAACTGGGCATAAATTTACATTAAAATTTCTTTAGAAATCTATTAACAAGCTAATTAAAAAAAAAAAAGGTTTCTACGAAACAACGAAGGGTAAATACTCTAATAATATATTCAGATATAAAAATAAGGATTTATAAATAAATAAAAATATTAAAAAAACAAAAGCCAAAGAGGAAAAACCAAAAAATGGAACTATAATTTAAAGGAAACTGGGCTCAAATTTAATTTAATTTTCTTTAAAAATAATTTAACAAAGTAAAACATTAATTAAACCTTTGGAAGGGGTATAAGAGGCCATATCTTGACTACATCTCTGAGCGATCTTAATTACCTTTTTGCTTTAGATTGGCCTCGGCTTGAATGAAGGTGTCGTAGAGTATAAAATACACATGACTGTAGTTGGTCTCGAACAACGACTTGGACTCCTCTAGCTCCACATTATCTGAAATATAAAAAAAATAGGTTAATGGGTAAGACAACGAATTCGTAATCGAAAGAACCAATTTATCAGTATTCTGAAAAGCCATTATAATAATAAAAAAACGATTATAATAATAATAAGTATAATAATTATAGCCAAAAGCTTGTATAACAATGAAGGACCCATTTTCGACCCTATAAATCATATATATTCTTGATTTATTAACCTTAAGAAAACTCTAGAGGTAAAAGTTTCACAGTTTCAATTATAAGTTTTTTTTTAATATTAATCACAATTCAATGACCAAAACTCTACTCTGCACATGCGGTGCTGAAGGCGTAAAGATTACGCATCCTTGCTCGTCCTTGTAGTCCGCATAGTTTTGCCAGAGGATGCACTTCATGCCTAGGGCTTCCTTCTGTCGGGCAGAGTAGAAGCTCGTACAGGTAGCCATCATTAGCGGAAAGCCCTTGGTGCGTCCAACTTTCATTAGAGCCTGAGACAGCCGGGTCCCCAAGCCCCTGCCCCTCATTTTGGGCTTTACAAAGGTTACACTAGAGTATAGAATTCTGTCAACTTTGTAGCTCTCGAAGATGTTTGCCTTGGCTTCGAGGTCATTTAATAATTGGGAAATCAAAGCCACTTCTGGTTGTAATTTCCTTGGGAACTCGTTAGGCTCCTGCATATCTTTGCGAGTCTTGGCTCCAGCTAGGACAAAGCCAAGAATGCGCTCGGGGTGATTCTCCTCAACGGCCACCAGAGAGGTGCCCTCTTCTATCATCGACAGGTGCAAGGCATCGATAATGGCTATGGTTTCCGGTCGTACGTTTATCTTTAGACTCTTTAAAATCGGCTCGTCGTTGACGAAGTCCCCGTGTAAAAGAGGGCCCACAGTCTTGTAGTCGTCCAGGTTCATGGTACGGATTGAGATGCCATTATGTTGATCTTCCATTTTAACTTTAGTAGTGAAAATGTGACTATTCGCTTTGAGACTAGAAGTTCAATTCCTTGGCTTTCACTGTAGCCAATTTGTATTTATACTTGCTTCTTATCATAACAAGATCCAAAGCTCTTTTGTTTGTAAAAGCTTAAAGGCAGTAAAAAATACTTTCCCTCAACAGTGTTGATATGTGTGATGGCTGTCCCCGGTTTTAGTTATTCTATTAATAGGACTGAAGGCTCGAGAAAACAGAGTGTGTGGATCAAAAATAAGATAATTTTTAACTCTCAAACCTAACTACCAAAACTAAATAAATTTATTGCTAATAACTCGCATTCCTATTTTAAAACATTATTTATTTATGTGAATATTTATATTTATTTTATTTATTACCAAATCAAAAGAGCCATTTAGACAGGAATGTTACAATTTATCCCTGTGCAATGGCGATAAGAATTTTTTGCCTCGACGGGGGCAACAACCAAGATAATGACGCAACGCATCGTGAAGCACCTGTGCACCTGTGTCGGTCCTATTTACTATCTGCTGATAACGCTGCAAATCCAATCCCCCAGCCAGTCAATATTCCCTAACTTGTCTATAGCTATTAAAAGTCAAGTTACAAAAAAATGATGATGGGTGCTCAGCGATCAGCGCTTTGCGGTGATTCAGAGGGGCAAAAGCAAGAGATGTGGGGTATTCACTGCCATTGCCGGCTTGCTGTCATCAGCAAAGCACACTGCAAAAGCAGAAGAAAGCTAAACAACGAGATAAAAGCAAGGTAAGAAACATTTTGAAACCGGTTTTCCAGCAGAAGGCCAACACACAGAAAGAGAAGACGAGTCTACGAGTGCACGGAAAATAAAGAAAGTATAATATAACTAACAAATTAAATTTATAAAAAAATTAATTTTAATGTTATCCTTACTTATTAAAGATATTTGTAGATTAAAGTAATAAATAAAGGGGTAATGGTGGTATTTGAAATCAAATATCTTAAGAAAAATATTTGTAACAATAGAAGTAAAACGGGACCATATGCTCTATGTTTTTGTTATTATATACTATTTTTTTCAGTGTCCTATTGTTGATGAATTGGTTAAAAACAATTGGGAGCGCGCAGCCATTGGGAAGAATGTCTAAATGTCTAATGCGTGTAATTTGCCAAGGGACAATGGGGCAACGAAGCAACAACAATGGTGTACCACCGGAGGGTGGCGGCAGCCAGGTGTATTAGTGATTTGTTGAATTGTGGAGGGAAGCATTGGCACCTGTTGGAAATCGCTCGAATAGGTGACACAAAAAGAAAGCCACTGAAAAGAGGTGTTGAAGGAGAAGAGGGAGCACCTGCGACTCGAACTCGAACCCGTACTTGCTGTACATACGGTGTTAATACAGTAGAACTTGGTTAAGTTAATTCTCAGAGAAAGATTTTTATTAATTTGTTGCAATAACTTATAAAACCTCAAATTTTAACTATAAAACTTTATAATGATATGTTAAACACACGCCTAGAGGTTGACTTTGTATAAAATTGACAGCTTTGATTAGTAATAAGGCGACGTTTTTAAATATTTATTTCATTTCATTTTTTTTAATTTATTTTATTTTATTAATATTTTTAGAATTAACACAAGGTCGAAATAGAATAGTTTATCTTTAGCAAGCTTCGCTGTAGCTCCACTTGTTCGTTTCTTTATCATTTAACGTTTTTCACACATTTTCGCTTGCCACATAGCGGAGCATGTGTATGTCGGTTGATTTTTTACTTATCTTTTTCCTTTTTTTTTTTTTGCATAAATTAATGCTTCTAGCGGAGAAATAAGGGGTACAGAGTATGGTACATTATGGCTCGGTTTGGCATAGTACATGGAATATATAAAGGTTCTTTTGCGCCCAACAGGAAATGGCCAACGCGGTGGCCCCACATTTTGTTGTTTGTGCTGCTCCAACCGTGGTGGACTGTGGGCAGAACGTCATTGAGTGAGCGCGAGCCACTGTGGAGCGAAAATGGTTCGACTGAGACGCCCACTTGTCAAAATAATATAAAAAAGTATATAAAACAGCCAACCAGTTTCATTGTTATTTCTATGAATGCAAATAAATTATGAAATAATTAACATCCAACAGAACCGCCAACGCGGGACCTTGCTCTTAACAAAACGTTAAAAACAAAAAAAAACTTAAAGTCAATTAAGATGGTAACAATACCCTTTTTTAAGGAAATTAAGATAAAACTAATAATTTTAGATAATACAATTATTCAACTATTTAAGAAATGTTTTGAAAATGTTTTTTTTAGAACAAATGCCTTGGCTTAGGAGTACAAAAACAAACCCTAAACATAACCTAAGGATCTGATCTTATAATCAGTATCCAGCCGTGGTTTGCTTTTTTGAGAAAAAATAAGATAACTCTTTGAGACCCATACTTAACTTTATAAATTCTTTTACTAAATGAGTCCTTTATTGTTTTTAAGTTAACAAACTTAGGTAAAGTATGTCAATTAACCTTACCCAATATCATGCGTAGGTGTCGCAATCGGGAGGCGGAATCCTTCTTGCAGTCCTGCAACTTGGCCGTGGATTTCTTCACATCCGCATGGGATTTTTTGGTAAACATTTTGCACCTTGTGTTCTCTGGTATTGCACACACCAATACACATCACACGAACAACACAAATGCAGGCGGCGGCATGGGCATGTGTGAGTGTGTATACACTTTCTATTCGCTGATTTTTCAGATTTTCTCGTTCAGCCTTCTTCTCTGCCCGATTTTCTGGCTTTTTGTGCCTTTTGCAGCTATTTATTTATACGCGCACGCCAACGAAAAGCACTTTTGTCCAGCGGAGCGCCCCGGAGAAATTATTTAGCAACGCCCGCCACTCTCTTGCCCGCTGACGTTGCTCGCTGCAAGACGTGGGACGGGGGTGGCGACGGAGGGGGCGGTGGATGTACTGGGTCCGGAGCTTTGCCTTTCGCTGCTGTTTTCCCGCACCTATTTCATCGCGCACTTGTCACTGGCACTCCCGGACGTCGCGCACTTGCACCTGCAGGCTAACGGCGCGGATTTTACAGCACATTTTCCCTGCTTTTCGCGTTTATGTTTTCCTTTTCCATTTGCGTCGCGTCTCCAGCTCTCCAGTTCCGTTCACCTTGTGTGGTTCCAAATCCCGCTCCGGAGTGGTTCATATTCACCTGGCTCCAACTAGTTCGCGGTGTGAGCGATAAGCATAAGCGGTTCATGCCGCGGCTGTTCGGGAATTTTTGAAAACCTAATAGTAAGTCATTTTAATTATTGATTACTTTAAGATATATATGAAATGTATGAAAATTTAACGAATTATATTTTATATCTTAATTTTAATTATTTAACAATTAATAAATTTACAAGGCTTTCCAAATGGGGACAATTGTTAAAAAATATATGAAATATATTTTATATCTTAATTTTAATTATTTAATAATTAATAAATTTACGAGGCTTTTCAAATGGGGACAATTATTAAAAAATATATGAAATATAAGAACATTTAACATATTATGTACTAATTATAAAATTAATATATAATTTTAATTATTTAATAATTATAAATTGTCTAGATTTCCAATTAAAAAAAAGTTTGACAAATGTTTATATTTTTTTAATTTTTTTTGTATTATGTTTTTAAGCATTACAGTTATTAAAATTCTATAAGTAAATATGTAAAAATTTCTTAGATAAAAAAAATGTATTAAAATTTAAATCTAATTAGGAACATTAATTGCTGACGACCATATTTGGAAAACATCTTATATGTTTATGATTTAAAAAGTGAAAATATTAAAGCATAAATTTAAATTTATTTTATTTTTAAATCTATAAGAATTTTTGCGAATTTAATTTAAAATTTTGCGCAACTTCCTCTATATCCACTTAAATTCCTATAAATATGAAACCCCTTTCACCTCAATCATTATGCTTTTACCAAATTTATATTATTTAATCTCTGATAGGGGTAAGTAATTAATCGGCAATTAAACCTGGAAAAGCTGCTGAAGCCCCCAAAATCAGTACCATGCGATTCGTGCGGAGGCAAACACGCCGTATTCGGGCCTTGTGGCTTCGATTCCTCCCCCGACAATTCCGACGGTGGAAGCACCACAGCCAGTTGGTGTTTGCTTGCTTATCCATGACCATTGTGCTTAATACCCTTTACGGACTTTATCCCGGATACTTTTCTCTGAAACGTAGGAAGTTTGTTTTTTCTAAAGTGGTTGCGGTTTACTGTTTCACAGTGGCCGTGATACTCGGATTGTTTTACATCTGGCATATCTATAAAGGACTCTCGGCGGGTGATATAAACCTACGTCATACCATAGAAATATTTTGCTACATGAACGTCACCGTTTGCCTGATAAACTTCATTACCCAGTGGCCAATAATAAAGCCTGTCTTACGATTCCAAAACAGTGTGCCACTCTTTGAGGTCCTTAATTCCCTGGAAATGTCCATGATGTTGGTGTGGAGGGCCTTTATCTATGGTGTTCTCAAGATTCTGGTTTGTCCGCTCGTCGCGTATATAACCCTGATTCTCTACCAGAGACGTGCCCATCCGGATCTTAGGTGGACAAGTTTTGCCACTGTGAGGACGATGCTGCCTCTGATAGTATCCAATCAAATAAACAACTGCTTCTTTGGAGGCCTGGTCATTGCCAACTTAGTAGTGGCTGCGATTAATAAAAAGCTACTCGGCATTGTCAAGGAGGTCAATATGCTGCAAACTCCTGGACAGATGGATCTCCAGAAGCCATACTACCGAATGCGTCGCTTTTGCGACTTGGCCGATGAATTGGATGAACTGACTAAGAAGTATGGGCTGACTGCCTGCCACTCCAAGGGATACCTACGGTTCACGGATTGGTCGATGATCCTGTCCATGCTGATGAACTTAATAGGTATTACCATGGGCTTCTATAATCAGTATCTGGCCATTGCAGATTACTATATAAACGAGGAACCTTTCGATCTCTCTCTGGCCATTGATCAGTTGGTGTTTCTGGCAGTTCCCTTCATGGAGCTAGTCATGGTGACCAGGATAAGCAATCAAATGTTACAGGAGGTGGGTTTTTAATTTGTGATTGTTAATATTATTTAAATATTATAAGTTATTTAATTTCTACTCCCTAGACCAGGAGAACCGGTGAACTCTTGCAACGCTTTGATCTTCACTACGCCGATGTTCGTTTCAAGCAGGTGGCTAATGCCTTTTGGCTACAGGTTTCCACAATTAACTACAAATTGATGCCTCTGGGTCTCTTGGAGCTGAATACATCCTTGGTCAATACAGTTTTCTCGGCCGTCATTGGATACTTGTTGATTCTCATTCAGTCTGACTTGACCTTGCGATTTTCACTTAAATAAATTAATTTAAAATTTAAATAAATAATTAAAATATTATTATTAATTTGCACTTCTGTCAAGACATTAAAAGATTTTGAATAAAGTTTACTCCAGCCGGCGTTTTAACCGCCCCAGAAAGTTATCGATTGGCGCGCTATCGTCTTGGCACTGGAACCAAAGTCCGGTCGGCAATCGCCAACTGGTTCACAAATGAACCAACTGCCCCGCTGAGTGACGTGTAAGCGCAGCCAGAAAACCATTTCGTTTGTTTTATCAACGCTTTTTACGTGAATTCGCCGATAATGGGTTCGTTCCGCCGCGACAAAGATGAGGAGGAGGACGGTGAGTAGCGCTCCCTAACGCCCGAGACTTACTAATCCCACGCCAGAGGAGTCCAATCTGCGAAAAACTCCAGCGCTGGAAGGTGCTCCGCTGGCAGAGACACCGCACTCTCACACTCACACACTAAGTCAAACACACACACCCCTACTCACACAGAGAGAAAAGAAAAGTATCGAGTTGTCCCCAAAAAAAAAAAATAGAATAAAATCTGATCAAGAAAATGAATTATTTTTCCCTCACCACGCACAAAATACGCGGCGGCTTTGGAACTTCCTCGAAAACAGGGCCGGTCAATGCCTACCAGAACCTGGAGAAGACGTCGGTGCTACAGGAGACGCGCACCTTCAACGAGACGCCGGTCAACGCCCGCAAGTGCATCCACATCCTCACCAAGATCCTGTATCTGATCAACCAGGGCGAGCAGCTGGTAGCCCGCGAGGCCACCGACTGCTTCTTCGCCATGACGAAACTCTTCCAGTCCAAGGACGTGGTGCTGCGCCGAATGGTCTACCTGGGCATCAAGGAGCTGAGCTCCATTGCCGAGGACGTGATCATTGTGACCAGCTCGCTGACGAAGGATATGACCGGCAAGGAGGATCTGTATCGGGCAGCCGCCATCCGTGCCCTGTGCAGCATCACGGACAATACCATGCTGCAGGCCGTGGAGCGATACATGAAGCAGTGCATCGTGGACAAAAATGCTGCGGTGTCGTGTGCCGCTTTGGTCAGCTCCCTGCGCCTGGCCAGCACCTCCGGCGATGTGGTCAAGCGCTGGGCCAACGAGGCCCAGGAAGCCATGAACAGCGACAACATCATGGTGCAGTATCATGCCTTGGGGCTGCTCTACCACATCCGAAAGTCGGACCGTCTGGCGGTGTCCAAGCTGGTCAACAAGCTGACCAGGGGTTCGATGAAGAGTCCCTATGCCGTGTGCATGCTGGTGAGTAACGTCCAGGGATCTCTCGAACTGCATCACTAAAGAATCTCTAACTCCAAATCCCCTCCTTAGATCCGCATTGCCTGCAAGCTCATCGAGGAGGAGGACATTCCCTCCGAGGAGCTCTCTGACTCGCCACTCTTCAGCTTCATTGAGAGCTGTCTGCGCCACAAGAGCGAAATGGTCATCTACGAGGCGGCTCATGCCATCGTCAACCTAAAGAACACCAATCCCCGGATGCTCTCGCCGGCCTTCTCCATTCTCCAGCTCTTCTGTAGCTCGCCCAAAGCCACGCTCCGTTTTGCGGCTGTGCGCACTCTAAACAAGGTGGCCATGACCCATCCGGCAGCAGTGACCACCTGCAACCTAGACCTGGAGGGTCTGATCACCGACTCCAATCGATCAGTAGCCACTTTGGCCATTACCACGCTTCTGAAGACCGGTGCCGAGTCATCGGTGGAGCGCCTCATGAAGCAGATCTCCACTTTCGTGGCCGAGATCTCCGACGAGTTTAAGGTGGTGGTGGTCCAGGCCATTTGCGCCCTGTGCACCAAGTATCCGCGCAAGCACACCGTGCTAATGAACTTCCTCAGCGGCATGCTGCGCGAGGAGGGCGGCTTGGAGTACAAGACCTCCATTGTGGACACGATTATCACGATCATTGAGGAGAACGCCGACGCCAAGGAGTCGGGGCTGTCGCATCTGTGCGAGTTCATCGAGGACTGCGAACACGTGTCGCTGGCGGTGAGGATTCTTCACTTGCTGGGCAAGGAGGGACCCTTTGCAGCCACGCCCTCCAAATACATACGGTTCATCTACAACCGGGTGATCCTGGAGAGTCCCATTGTGCGAGCAGCTGCCGTGACGGCTCTGGCCCAGTTTGGAGCCTCCTGTCCGGCCCTGCTGAGCAACATCCTGGTGCTGCTCGGTCGCTGCCAGATGGATCCGGATGACGAGGTGAGGGACCGAGCCACTTACTACCTGAGCATCTTGAACTCGGAGAGGCCGGATCTCTACAAGAACTACATCATCGAGCGGGAAAACTGCTCGCTGGCTCTGCTTGAAAAGTCGTTGGTGGATCACCTCAACGGGGACCTGGAGACGCGTTTCGATATTTCCATAGTGCCCAAGGCGGCCATCGTGAAGGCGGAGGTCCAAAACGATGTGATGCTGGTCACCAGCGGCGCTCCTCGGCCGCCGAAGATCACGCGCGAGGAGGAGAGTGCCGCCCGACTGTCCCAGCTGCCGGGCATCCAGGTCCTGGGGCCCATCCATCGCAGCACCGCTCCCATTCAGCTCACGGAAAGCGAGACTGAGTACACGGTGCAGTGCATCAAACACATCTTTGGCCAGCATGTGGTCTTCCAGTTCGATTGCCTCAACACCTTGTCTGACCAATTTCTGGAGAATGTACGCGTCGAACTAACGCTGCCGGAGGGATTCACGACCAGGGCGGTGATTCCGTGTCCAAAGTTGCCCTACAACGACCTGCAGACCACATTCGTCATCGTGGAGTTCCCGCCCGATGCAGCCAGTTCCATTGGTAAGTCAAATCAATATAAAAATAAGAAATTTTGTAATTTAATTTGTATGTATTCTTTAAATTTTGCCAAATTTTATTATATTCTCTTACGTACAGCCACCTTCGGCGCCACCTTAAGATTTGTTGTTAAGGACTGTGATCCCAACACTGGCGAGCCCGATTCGGAGGAAGGCTATGACGACGAGTACACGCTAGAGGACCTAGAGGTCTCGGTGGCCGATCAGATTCAAAAAACGAAGAAGAACAACTTCCAGGTGGCCTGGGATGCGGCGGACAGTGAAGGTGAGTACAATATTTATTAAATTATTTTTACTTATATTACTTTTTTATATTAGAATTTACAATTTTCTAATTTCTCGAATTTTACAGAATGGCTGCAAGCCGAGGATACCTTTGTTTTATCGGCGGTCACCACCTTGCAGGAAGCTGTCAACAGCATCGTGAAAATACTGGGCTTAGGGGCGTCCAATCTATCGGAAAACGTGCCTGAGGGCACGCATCTACACACGCTGCTCTGCTCAGGTATAAGTCAAGCTAAACCTTGCTCTAAAGTTGCATTTCAATGAGCGGTTTTCCTCTACCCACAGGTACCTTTAGAGGCGGCGCCGAGATTCTGGTCCGAGCCAAGTTGGCCCTGTCCGAAGGAGTTACGCTGAACCTGGCTGTGCGCAGCACAGATCTGGAAATAGCGGAGCTCATAACTGCAGCCATCGGATAAGAAAGCGCTCCATGTAGGAACCTCGTTTGATTCCTGCGTGCCGTCAACATAATCTAAATATTAAAGCGATTAAAACGATGAAACGGAAAGAGCACTACACTTAATCAAAAAAATATAATTTGTACTTTTTAAGTGATTTCTGTCTCTGTAATAATTGTAGAACCCTCCTCAATTAGCCACGGCATTGTTACTAGGCCCGCCCCTTTCCAAACTATTTTATGTGGCTTTTACGGCAATGCATTCTTTAAAATGTATTGCACTCTTTATGCCCCACAATTAGCCTGTGCATTTAGCTTAAGTATGGAAAAGAAGAAAATTATAAATAAATACATGTGTATATGCAATGCAAACCCGAGCTTGAAGGATTGTAGTTATTCGGAATCTTAAAAATCCTTGGACCAGGAATAAGAGATGATTGATTTGCCATTTGAGGGTTTCTTGAGGATTGTTGGCGATCTTATGCTGGAAAAATATTCATAAAATATATTTTTGGGGTTAAATTCATAATAAATAACATAACTCGATAGGGATTTCCTTTATACTTGCCCGTAGACTTATAGGGAATCTAAAGAACCACTCAGTTTCAATATCTCCCGTACATTTTTAAATAGCGTAAGAGACTTTTCTTCAGACTGTGATATGTTTATCTTCGTAGGAACTCTAAGAAAATCGTAAAACTCCCCTCAAAGTCTCCCAATTAATATATTCCCTTAACTTCTTTGTTTATTTTTATATCGTATTTTATTTAATTATAAATAACTTAAAGTTGCAGTTTAGCCTAGAGTACTTTTTGTTTTTCCTATTTTTACAAATTGTGTTTGTTTTTGAATCGTTTTGTTTTCTTCATTTATTTTCGCTGCGTTTTCAAACATCGTCTTAAATTACAAACTTTTCCTCTAGATATTCTCTCCCGCGCGTGAATTCATAATTTCTTAGCTTTCTTTCTTTTATTTTTTGTTCGCGATCGATTCCTTCGTTCATTTCACTTAATTTCCTGGCTATATATTGAATATTTTTGTGTGTAAAAATGTCTCCATCAATTCACGCCACTTTCGCAATATTTAAATATTTTAAATGTAAAAAATAAGTAAAAATAAGATTGGTAATAATAACAAATATAACACACTCACTCCTACTCTTCGCTCTCGCACGCAGCAATTTCACAATTGATAATTTCATTTCGTTACTAATTTCCACTTTATATCCATTCTCTTTCTTAAAAATGTGTGTTGTTAAATATCCCAGTAGACCAAAAGCTGTAAATAAAACAAAACAATCGCAAAATGTTCATAAAATCACTTCGAAAACGATATAAATCAGAGAGCTTTTCCTTAAGTCTCCCAAAAGCTCGAAAATGGGCTCAAAGCAGAGCGTTTATTGAGCAATAAGTTTGTGAAAATATTAAAATTACCAAGGATATAAAAAGGGTCGCTTTTGGTCTACTGGAATGTCCTTTAGATAATATGTTTGTTTGTTAGTTGGTTGGTTTGTGGTATATATATTTACGAGTTGTGTTCCAAGTTTCCCTATTCGAATGGTTTGATTCCTCTGGTTCGCGCTCGGTAATTTCATTGAATTTCACTTTATTGTACAAACTAGATATTGTTGCTTTGCCTTTTGTCATTACTCGGTTTTCTGTGATACCCAAACATGCAGACACATACACACATATTACAATTATATTACAATTAACATATTTCGTTTACACTTTTTTCGTTAAGGTTTACTTTTGCTTATTTTTGTTTCTGTTTATGTTTTTTTTCAGTTTTCAGTTTCAGGAGGATGTTGCGAGTGAGCCTTGGAGCCCGGAGCTGAAAGTCACAACACTGCTCCGGCACTTGCAGGTTACAGGGTCAAGATCTTGATATTGATCGTGATCATTTTTGGGGCAGGAGGGGATCATGACTACTGAGCAGCTGAAGAGTCTTACCAATTAAGATACAAGTTAATGCTTGGATATTTTTTATACAGTGAGTGAGTGCCAGCTGATTGATATAGCTTCGATTACGCCGCTTCCCAGCCGCTTCAACACTTGAACTTGACCATGGGTATATGCTTGGAAGACACGCACTTGTCGCAGCACCACTCGGCAAACACCTCCTTGTTGAGCATTTGGAAGGCGGCCTCGGTGAGGCCCACGCAGGTTCTGCAAAGAAAATAAAACATTTTAGCATGGATAACCTTCTTGGGGTTCAAGAACCTACCTGTGAAAGAAGAAGTTACAACCGGATTCACAGAACACCGCTTCGTCGTTGTCGTTCACCTCCTTGTGGCACATGCCACACGGATAGATGGGTGGGGCATTCGGATTCTGGGGATTGAAAACCATTGGCTGGCCCGGCGGATACATCTTCCCGCCGCCCATTGTCATCGGTTTGGGACCCACGCCCATTGGACCACCGACGCCCATTGGTCCGCCACCGCCCATGGGTCCCATATTGCCCATTGGACCTCCTGGACCCATGGGTCCGCCACCGCCGCCAAACATATTCGGGCCAGGGCCACCACCCATCGGATTGTGGTGATGCGGATGCTGATGCGGATGTCCGGGGTGGTGGGGCGAAATGTGCGGGTGCGGGGGTCCGTTCATGCCACCTGGTCCGGGTCCTGGACCCGGCACGCCGCCCATGTGACCATGGCCCATGTGCGGTCCTGCATTTCCATGTGGTCCACCCATCATGTGCGGATTGGGTCCGCCGCCCATGTGAGGCGGCATGCCTCCCGGACCGCCGTGCATACCTCCAGGGCCGCCCATCATATGCGGCGGTGGTGGACCGCCGGGATGATGGTGCGGATGCGGGTGTTGGTGCGGGTGGTTCATCAGCTGCGGGTGCGGGGGACCGAGATGCGAGGGCTGCTGCGGCGGCAGCATCTGGTTCATGCCCATGGGGCCGGGGACGCCGTGACCATGACCAGGTGGTCCGCCCATGTGCTGCTGTTGCATAGGAACTGCGTTCGGGTTCATCTGCTGACCCATCATGGGGCCATTGTTGTTGTTGTTATTGCTGTTGTTGTTGTTGGGACCCGGACCTGGACCAGGGCCGGGACCATTGGGACCGGCGGGCGACTGCAGCGGACTGGGTCCGGCATTGGGCATGCCCGGACTCGGGCCGGCGCTGTTCAGCGAGTGGTGCGGTGACATGGCGGGCGGCGCTGGCGAGGATGTAGGCACTGACGTGGACGACATCGACGAGGTGGCCGTCGATGTGGGCGTGAGCGAGGGCGTGGCCCCCGGGGCTGGCGAGGGCACCGAGGTAGCCACCGAGGTGGCCGAGGCTCCGTTTGACTGCAGGGACGTGGGCACGCCGCCCAGACGGCCGGCTGCCGGCGAGAGGTGAGGATTTTGATTGTTAATGCTGCCGTTGTTTGTATTGCTTCCGTTGTTATTGTTGCCTCCGGGATTACCGTTGCCGCCGAGCATGTTGTTTCCCGTTCCGCCTGGGTTGTTGCTGTGCGCGGGAGAGATGCCACCGGGTCCTACTAGGCCGCCGGGCCCGGGTCCTGGACCCGGTCCGGGTCCACCCGGCATGTGTCCGCCATGACCCGTTGGTCCATTGCCCAGTGGACTGTGCAACGGAGGCGGGCCCATCTGTCCGTTGTTCATCGGTGGCTGCGGAGGTTGTTGTTGCTGCTGAACACCTGGATTTCCGCCAGGACCAGGACCAGGACCTCCGGGTCCCGGTCCCGATGGCGGGCCCAGCGGGCTGCCAATCGGATTTCCCATCGGCGAACCCATGGGCAGTGAGTTCATCGGCGAATTCTGCCCCGGACCACCACCCATCGGAGAACCCTGCATGGTACGTGGATTGGGCCCGTTGGGGCCTCCGCCCATTGGCGACAGGCCGCCCATGCCCATGTGATGGGGTGATATGCTAGGGCCACCCATTCCGCCCATGGGGCTCATGCCGCCCATGCCGGCCATGCCGCCCATGGGACTGCCCATGGGCACAGGGCCACCGGGTCCTCCAGGGCCGCCTGGTCGTCCATGGTTCATGTGCGGCGGCAGGCCCACACCCGGTCCGGGACCCATTTGATGCGGATGCATGGGACTCATGCCTCTCATCGGCGGCGGTCCGCCCATGTGCGGATGCGGTCCATGCGGATGGCCCATTGGTCCGCCCGGATGATGCGGATGCATGTGCGGGTGCATGTGCTGCGGTGGAGGTGGTCCGCCGCCCATTCCCATGCGATCCTCCCAGTGCGGATGACCACCGAAGTGGCCTCCTGGGCCACCGCCAGGACCGCCGCCCATCTGGTTCATCGCCGCCATGGCGGCAGCCGCTGAGCTAGACATCGCCGAGACCTGGGGGCTATCGTCGAACGGATTCGAGGCAATAATGGTGTCGCCAAAGCCGCCCATCGGTGGCGGCGGCAGCAGGTCCTGCGGCGTCGGTGGCGCCTGCTGCTGCTGCATTGAGTTGGCAGCAGCTGCTGCAGCGGCCGCCGCAGCTGCAGCCGCTGCTGCCGAATTGGCGGCACTGGACGTTTTCCGCCGCTTCTTCGGATTGCTCGGCGCCGAGATGATGTCCGACGGTGGCGGCGGCTTGAAGTCGGGCGGACATAGTCCGCCCGCTGGACCCGGCAAACGATATGGCGCCATACCGAGATTATGGGTCATATTCGAGGTATTTTTCTTCCGAATGGTGGCAGCTTTTCTTCAACTACGGGGTGGCAAGAAATTCGGTTTTACGCGGCGTCGCCAATCCCGCGCTGGAGATCTCGACGCTGGTGAAGAGGGGGTGGGGTGGGGTTTTGTGGGGGGAGCTGTAGCAGACCTCACTAATACGGCTCCTCCTTGTCGTCGGGATTCTCCTCGGGTAAGCAAATCCGAGCGTGGCTTGTCGGTATCGGTGGGCTAGGCGCCGGTTATCCACTTGGCGCGGCCTGCGTCCGCCACAGTGTTAAGAGCCTGCGGGTGGTGGGGGAAATGAAACCTCCGCTCGCCGGGTGTAACAGCCATTACTCACCAAATCATCTCTTGGCCAGGATCAGGGCTAAAATCGAGTTTCTGGTGCGGCCGCCGCCGCAGGTAGTAAACACTTTCGGCGCAATGAACGGCAACCCCGTTTCCCTTTTTGGGTTGGCAACTCTACGCAGGCAACTCAGCGCTGCTGCAGCGTCGTGTTGTCTCGCTTTAAAAGCGCCAAGCACCTGCCGCCGCTGGCTTGCAACACACGGTGGGGTAGTAGAGAGGAGGGGGGAGCCAGGGCTTTTGTTTATAACTATTTCGCACTCCGATCGACCAATTTATGCTCTGAGATGGCCCCCTTTCTGCCAACGCTCTTTCGCACTCGCACACACTCGCGCCCTCTTCTTCTTACCAGCGATTTTATGTCCTTTTCGCACCGCCGCGGCAGCAATTCGCTGCGTTTGTGGCTTTAATTGCACGCTGCAATCGTTAATTGTTGTGTTTATATATTTATTTGCTGCGTCTGCACGGACCCGGAGGCTGGCGTGCGAAAATGTGCTGCGTTTCGTTCGCGTTCTCGGTTTTCTTTTTTTTGTTGATGGCCGCTGCTGCAGCATCAACTTTTATTAAAAGCGGGGTTTGCGGGGGAGGCGGCCCTCGCGCGTTTCTCCGTTTGCGCGCACTCGGCGTTCGGTTTTTTCTACCGTATTTTACCAGTAGCACATTAACCCTTGTTTGTTTTGTTCAATTTTTGCGTGCGAGGAAGCGAAATATAAATAATTTTCTCGCAAGTCCGCCAGTGTGACCGTGTGCCAAGGCAGGCTAAACGCCGAAATTCCAGAGTTGTGGCTCAGTGTGACCAGGGATGAGTGGTCGATAACACGAGATTTTAAAAAATTAATTAATTAATTAATTCAATTAAAAGCATTAAGATGCTAAATGTATTATATTAAGTAAACGAATTAAATAAATTATATGATTATTTGAAATATATACCTGTATTTAAAAGAATGAAATAGCTGAAGCAAGTAGGTTATATTAAATTAATTTAAATAAAATAAAAATGCCTACAATTTAATTTAAAATTGAAAAGATTAATAATAAATTAAAACTCAACTATCGGTAGATAGAGTGTTATCGGACTATCGCTCGTCCCCCATCGCAAAGAGACGCTTAATAATTTGGCGCTACAAATTGGTTTTTGTACGATTTGCAATATAAAAACAAAAGCGGAAACGAAAGGATGTGGGGCAACTTCGAGGCATCATCCCGCGAGGATGAGACCATCTCCAATGTGTTCTCCTCTAGGGGCATCTTTCAAATCAGCAGCGAAGAGGAGGTGAATCCGTATACATATGTAAAATCCTGTTTACAGTTAGTTTAAAGTTTGTCCTTTGTGTTCCATTTTTTTTTTTAGGTGACTAAGTATCCGGCCGTCTTGGCCTCGGTGCAATGCGGCAAAATGGTAATAGCCATCGACAAGTGCCTGCTGCTTCTCGAGGACGAGCTGGTGGCCGAGTGTGCCTGCCTGAACTTTGGGGCCACCATCGAGGCGGTTGGAATTTCCTCCAGCGGCAACCTTATTGTCTGCGGTCTTAGCGACGGCGAGGTCCATGGGGTGTCCATCAAGGGACTGCTTCTATTCGCCGTGTGCGTGAACCTGGAGGATGTGACCGTGTCGGGGGGCACCTTCCGGAGCATCCATCAACTGGGCCAGCACTTTTATTTAACCTGCAGGAATGGCAGCATTTACTGGTGCGTTCTGGAGATAGTTTTAGGTCTAAAAAACGTTTTTTGATTCAATTTTCTGTTTTTCCAGCCTCAGTGACATCGATGAGCGCTCTTTGGAAACCCTGTCCAATATGACACTGAAGGAAAACGAAACCATGGCCAGCGAGAAGGCCCTCCTCGAAGATGTCACCATCAAGCGTATGTCCACGGGACGTTCGAATGCCAATGTGGACTGCGTGGTCCTGTTGCAGCATCAAATCACCAGCCCTAATGCCCAAAATAACCAAGAAGAGTTGGGCTTGGATCGAGGCTTGATCATCACAGGAGATCATGGGACACTGAACTTCAGGACCAGCTCCAACTCGGACTTTACGCGCATCACTCTGCCTGATCACTTTGGGGATCTCAAGCAGATCTACAACCTGGAGCACTGTGTGTGAGTTGATTTTCACCTTTTTATAAACCGTGAAGTATATATATTCTCTTAAGGATTGCTCTGACCCACTCTGGACACTTGCTGGACATCTGTCCTTACACCCGCCTTGTGTACATGTGCCACACTAATCAGCGCCAGAGCCTGCTCATCGAGGATTTGCTGGTGATCGAATGCAGCGAGGAGAACATAGAACTGCTGCTGCTGACGAAGCCCACGGAAGATGGACGCTTCATCAAGATTGTGGAGTACCCTTGTAGGTATTATTTCATACTTATTTACCCTATTTAACCCTTGAGTTACCAGCTTTGAAATGCAAAAACGAAGTGGAGGTGCCGGCCCATGCCTGGCTCGTGCGCCAGCCGAAGTGTGCGGTGAATCTGTATTATCTGGCGGCCAAGGAGGTGAATCGGGAGAGCATACCCACGGTGGTGGAGATGATGCTGGTTTCGGAGACCGATCCCAGTGATCGTTTCAAGAAACTAATAGCCAAAGGACGCCTGGAAGAGGCGGAGGTAATATGGATATATTTAATTAGAGAAATTTGCTAAAGGTATTCTTTGTTTTTCCCAGGAATTTGGGGTTCAGTTTGAGCTGTGCCTGCAGCCCATTTATGAGGCCAAGGCCAAGCGCATACTCGTGGAGCTGTGCAACTCCTCCTCCTCAGCCTCCTCCTCCTCCTCCTTGCTGGATAGCAAGTTCCAAAGCCTTTTGGAGCTTCTATCGCAGATCGAGAGCAAGGCTTTTATCAAGAATCACCGCATGATCAACCTGAGCTCCAGACATATCCTGGAACGTTACCTGCGCGAGGTCCAAAAGCGCCTCAGCTTTGAGGTGGGTGCACTTTCACAGTTAGGCCACATAATCCTTACTCTCTCTCTTTAAGGACGACGAAGAGGACATGCTGGAGATCGATGAGCAGCTGCTTCGCCTGAAAACACTGGCCATTACCGATCCCTATGAGTGCAATACGGACTGGCAAAAGTTCATTTACGACAAGAATCTCGTGAGGATGGTCAAGTCCTTGTTTAATACGGACATGCCCACGGCCTGTCTCATTTGGCGTAGGCATTCCTGCAGCATTTTGCCTTTGCTCAACGAGGATGAGCTGCGCACTTTGCTGGGTTTCATACCCGGCAACTCGAAGCCCTTCAATGTGGTGCAGTGGCTGCGCCAATTTATACCCTTGGTGAGCAACACGCATCCTGGCATTATGCCTTTTATAACCGACTGGAGCATTGAGATGACCCGCAAGCTGCAATACAGTCCCCACTGGCCAGATATTGGCTTGGAGTTTGCCTCGAAGATCCTGGAGATCTTCGAGGAGATACAGTTTACTTACTCGTGAGTTGATCTCTCTCTTTCCTTGAATTCTCCTTGAATTGCCTTGGGTATAAACCTTCTCCAGGGACGTTCGTCGCCAGCAGGAACGTAATTTGGGCAAAGTGCGTGACCTTGTCAATGCCTTACAGGATCTGTCCGTGCTCAAGACCCATTACAACATGGGCTTCACCCTAGACAACTACATGACTGACTCCATTGAGGCCACCGCTCTTAGCATACTGCAGCATGTGCAGCTCGACAAGCTGAAGCGTCTAGTAGAGCACTTCCTGTACCCCATTTTCCAGGAGAAGGGTCGTCACCCACAGGACGTGATCAGGCAGTATATAGCCCAGTTGGTGGCCAGCCGGCAATCGTCCAGCAATTGGCTAGATCGAGCGATGGCCTGCATTGAGTTGCTGCACAACGAGGACAGCCGCCTGGAATGTGCCTTGTCCGTGCTCAGGAATGCCCCAGTACCCTGGCCTGAATCACTAGCTCCCCTTATCCGCCTGCGCAACTCCACCAATCCCTTGGCCTTGAAGATCAACGATGAGTATGAAATCCAGGTGATAAAGATCATGAAGGCCAAGTACGGCTGGCCGGCGGACAGCTCGGAGCTCAATGTGGAGCTCTTTGCCATGCGGATTGTCAAGATGAACCTGCCCGACATGCTGCAAGACATCCAAACGCTGACCAAGGCGGCGCCCGACATCTCGGTGAGTGCGAACCTTCATTGCTGCTACCAAATGGCTCGACGCGGACAGATCGAGCAGGCGTACGAGTTTTTCAAGACTTTGAGCAAGGAAAAGTACTCGGAGGATGGACAGCATGTGGTGGAGATCCTGGCCACCTTGCTGGAGAACACGCCACACGCGGCCTTTGAGAAGGAGTCAAAGGCCCAGGAGCATCAGAATGTCCTGGAGCTGTTCAAGCTGTGCCTCCCTCAAGCTGAAGCCTCCTACGAGCGGCGCTATTTGATGGTCAAGCATCGCCTTCAGCTTAGCCAGAAATTTGGTGTGGAACTCACTTGCAGCAGTGAGCTTATCCCTTTGCACAGGCGACTCGAGTTGCTGGATGAGACTCTTGAAAGAATCGTGGAGCGGGCTCAGGCAAAACCTAATATGCCTGCTTTCATTATCAGCGAAATTTTGGAGCTAAGCACGGCTCTTGGCTTGTCCCAGGTGTTTGGCCTCCAGCGGATTTGCCACCGGGTGGGTTGCCTGCCTTTGAGCTGTGCCATTGCCTTCCATGTGACGCAGTTCATCGATTGTGTGCCTAGCAATGCCGAGGACTTTATTAACCTGGCTTTAGAGCTGATTATCCAGCAAATTGAGAATGCCAAGGGCACGGATAATGGTGGGTACTACTGCATCTTATTTCCAGGATTTCTCTCAATTTAAAAGCTTATCTCCTTTTCAGATCTACCTTCTTCCCTTCAGCTTATCACCGACAGCGATCCCTTGAGCTTTCCTCTGGCCTACGAGTTGCTCACAATGGCTCAGGCTCATGAGCAGTGTCGTCGCCGGGATCTCATCGAGGTTATCAAGTATGTGAGGGTGGTGATGATCCACTATCCCTTGGATGCCCTCAAGAAGCACTATGAGGGCAAGGAGCAGGCCATCAACGAGCACATTTGTCGCACTTTGGAGGGCACCACACTGGTTTTTGGAGAGAGCACCCTCAACTTTAGCAGTGCCCTCAATGGCTCCTTTGAGGCTAAGCCTGTGCTGCAGGTGCCAGCGGCTAAGAAGCGCCACTCAGTGTCCATATTCGATGAGGTGGAAGTGCAGCCGGCACAACAGCCGCAGAAAAAGGTAAAGTAAAAAAGAGAACTTACTGAGATATATAACCAACCATCCTCCTTAGAAAATCCTTGGCTCTCACCTGCCCATAGTCAAGTTCCTGGCCAGAACCCTGCGCCTCATGGTGATAGAAGCGGAACCCAACAACTCCCTGCTGATGCACATACGTCAGGGGCTCACGGATAACCCCACCGAGGTGGTGGACAGCGCCCAGACCGACTTCTTTCAGTCCATGGAGCTGCTGACCAAGACCAAGGAGCACGACGTTTGGTACGTGATGCTGCAGTATTTGCTGGAGTTCCAGCAGCAGAACTGCCTCAGCAAGCGGATCATCAACGAGGGCTTCATCACCCTGCAACTGCGTCGCATTTTACGCAATGCAATTAGCAATAAGAATGTCAACTTCATTGAACTCTTCACCATGCTGGCTGTGAATACGGATGCCGTGGCCCTGCTGGATAAGCTCTCCAAGGAGGTCAAGTCCGACCTGCAGATGATCAATTGCCTGACCCTGTCCGCCATGTACAGCGAGCATCTGGAGGATGTGGAGACGGTGGAGAGGATAAGAGCCAAGTATAAATAGAAACTTAACGTAAATGCAAACTTTTTTTATATTCAAAACCTTTCAGACGCTTGAAACTCTATTATTACCTGGAGTTCTGCCAGCAGGATCCGCGCATCATAGGCAAGTTCAATGCCGAAATGGACAGCGTGAAGAATCTGCTCAAGGAGTTCCACAACAAGCAACTCGATGTGCGTTTACTCGAGCGCATTAGCCGAGACTTTGGCTTTGATTTCCAGAAGATCCTAATCACTCAGATCCTGAGCATACTGAGTGGCCAGGAGCTGCGCTTCGATGTCCATCTCGACAGCTTTGGCGATGAGAAGCTGGTCATGCTATCGAGCGCCCAGGAAATGCTGGACATGTGCCAGCCCTACATCGAGGCCATCAAGAACGTGGAGCTCTTTACCTCAAAGCTGAAGCAGTTCATCGAGGAGGTAAGTAAGAGGGGATCTTTATGGAAGATCTTAGCCTTGACCTTACTTGTATTATTGATTATTAAATTAATTATATATTTTTATCAATTTAATTACTTCTGTTGTCCAGATCAACATTTACTTTTACGAGCTGTACATGTGCGTGATCGACATCCTGATGTTCTTCAATGCCGCTCCGAAGGAGATGGAGATCTGGAAGAACATCCTGCGCTTTCTGCGCTACAAAATGACCAGCCGGCGTCGCAATCGTCCGAGTCAGTTTGAGACGGACATGTGGCTGAAATCGCATAAGGAGAATGGCATTCTGCCTAAGATCTCGCGCTATCGTTTGCCCTTCAAGGCGATTGTGGAGCAGCCGCTAAAGGATATTCTCGGTGGGTAGAGCAAGTCCCCTTCCAAGTCCCTAAAATGCTCATTAAATCCTTTACAGTCAGCGAACTCAGCGTCGACAACTGCTTGGGCTGGTTTCCCCTGATACAGATGCACACCTCGCTGAAGGGCTCCAAGGACAGTGCCCAGAACTGTGACTACTTTTGCATGTCGGCGGTGAATAACTCGATAGCCGAGTACAAGTCCAGGAATGAGCCAGAGTCCTGGAGTTTGCATCCCACGAACAATGCATTCCTCATGTCCATTCTCCGGCTCGTGGAGAACATACACAATCCGAACAAGGCCTTCCAGATCCTCTACTATGTGTCATGCTATGCCCGGGAAGGAGCTGACCAGGTGGAGGCCTCCTACGAGTGCTGGAAGTTCATGCAGGAGAAGGGCGACCTCATCACCGACAAGGAGCACATGGCCAAGGTAAGGCGACGCTATCCCATCCAGAAGACGCAGCACCTGCTGCATGTGTACGGTCTCACCGACGAGAGGCTCTTGAACCAAGTGGAGAATCCCAACGAGCTGATCAACAGCCTGTACCACCATGAGCTCATCCTCAAGTCCTCGAAAGTGGACATCAATGCCTTGGTGGGGGAGATAGCCAAGCTGCATGGCCTCTGCCTGGACACCATACAGTACCGATTGCTGCAAAAGTGGCTATCGGTGACCATGGAGCCGGCGGACAATACCATGCTGGAGGAGACCTTCATGGAGGAGCCGGAGCAGCCGAGCGGAGGGGATGGTACTAATGGCCTCCAGAATGCCAGCGAGAATGTGAACAGGGCCTTTTACATCCTCTCCAGCTGGCCCAAGGCGGAGGCTGTGAAGTTCCTGGTGGGCCAGATCTTCAAGGGCGGGTAAGAAGCCAGAAAAACCTGGAATTTCATATAGCTAATGGGTTTTTTTTTAAGCTCCATGAACACCTCCACGCAGCTGCAGATGTACGAGTGCTACTCGAAGCTCAACGATGGCAGCAACTTCTTTACCAGCACCATCAACCAGAAGCAGTTCATTAGCATCAAGTGCGTCAATGACCTAAAGACCCTCGGCTACAAGTCGAACCTGGAGAAGTTTGCCGGCGAGCAGTGCAACAAGATTGACATTCTGAAGATGATCTGGCAGCGCAATGCCCAGAATCCGCTTTCCCTGGAGGTGATGGCCAACATCTGCCTGGGTTTCGATGTCCACTTGCCCAAGATCTGGAACGGAATCCTCAAGCGCATGATCATGTTTAATATGGTGCGGGAACTGAACGCTTTGCTGGATGTCCTTAGCTGCCGGCCTCATCTCCTGCATCTGGATGGTCTGGCCCTGGCCTGGGACTATGTATTGTGCCATCCGCTGACGAATGCTGTGCAGACACGCTCCTTTGCCCAAGAGGAGCAGCTGCACAAGACCCTTCTGCGGCTGCAGGGCTGCCCGGTGGTCCACTCCCTTAATCTGCTGCAGTTCGCCGAGTACTGTGTGGTGATCCATCGACCCCACATGGCCGCCGCCATCCTCAGCTTCTGCGAGAGCTCGGAGGAGAGGCAGAAGATCAAAATGGTAGGTTTTTTAGATGCTTTTAAGACCCTTATTTATTGTGTGCTTTTATTATTTCTATTTATTTTATTATTATTTATATTTATTGTTTTTTGTCTTCTACTTCTTCTAGCTTATACATTCCCGTCCCGTGGATAATCTACGGCAGCAGATTTTGGATCTGGAAGATGCCGGCCTGCTACCGGTGGTGCTTAACTTTGCCCTGAAGGAATTGAGTCTCTGAGCGGCAAGTTGGCATTATTTTTAAATTGTTTACACTTAAGTTGTATAAATAAATGAAGTTATATATGAAGGGAGTGTCATTTTAATTCATTTATTTATTTTATTGAAATCTATGTAGAAATTTTCAGAATAATGCATCTCTGGAGTGCACTATGTCCTAGAGCTGTTATGTTTTTTGTTCTCCCTAAATTTATCCAACTTTATATTATTTCAGTTAATATAGTCACATAACATTTTATGTATTTTTTTAGTCTGAAGTTTGAAATGGAATCAATTCATTTATATTTAAGCTTTATTTTTCAAAAATCCCGTCCCGTGGATAATCTACGGCAGCAGATTTTGGATCTGGAAGATGCCGGCCTGCTACCGGTGGTGCTTAACTTTGCCCTGAAGGAATTGAGTCTCTGAGCGGCAAGTTGGCATTATTTTTAAATTGTTTACACTTAAGTTGTATAAATAAATGAAGTTATATATGAAGGGAGTGTCATTTTAATTCATTTATTTATTTTATTGAAATCTATGTAGAAATTTTCAGAATAATGCATCTCTGGAGTGCACTATGTCCTAGAGCTGTTATGTTTTTTGTTCTCCCTAAATTTATCCAACTTTATATTATTTCAGTTAATATAGTCACATAACATTTTATGTATTTTTTTAGTCTGAAGTTTGAAATGGAATCAATTCATTTATATTTAAGCTTTATTTTTCAAAAATCATCATATTAAATGATGAAAAACAAGAAAGGAAGCTAACTTCGGCACGCCGAAGTTTGTATACCCTTGCAGATTGGTTTCGATGTTTATATTATAGATTTAAATTCTGAAAACACTCACAAAACAGAGTTTCATTACATTTTACGTATATGTCGGAGATATCCGTTATTTAATTTAACCGTAGTCGAGCCAGCGAGTTCTGTTCGCCTGCGCAGTCAAATCGAATCTGTCATCACGCCACTTTTCCTGTGGCCCTTTCACCTTTTCTTACTTTTCACTCAGATGTCATTCCTAGACAATCTCAAGCTGTCTCTCTCATTCTCTCCTATTGTTGCGACAGACGAACAGACCTCACTCAGTAACACTCCTGTTACCGACTCAACTGTCATTGCGCCTGCGCGCCAGCGACACCTACAGGGCTACCAATACCTGAGCATGCCGAATAACTCTGTTGCCATAGCAACAAGCTTTCCAAATTTGCACTTAGCAACCAACTCGCCGACACGGCCATCCTGACAATTCACGCGTCCTCGCGTGACGTGTCTTCTAATAGCTCTAAACATAACTGTCATTTATCATTCTCTCTTTTTTTCTCTCTTTGGTCTCAACTTAACATTTCATTTTATCTGTTTTATTCATGTCAAATAAGCTTTACTTTTATTTCTTCTCGCCACTTCATTCTCTTCTCGTACCAAATCTGTATCTTCTTTCTCTGCTCGTACCACAACTCTTACTCAACATCTCTTCATCAATTTATACAGGCTCTTGCTGCACACTTTGCAACGCTCACACGCACCTCTTGCGTCACGGTCTCTCTGGACCCTCACAGCCTTATAAATGATTCCACCAACGAGTGCCTCAGTCGGCGATCTCTCGCTTACACTTCTAGTGTCTTCAAATGTTAGTTTGGCAGGATAACCTTTCGAAACCATAGAGTACAAGCTCTTTTCGTATTTCAAAAGGCTCCGCTTCACATATTCTGACCATAGGAATAAAGTAGGCCCCGTTTCATGTGATCCGACACGGCCTTCCTGACAAATCACACGTCCTCGTGTGTTAACTTTAAATCACAGTATTCTAAAATTTCGGTACTCGTTACATTTTATTGTCAACAAACATTTCATTAATTTTCTAAACATAAGTATTGAGGCATTTAGACAAAATAAGCATCTTGGTTTCATGATAACATAACAAATTACATCTTCATTTTAATCATAATTTACAATTCAGACTTCTCTAATTACATAGCTTTATCAACTGGTGTATTTCCTTTTACACCCACATACTGACCCCCGCCATAACAATTCCTTCTGTTATGGTGCGGTCTCCACTGACCCCCGCCATAACAATTCCTTCTGTTATGGTGCGGTCTTTATATCCCCTCTTGGGATTCCAAGGCATCAACCGTGCCATCCATATCATCATTCCCCACATGGGAATCAGACGCATCTCCACTTGAGTCGTCTAAATCTTTAATCAACTTTAATCTTTAATCAATCAACGTCATTGCTTATTTTGTCTATTTGGCTATGCCCTCAAAAACTCATGCGCATACTTATAAAAGTTCGCTTACTTGACAGATATCTCAAAACATATCAGCCACCATCAAGCTTTTCTATAAACTCTGTTTGGTGCCGATCTTCATTTTCATTTTCCATCTTCATTTCTTTCTCCTTTCTTTATACTTTTCTCTGTGTCATGTGGTGGTATCAAGCCCAAAGGGTGGGTCCGATTGGCATCTCTTAAGGGCTTGCATTGGTTGCACTACTAACTGTGCAGTTCGCCGCAAGTTGCACCCCGCCAAGAGCATCTTCCCATCACCTCTGCGGTCCTGGTATCCAGCCAGATGACTACTTTACAACTTTACACATGATACAATTTTCAACAATCTTTAAACTTAGTCATTTCCAACAATTCTGATAAATATTGCTGAGTCTATTTTTTCCAACCCAAACACATAACGGATTTATAACCTTGATTAATAACTATCCAACAAAATTTAAGGGACACTACTGGCAGATAACATTGCCTCACACCTCTCTGTATTCTTTAAAATCCCACTTCTGATGTCGGAGATATCCGTTATTTAATTTAACCGTAGTCGAGCCAGCGAGTTCTGTTCGCCTGCGCAGTCAAATCGAATCTGTCATCACGCCACTTTTCCTGTGGCCCTTTCACCTTTTCTTACTTTTCACTCAGATGTCATTCCTAGACAATCTCAAGCTGTCTCTCTCATTCTCTCCTATTGTTGCGACAGACGAACAGACCTCACTCAGTAACACTCCTGTTACCGACTCAACTGTCATTGCGCCTGCGCGCCAGCGACACCTACAGGGCTACCAATACCTGAGCATGCCGAATAACTCTGTTGCCATAGCAACAAGCTTTCCAAATTTGCACTTAGCAACCAACTCGCCGACATATACCTATTATATTTACAGTTTGACAGTTACAGTTTTACATTCCCAGTTTTACATTTTCTCTACATCTACCGATCGGTTTATATGGCAGCTATGTGATATATTTGTCCGATTTTTATGAAATTTATACCATAATTCTAGAATAATAAAAAAAGCTTATATCTCAGAGTAGATAAACATACATACGTTGAAAAACAACGAAACTATAATTTTTTTTCCTATTTATTTCTCGACCGTTCCTATGGCAGCTATATCATATAGTCGTCCGATTTTCATAAAATTTTTACTGAAATTCTGAAATAAGATAAAATGGCCATATCTAAAAAATGGTGCAAAAATGTTGATAAACAGCCAAGTTATAATTTTTTTTTCTTCAAATATATCGAACATTTGTATGGCAGCTATATGATATAGTCGTCCGATCCGGCCCGTTCCGACATATATAGCAGTGAGAGCATATAGAAGACTATATGCAAAGTTTCATTCAGATAGCTTTAAAACTGAGGGACTAGTTTGCGTAGAAACAGACAGACAGACAGACGGACAGACGGACAGACGGACAGACGGACAGACGGACAGACGGACATGGCTAGATCGACTCGGCTGTTGATGCTGATCAAGAATATATATACTTTATAGGGTCGGAAACGTCTCCTTCACTGCGTTGCAAACTTCTGACTGAAATTATAATACCCTGCAAGGGTATAAATATTCATGGAAATTGTACCCCTTTGAGGGTATTATTCAGTCAAAAGTATGAAACGCAGTGAAGGATCCCTTTCCGACCCTATAAACCATATATATTCTTGATCAGCATCTGATGGCGAGTCTTTCTAGCCATGTCTGGCAGAAAAAATTTGTTATGCAAATTTTCAAAATTTGATAAGGGGTTACATCATTAAAATTCTCAAAAATCGAAAAAAAATTTTTATTTTTTTAAATTTAAAGTTTAGTATCCAGATTTTTTAACCTCACAAAAACTAACTTAGAGCAGCTTTCCGAATTCAAATTAATGAATTTTTGGCTTAGTTATAACGTGTTAAAACTGAATGGATAAATATTTTGCTTTCCTTATTTTTATAACTCGAATTTATTTCCTTGCTAAATAATCAATTAATACTGCTAATTTGGCGGAACTCTCATTCATAATCTCTCCGATCAATCATCCCAGACCCTGATTTATCAGGTGTTAATCAGAAAGCCCAAGGCTTACGCTATTCTTGGGGGATCCAGTGACGAACAAAAATTAACAATGCTCGCGCTGACGTCATATGTTGTATGTATTTATCACTACCGCATACCACAGTGGTCCAGAGCGTACAAATTGGTGATAAAAAATTACCCTAATACTTGATGAAGTATTAGAAAAGAAACGGAAACAAATAAACATAAACAGACAAATAAATATTATTATTGTGACTGTAAGATTACCTTATAAATACCTCAATATATCTTCATATATATATTTCATTTAAATTAATATTTTAATGTTTAAAGTTACAGAAGTTACCTTTTTTATCTACAATAAATAATAAGACATTTTAATTTGATAAAATAATAATAGATAATTCTTTGGTTATTTAAAACAATATATTTATGCGTATAGCTTAAGATAAGGTGTTTATTTTCCTTTATTTTTTCTTTTGGAGAAAATGTTAAGCACCTCTTATGCCACCCACTGTGACCAGCAATCAGCTGTTCTGGCAACCAGCTGATATTCCACCTTTTTAGATACGAATTACTCGCACAAAACGCAAAGTTCCACAAATTGGTTAAAAATTAAATAAAAAACCAAAATGCTGCGTTCCTTGCTGGGGGCACAAAAGTGCTGGGCCTTAGTCCGGGCCAGAAATCCCTTAGAGCTGACCGCCAAGATGGCTCCAATTACCTGGGCGGCGTCCAATACCCGTCACTACTCTCCTCCAACCCACATCAAGCAGTCTGCGGTGGCCAATGAGTCTGGAACCATGGCGCAGAGTAAGTGCCAGGGAATCCCAAAGAATCCCTATGTTACTCAGCCTTTCCCTTGCAGTCAAGCAGGAGATGATGAAGCGTTTGGGCCTGGAACCCGGCTATAATCCCCTGCCCAAGTCCCGGGAGCATCTGCTAAAGTACCAACCCAAGTTGGAGGATCTGCCGGCACGGGCCATGCAGGATTCCTTTACCTCGGCCATTATACCTTTGAGCACAGACCGCTCGCTGCAGGACAAGTATGTGACCTATCTGGGCAGCGTGAGAATGGGCAGACTCCTGGAGGATATGGATATGTTTGCGGGTAAGAAATGGTATTAAGCCTCCGGTGTTGACATGCTCTGCTCCTGGTCATTTCGAAGTTTTAAAAATTTCTCGGAATAATTTCCGATTTCCCCTCCAGCTTGGTGCTGTCACAAGCACCTGAAACTGCCCAATCTCCCTGAGGGCGTCCACCTCCCTTACACCTTTGTTACCATCCTGGTGGACCGCATTGACTTCACCAATGTCCTGGCCTCCGGCACTCAGGATATCCGCCTATCTGGTCACGTTTCCTGGGTGGGCACCAGCTCCATCGAGGTGGTGGTGTGGCTAGAACAGCTCGTCGGTGGAAGCTATCAAAAGCTGACACGTGCCCTGTTCCTGATGGCGGCCAGAAATGCCACCAACACGGCTGCTGCTCCGGTGAATCCCATACAGCCGGCAAATGAGGAGGAAAAGGTGATCCTGGCGGGTGGGGCTGACAGGAAGAAGAAACGCCAGATACTCTGCGCCCAGTCGGTGTTCAAGGTGGAGCCCAACGACCCAGAGCAGACGCTGATGTACGAGCTGTACAAGCGGACCACGCCCAGCAACACCTTGGAGCTGAACAAGCGCATTCTGCCGCCCAACTGCCGCTGGATGGAGGACTCCTACCAGATGAGCACGATTCCCTCGTTTCCGGAGCACAGGAATCACCACAATCGGGTCTTTGGTGGCTTCCTCATGCGCAGTGCCTTGGAGATCAGCTGGGCGGCAGCCTTCCTCTACTGCAAGACGCGGCCCAAGCTGGAGCACATCTCGGACATCAGTTTCGAGAAGCCGGTGGGCGTGGACAGCTTCATCAAAATGACGGCCTATGTGGTCTACACCAAGCTCAACTATGTGCAAATCATGACCGTGGCCGATGTGCTGGACACGCACACGGGCAACCAGGTGACCACCAACACGTTTTACTACACTTTCTCGGCTCCCGATACGGTCACCGAGGTGCTGCCGCGATCCTATCACGAGACAATGTGGTACATCCAAGGACGTCGCAAGTTCGAGGCCAGCATGGGTCTCAAATAGGTATGAAGCTGCATCTTGTGAGTGTTTTCTCTCCCCAAATGATAATTATGCAAGGCTATGGCTTGAGAATTATGATATTACCAACAGTTTTATGTGTCGTCCTACTTGGAAGTACTTGTAATAGTTTGTATTTAAAAACCATTAAATATTACAATTCTGAACGGAAAATCGTTGCAATTTATTCAATGGAAAGGACAAGGTAAAAGTTTAATAAGAGAATAACTCTTATTTTATAATTTATATTATACGAATTATTCTCTGAAATATTCTGAATGCATAAGTTGATTTTTTAATCAAACGTGCTCAAAATTTAAAGATCTTTTTTATTTCGTTGTCCAAATCAAAACACTTTTTAGGACTTTAGATACCTGAGAAATAGTCTATTCTCTTGCGTTTCCTGGCACTAAAACGGAATGGGATGGACTATTTCAAAATTGTACATTTATACCCAAACACTCCAAAGTTTTCTTAATTGAAATGCGTCGTTGGATCTCTAGGGTCCAAAGGGGTAGGAATCTTTGGGAGTTGTGGTTCAACAGGTGAGTATCAAGTATAGTTTCCGACAGCTACATGCCCCAGCTTCCCTTCAGAGTCGTCCCTTTCGAAAGGAGCGGAGTTTTTAAGGAACCAAACACAGACTGCGATTAGTTTGGAATCTGCAAATTGGACAAGAAATTGGAAGAAAAACTGATAATTCTTTTCACTTAAATTATTATAAAAATTATTTCTATTAAACATTTTTCTAATAATATATTATTCACTTTTTCATGAGATCAGAAGTACAACTGACCTCGGATAGCTTTTGTTTGGGAAATTTTCCATAGGTACTTTTCCCAACAAAAATCTTTACCCAACTTTGCGAGCTCATCCGTACACCTTCAGTCGAGAGATTAGATTGTGGACTTGTAAGAAAAGCACTGAAAAACTAGGTGAGTGTGAAACTTGATGATTATTAATTTATTAAAATAAGTTTCAACTAGTTTTTATAAATTATTAATTCATTAAAGTAATTTTAATATTTTTTAAGGATTATTTTTATTATAGTAATGACATTATTATTTTATTATATTAAAATATTTTTTGGGTTATTATATTACTTACATTATTATTTTATTATATTATTTTTTTAAATTGTATTAGAATTTATTGAACGTCTCTTCGTTAATTTTTAGTAAAAATTGTATCTTTACTTTATAGGACTTAAGACAAGATCTTGTTAAATAACATTTATATTTAATTTTTAGTATGTTTAATGTGAAATATATAAATATATATTTTATAAAAATTTAACAAACATTAAAATTATTTTTTTAATGAATTATTAATATTATTATTTTGTACATTTCTTGTTGAATTGTTCGAAAACTCAATCTTTACCTTACATTTATAAATATTTATAAATTAAGCATATTTAATATGAGTAGTCATTTTAATTCCTTTTATATCTTAATGTAAATATATATTTCCTTGATATATTAAGTTTTCTTCAAACCTTCAAACCAAGAAAATACCTTACTATACATCTTTCTTTAAATTTAATTTACTTATTAATAATTAAAATATTACAATTTTTTTCAAATTTCTTACTATACGTTTCCATAATTTTTTTCTAATTAATAATTTAAATATTACTAATTAAGGTTCAAAGGTTTAAAAGTTCTGAAACAGGTTCACCCTGTTTTTTGCTGTGGATGTAGCGATTCTCTCACCCAAACTATCATCCAAGTGGACACGCGCTCAGTTAATGATGAGAGCCATGTAACGTCGTCTGCTAGCGGCGATTCTCCTCGCTACCCAGTGCCAGGGCCATTCTCTCGAGCACCGTCCAAGTGCCAGTCAGCACTCGATGCCAAATGCAATCGAACTGAACCGTATTACGTATTAAGATTTCCCCTCGCCCAGGAAATTCTAGTCTCACCAGTAGGCGTCTCGTCTTCCTTCCTAATCCTGGTAGGATGCAGCCTTTAGTAGCCAGTGGCCTGGGAAGGTTGCTGGTGAGAACCATCAGGCCCAGCACTAGGAGTAAATGGCTGCTGAACAGAAGCTGCTGCATTGCGGTACCTACCAGGGCGTTTGCCCAGAGCCATGAACCCAAGGTGACCTCGGATCACCGCTCCGGCACGCTGGAGGAGGGTGAGTACGGCCTTCCATCTTTGCCCAGAGCAAGTCTCCAGCAAGTCTTCCACAGTGATTCAGAAAATACAAGAGCAATCCGGCGTTGATGTGGGCTACCACACGGTACCCAAGTCCAGGGACCACCTCCTGAAGCACCAGCCCAAGCACGAGGATCTGCCGCCAAGGACCATGCTCGACTCCCATACCACGGTCCTGCTGCCGCTGAGCGCCAGTGAGCTGATCCGTGAGCGGTATGTGAACCACCTGGGGCGGGTGAGGCTGGGACGGATCATGGAAGAGCTGGACATGTTCGCCGTATGGATATGTCATCGGCATGTCAAGCTGCCGGCTCTGCCCAAGGGAGTGCCGCTTCCGTACACTTTCGTGACCCTGCTGGTGGACAAGGTGGAATTCATCAACCTGGAGCGGTTGCAGGTCAACCAGGACATCCAGATCAGTGGCCACGTCTCGTGGACGGGTCGAAGCTCCATGGAGATCATCATCTATGTCAGGCAGCTGGCCCACGGCGAGTATATCGATGTGACGAAGGCTATTTTTGTGATGGTTGCCAGAAATGCCACGAATACGGGTGCGGCGCCCATAAATCCACTCCAGGTGGGCGATGAGACGGAGACCCTGATCCAGCAGCAGGCCGAGAAGCGTCAAAAGATGCGGCGCATAACGGCTCAGGACTCTGTACTCACTTCCCCGCCCAGGGAGCACGAGCAGACCATCATGTACGAGATTCTCAAACGCACGACGCCGCTGAACGGAATGGATCTGAACAAGCGAGTCCTGCCGCCGAAATGCCGCTGGATGGAAGACTCTCTGCAGACGACAATGATTGCCCCGTTTCCGGAGAACCGGAATGCCCAGAACACCATCTTCGGTGGCTACCTTATGCGCCAGGCCGTCGAGATCAGTTTCATTATGGCCAGCATCTACCTGGGCGATCGGCCCATCCTCAAGTGCATCTCGGACATCAGCTTTATGCAGCCCGTGAATGTGAATACCTTCCTCCAGCTAACCGCCCACGTGGTCTACACCGCCCAGAACTACGTCCAGCTGATGACCGTGGCCCAGGTGTGGGATCTCAAGAGCGTCGACAAGGTCCAGACCACCAATGTCTTCTATCTCACCTACCGGGCGGACAAGGTGCTGGATGAGGTACTGCCGCGATCCTACCGCGAGATGCTCTGGCACATCCATGGCCGGAGAAAGCTGCTGGCGGCCCTCGATCTGCAGCCCGAGTACCCCGATCCTTTGCCTGTGAATAGGGAGCAGAAGACTATAAGCACGTAATTCTGCTCTAATAGTTTTTGTGAAAATTTCAAGTGAATTTCCTATTTAGATTTATCAATAAACTGTGTACTTTTGAATTGTTTACATTCGAATAAATCAACTAAATTAATTTAGGGGGTATTTTGTATGCTTTTGCAGGGTATTATAATTTCAAGATAGAAACTTGGTGAAGAAGTCATTTCCGACCCTAAATTCATATATATTTTTGATCAGCATCAAGAAACGTCGATCTGGAATTGTTTGACAGATTTTGTGGAATTTTTTTCAAGGGTTTTATAATTTAAAATTTAAAAAAATGGGCAAACATTTTGATTTTCTTTAAATATTAAATTGAGTATGCAGATTTATTAGCCTATTAAAATCTAACATACAAAGTTAACTTTGTTAACTCCTAACTTTGATTAGTTCAAAAAATTGTAATATACAAATCTGGAGAAATATCTATTTTAATAATTCAAAACAAAAAATTGTTTAAATATTGAGTTTTTATATAGTATTTAATTCATTAGGCTACCTTTAGCCATTTCGCCACAATAAACCTCTAAATAGAGACCCTTCTTGCACCCCCCTTAATTAATCAACTCCGACTTGTTCCGTTTTGTAAGATTTATTTTACAAATTCTGATTCTGTCTAACCAGCAGCGTTGAATGGGCTCGCTTCTGCTTGTACAAAGTGTTTAGAAATCCTTAAACCGAAGTTGCTTTCACCACGCGGGCAGCCCCCGTTTAGAAGCGCATGCGGTGTGGGTATTGGGAGGAGTGCAGGGCGAACATGTTCTGCAAGTACTTGGCAAAGAACTTGCCCTCGGGGTGGGCCTTGATCACCTTCAGCAGGGCGGCGTCCACCTCCTTCTGGTCCTTCTTGCGCTGCTCGTTGGGCACGAAGCGCTCCTTCTTGGCCGCAAAGATATCGGCCTCGCCGCTCTTCTTGTCCTTCTTGGCCTTAAGGCGACGGAAATAGGCGTCGTTCAGATGCTCGGGCACCTTGAAGGCACCGAGATCCACCTTCGACGAGGTGCCGATCACGTAGCGCTGGGAGACGCGACGCAGGGGGCACGAGTTGAGGGCGAAGGGTCCAGTGACCAGCAGCAGTCCCGAAGCGAGAACCTTCAGCAGGACGACACGCTTGCCCTGGTGGCGACCAGCCAGCAGGATCAGAACGGTGCCGGGCTTCAGGTTGCGGCGTGTGTTGCGCTTGTGCTCGCTGAAGTTGGCCTTGGAGGGGCGCTTCTTCACGAAGGTCTTGGTGGGGTAGGTGGCCTTGGACTTGTTCAGGTAAACGGTGCGCTCACCGCCGTTCTTGGGGCCGCCGATCTTCTTCACCTTCTTGATGGGCACCTTGGTCTTCTGCACCACGGGGCTCTTCTTGTCCTTCAGGCGGTAAAGGGCACGACGCTTGTACATCTGTAAAGGCAGGAAATTATTAGCAAGGTATGCAAATATATGAACTATTAATTAATCTATAATGGTTTTTGTACTATTTTTTTGTTCAGAATATCCATAATCTGCACTGTGCTTATAAAAAGCATTCAGAGTGGTGCATGGAAATATCATCATAGGTACTTTATTATTGAAAATATAGAGTTTTAAGCTCTATAACTTTGTTGATGTATTGTTTAATCAGAAAATCCATAATCTGCACTTTGCTTAAAGAAAGCATTCAGAGTGGTGCATGGAAATATCATCATAGGTACTTAATTATTGAAAATATAGAGTTTTAAGCTCTATAACTTTGTTGATGTATTGTTTAATCAGAAAATCCATAATCTGCACTTTGCTTAAAGAAAGCATTCAGAGTGGTGCATGGAAATATCATCATTTTCAACACATATTCACAGACAAGGTATAGAGCCCAAAACCAGGCGGTTTTCAACAATCCAACAGGTTATATTAGTTTGTATTTTCCGATCTGAAGATAATCCAGCAAGCAGGCCATATGTAAACCACGCCGCTTTTGTCACTTTCGGCTGGAGGTGGAGGCGTCCCCCCGCCAGAAGCCCCGTTGCCACGACGTCTTCAGTGATATTTACCTGGGCCTTGGAGTAACGCAGGATGCCGCCCTTCAGGTAGGAGTTGACCGGGTGCTTCTTGCCCTTTTTGGCCGACTTGGCCACCTTTTTAGCTTTCTCGACGGGTGCCATGGTGGAAACACGTGTACACAGCACAAAAAATTATGGAAAAGGAAGGTTATGTTCGCCGGAGCTGGGTTGTTAACAATATATCAATATCAATATATCGATATTAATATATCGATATATCGATATATTTTGCCCAAATATCGAAGTCCCGATATTTTTATTAGATATTTTTTGATATTTTTTCCGTGGTCACTCTGAATCCTATTCTAAAGTGGTTCACTCTGAGTCCTATTCTAAAGTGTTAGCGAAATATCGATAGGAGCGCCATCGATAGCCCGACATATCTATTGTTTAACCCAAAATAGCGTAATTTCCATTTATTAATGTTTTAATTGTTCAAGATCTTAAGCAATAAAAAGCAATTTAATAAAGAATATATTTCATTTCATTTATTTGATTCAAATGAAAAGCATTTAAATGTCTATCGACAGGAATTTAGCTGGGTCTCAAACCTCCAGGGAGAATATCGATAGAGATCTGGGCAGGCCAATAAATATTATTGGGCGCGTTCAGCAGAATCACGTTATACATAAAATTTAGATTAGGCCATCAAAGACAATCTATTTATATACCATTGCAGGTATTATAATTTTAGTCAGAAGTATGAAAATCAGTGAAGGAATCATTTCCGACCCTATAAATCATATATATATTTGATTAGCATCAACAGGCAAGTTTTCTAGCCATTTTTTTTTTTAATTTATAAGTTACACCGTTAAAATGATTAAAAAATTAAAAAAAAAAAATGTAATTTAAAAATAAATTAAACTCAGTATGCAGATTTATTAATCTTGTAAAAACAAACTCAGAACAGCTTTCCGAATTTAAATTAATGATTTGTTGGTCTAATTATTATATTTGTAAACATTAATTATTATTAATATAAAATAAAACCAACTATTTTGTAAAGTAATATTAATATTTTATATTAAGATTAAAATACATTTTCCATAAACCTTAAATACAAACCAAATATTTCCAAGTTTTAATAGATCTTACAGCCCATCCCAAAAACCAAACACAATTTTACATTTACCATTTAATAATACTTTTTTCCATTTATTTTGTTGTAATGTGTGTACAATGATTTAAATCACGAGTTTTAGTTGCCTTTAAGCAACTTGTTTTGCATCTCTCCTCCTTCCTTACACAATGATCCATTATTTTGCTTAAGAATGATTCTTGTTGGACGCCTAAAGTAGAATCTAATTACAGGTTCTGATAATTTCGAATAAATTAAAATGAGTAATGTACAGAATGAATTCATTTCGCCTTTGCGGCTGCATAATAATCCTAACCGATAAGATAACCTCAACCAAATTTATGGTAAAAATGAAGCTCGATAAAAGTAAAGGCTAAAATTATATATATTTATACAATATTTGAGATTGTTTTTCATGTGTTCATTGCAAATATTTAACTAACTCGTCGCTAAATACAATGTAAAATTTGCTAGTTGTTAAAAATTATGAAATCTCATCTCAGTAGTGGCAGTAGAAAAACTTAGCTCTAGACTTCCGTTGCCGTGTCCTGCTTTCGTTTCACCTTTCGCTTTTATTTGTCAATTGGCTCTTACTAAAAAGTTAGACTAAGCTTAAAAATTCGTTATCTTTTCATTTTCTAGGTTTTGTTACTCTGCCAGGCAATTGAACACATTGATCTCTCTCGCTTAAATATTAATTGTATTAATTAATTAATTACTTCTGCGTTCGACTCTCCGTGTTAACAAAGTTATTGGCATTCTAAAAAGTTACAGGAAACTATTGCACAAAGATTTTAAAATGTGATGAGTGTACATGAATATTTACAGCAAAGTCCTTGCCTTTGTTGGATTTTATTTATTTACATTTGTCCGTGTGCACAGGATCTAGGATCTGGGATCTGGGATCTGGGGAGTATGGAAATTGTGGTTGGTACTCACATTTCGTTCGAGTGGAGTCAGCGGCTGCCATTGGACTGGACTGGACTGCAAACTGCACGCACACAACACACATTATAAATAAATAAATAAAACAGGCTAGGTTTGTTGTAAATATTCATTGAAAAACTGCATGCCGAAACCGTGGAGTGGCTGGCAAGCGCATTTTTATTCAAATTTACAGACATTCTGATCATCAGCAACTGGTTTGGTTTAGTTTTCCGAGAAAAATGTATAGAATCTTTTCAAATTTCAATTGTTTTTATGCTCTGCGTTAGTTCTCCTGCTCTCACACACACTCTCTATGTTTAACTTCGTACATCTTGCTAAATGTTGCATCATAATTTCGGAGCAAAGTCTGCCGCGCTTCAATTGGAGTTGAATTTGTTGTCATTTTGGATGGGTTTTGTGTCAACGCTGGTTTTTGCTTTAAAATTAGGTTTTTAGATGGTACAACATATAAATGAATTTCGTTTTTACAATATCCTTTGTTTTAATAAATACAGTATAATATTATTTAACAAAAAAAATGAAAAATAGGTAAATATAAAAAATCACTCATCTTGGAACGAACTAAATTTTAAGGCCTTCCAAATGAATGATTGCTTTTGTATAATTAATAACAAAATGTACTTTTTTTAGGGCGGAAATTGAGTTCGCTTTTTGTTTAGTGTTTTTGTTTTGTTTTTGCTTTTAAGTTTTTGTTATACAGAGAAAAATCTACTAGACACACACACTACAATATTGTGGTTTTCTTCATCATTTTGTTTAATGTTTAATGTTATTATTATTGTTAAGAGTTCTTAGTCAATATAGGCGGCGAATTATATAGTTATTACTTTTTTGGGATTTATTTTCGTTTTCTTGAGCGCGGCTAAAATTACAGATTAATCTGATCTGACCTTGTTTTTGTGGCTTGATTGGTTCAGCTTATCTTTTAGGTTTTTGTACTTTTTTTTATAGATTTTCGTTTTTATAGTTTTTTATGATTTTTTCAGACGTTTTTTTCTTACCGGGATTTTACATAACTGATATAAGAGCGGAACGAACACGGAGAACATAAATTTTTTACAAAACTAATTCGGTTTCTAATTTCTTTTTTGCTTTTTTGATGGTTTTTTAGTGGTTTTTTTTCACGGTCTCTCACGCAAAAAATTGCTGTCCCATTCCAGATGTGATTATTGGTTTTTTGTGGGTTCGCAATTCTCAAATCATGTTCTCTCTCTCACTGATCTCGAATAATATGATCCGGAACGGCATCAATCTTTTGTATGATGGTCCGCAGCATTATTTTCTTGTTTTTATATATTTTTTTGTTGCTTTCTTGGTAGCTTTTGTTGGTTTTTTCACGTATTTTTTTGTCTGCCGCAAAAATAAATCGAAAAAATTTCAGGCGCCACTGGTCGTGGTCGCCTCTCCTCACAAAACGCGGCGAAAGGGGGTTCCCACCCGCATTTCAATTGTTTCTTAAATGTTAGAACCAGCGCTAATACACGTACGTGTACACGTATGCCAAAATAATTATGATGCACTTTAGCAAAATATACACACACATACATCGCTACCTACTCTAAACGAGCACACAGATGGATCGCTGCTCGCACGACACACACGAAGAAGATGAAGATGTAGATAATCTCCTCCTGCACCCATCATCCGCCTCCTTCTGCTGTTTTCAGGCTCGTGTCTCGTTCTCCGAGGATATGTGTATGTGTTGACTCTCCCGGAGGCTGGATGACGGGCGAACACAGGAGCGTTTGTTGTGTGCCGCGCGGCCTTTTGGTTGTTGGTTCCTTCTTGTCCGCTGCTCCAGTTCCAGCTATGGTCCCTGCTGCTTCTGCTGCTACTGCTGCTGGCTGGCGGCTGGATACTAACATTGTTCGAAAATTGGAATTATGGGTGAAGTGGGCCAGTCCTCTTCCTCCTCGGAGCTAATACTCTCGGTCCTGGAAAGAGGATTTTTATGTGTTGAGTAACAAGTTGGATTTGTTGTAAAAATAATTATTTATTAATTTTTATTTAATTATTTGTTTCGATTTTTAAGAAAATAATATTGTGGCCGATGTATTACGATTTAGTTTTTTATAATTTAATTATTATTTGATTATTTAATTATAAATGATCTATTATTTAATTATTTCTGGACGCTTGTAAGCCTTGTACAACTATACAAATCTTCTAATGAAAATTCCCTAGATCCCCTATTGCATTTTCCTTTTATTCAGGGTGATTGTGCAACCCGCTAGCAATCTTGACGGGCAATCAATTAAACGAGTTCAAGTTGAAGGTCCCCCGAAAAACCCCTCGTAATTAGCAAAAACCTAAACAACAAAAAATCAGCTGATAAATTTGGCAAAAAAAAAAAGGAACCTTTGCTCATGTGCAACTCCGCCAAATGGTGCATTGAACTCTCTAAACTTTTTATGACTAAACCACAAGAACAGCGATAATAGCGATAAGATAGCCACCAAGTCTAAGGGAAAAAGAAAGCTAGAAAACAAACATGAAAATAGAAATTCATTTCAATGACATTGAAACAAGCTGCAGCAGTCTTGTCTAAGTTCAATGTGAGAATTCAAGGACGGCCAACAGCTGTGAGGGGTAAGTATACCTATAGATATAGGTAGGTTCTCCTACAAACAACAAATACCTAGCGGATATATATGTATATATGTTAGCTATACTCCTGCCGCAACCCTCGCAGCGGTCTATGTGCGTGCGAACGATAAGATTGTTGCCGAAAAGGCAGGCAAAAAACAAGGGCAGCGAAAATAAAAAACAAATAGGTATATAAAAGACACACACATAGCCGTGTTTTTATGGGCGAAGAAGGGGAAGGCGGCGGCAGCAGCGGAGAAGTGGGCGAGCCAGCCAGTCTCATGACAATTGTGTTGTTGCTGCTGCCGCTGATAATGGAATCGCTAATATTCTAGAAACTTGTTTACGCCAAAAAACGTTCAGATCGTCATCGACACATTTGCCTTACATACCCAGATTATATACGTACGAAAAATCACTAAAAATAAAGCAGGAATCTAGAGATCCGCAAGCTTTTATGGGGGAATTTTAACAATACGAATTTACTTTCATTGGGAAAATAAGTTTTTCTATTCAAAATTTGTCGGTAGTTATATTTTATTCTTAGTCTTATATCCCTGATAATACTTTCCTTATATTTATATAAATTATAATCTTTAGGAAGCCCAAAAAAATTTATAATATTTAAAAATATAACAACATATATAATCCCAGAAAAACTCACCTCGAACGCAGGCCATCGTCGAGGGCATTGGAGATGCCTTCCTCTATGGTGGGCAGGTCGGAGGAGAATCGATTGATCGGGCGCAGGACGCGCAGCGTGCGACTGGACAACTTCCAGACTAGCCGCTGCTTGTAGGGCGCCTTGTTCTGCCCGTTGTAGTGAGACAGAATGCCCGAAACAATGCTGAAACCGCAGGTGAAAACGCGATCGGGAATCTGTCGGGGAAAGCATATATACATTAGCTTCAGATCAAACCTTCTCCTCACTCTCTCTAAAACTTACCCTCATGTACTGCTGCAGGAAGAGAATGTACTCAAAGACATGCTTAAGCTCCGGACTACCGCGCGTGTACGACTCCTTGATATGGAAATCCAAATGCAGGCAGATGAGCACCAGGGCCAAAGTCGAGGGTGTAATCACGGTGGTCTTCACGTCGCACAGCAAAATCTCCAGGCGATTCTCCAGCTCCTCCAGCTTGATCAGCTGCTGGTAGAACTTGAAGAAGTCACCGCCAATCTCCTTGGCCAAATTGCGGAAGAGGGCGTAGTAGATGCGCAGGTAGCTCACGGATGTGATCGGTGCATGTCCCATCTGGACGCCCAGCTTGTTGGCAATCACGCCGGCCATCCGTTCCAGATCGCCAGCGGTACAACCGCACTGAGGAGGGAAACAATATGTAAGCCAAACTGTGGAGATTTAGAGACAGGGAAAACCCACCTGAGATATTGTAACCAGATCTTCGGCGGGTATGGGCTTCAGGTCCAACTGCTTGATGGCCAAATGGAACGAGGCAACGCTCATGCAGGCCATGTGCTTGGGCTTGACAGCCATGCGATCCAAGAAACGGTCCACCAGGCTCATGGCCGAGAACAGGACGTCGGAGGGTAGCTCATACCACATCTTCAGGCAGCGCAGGACATAGGCGGAACCATCTCGTCCGCCGGCGGTGACCTCGCGCTAAGGGAGAGAGAGAGAGAGAGATTAGGTTGGTCAAGTGATGGGAAAGTTCCCAATTAATCTATTTTTTATCTAATTTTATCGATTTATTTGTGTTTCCAGCCCTAATTCAGACAGTAGACTCACCCTCGAATCCTTGGGCAGCAGCAGCACCGTATGGAACTTGTCCTGCAGGGCATCGTACTCCTTGAGCGTCTCGTACAGCTCGTCCGAGGTGAGGGCGTGCAGTTGATCCTCCAATTTCTTCGATGGCGACGGCTCATTGTTGTTGTTGCCTCCGACGGCACCTGCCACCTCGCCCTCCTCCAGATCCTCGAGTTGTTGTTGTTCATACTTTTGATACTCCAAGCCAGCAGCACCCGGTGTCCCATACCTGCCCTCGTCCGCAATCCTCATCCAATCAGTTGGCATCTCTGCATTGTGGTTAATGCCGTTGGCCAGCAACTTGCCGGCACCATTAGGACCACCAATTGGAGAAGTGGGAACACCGGATACTCCAGCTCCAGTTAGAGAGACAGCAGCAGCGGCAGCCGCCTGGGCCGAAGTTGAGGGTTGCTCGTCATCGACCAGAATGGCATTGATGCTGTTGGCGTCCATGGCGTGGTGGAGTAGTAATCCGTGTCCGTTGTTGTTGGTGGCGTTCTCCTGGTGGTCCTGGTGCGGCAAGTCGAGTCCTGGCATAACCGACGACGACATCGATGTCCTCTGCTGCATCAACTGCTCCTGCTGCCGCGCCGCCTGCAAGTGGCAATAGTAGGCGATATCCTGCTCCCGTTGGCGTTGGTATTGCTGGTACTGGTATTGCTCCGCGTATTGCTGTTGCAGCTGCAACTGTTGCTGCTGAGAGCTCTCCAACTCCAACTCACAATCAACTTCGGCGGCGTATTCGTCGGCGGCAGCAGAGTAGCGTACAGGGACAGACATTGTGAGGGCTGGCCTAGTACCTGTTGTATTTTTATATTTTTTGGTTGCAAATTGGAAATAGGTTTTTTTTAGACACAACGCTTTCGTTAACCTCACAAGGGGTTGCAAAAAGTGTCGCGAAATTGCAAAAAATAGTGAAAAACTAGGCCAAGATATGTAACTCTCTCGCTAAGGGGAGAAGTGGAAAGGAGCAGAATTCTACCTTTCGTTCTCGCTATCCTCTAGCGCCAAATTGTTTGATTTTATTTTCAGCTAACACACAGATCTCAGAGACTTGCCTTCGGGGCCGATATCAGCGAGTCTCTACAGAGGGAAACTCTCAATCTACAGCTCAAGATCTGTGCGGGTTAATTGCAGAGAAAAACACCTTGCACTTCAGGGAGAAAACTGTATCTCTCCTCTATAGAAGTGCCACCGAAAATAAAACGAATCTGTTTGCTACTTGTTATGCACACACTGGTCGCAGAACTCAGGGATCCTTGTCAGAGACGCCCTGGCTGGTTGCAATTCGAAATACCCTCAGCAGTTCAGTGACCTTAATGCAATTCTTTACAACGATTTGCAAACAGCAAACAAACAAAACGAACCCTCGACAATGGTAAGAGACGAGGACTTGATGCGGGCAGTGTACCAAAGGACAAGATCAACGATAGCAAATTGGATTTATCAAGGCTTTAGCTATCAGTCGTTATTGTTTATGGCTTGTCTGGCGTACTCTGATCTTGCACTTGTCACTCGCTCGAATATTTAATGAAAAATATATATTCAGAAATTCGTAAAACCAAATGAATTTCTGTGCAAAGCGCTAAATGGTCTGGTTTATTATGTGTTCGCTCGGTGCTTTTCACGATAATAAACTCTTGCGCTGAGCTAATTTTGTTTATAGTTAAATAGTTGCTTTTTTGAATATCGCCTTGTGCTTAATTCAAATGTGAAAAACTTACGAGCTGCAAAGGGTTGGTGAAATTAAAATATTATTACAGTGTTTTAAAATAAAGAGTCAACGGAATGAGTGTGGCATGCAAATTAATTCAGTAATTATGTGCAAGTGCATTGCACTCCGCCCTGTTTTTGTTTTACTTTCGAAATATTTCGTGTTCAATGCGTTTAACGAACTTTGTTTGCTGAGCCTGTATAGCGTCCGTACACTGGGATAAAATCTACAATGGTTTGGCATTGGAATATATATTTTATTTTGAACAGTAATCATCGACCTTAGGCCACGGCGTGTGACACATTTTTATTCAAATCGCGCGGACAGACACAAGGTTACGACAAGAGGGGCAATCGATGTGGGGCCTCAAGGTAAACCACGTAAATAGATCAAGAAATATGTACGGGCTTCGAAAAACATGAAAAGAATCACACAAGAAACGTATTTTGTATCTTAATTATACAATAATAAAACAGAAAACATTTTGAAGTGCGGATATTGTTAAGTGACCTTCCAAAATCAAGGGAATAATTTCGGAAAATAACTTAAATTTATATTCAGGGTACCTAAAGTACTAACTTTGGATTGTATAAAGAGAGGAATAGGAAAGTATCGTCAAATATTGATCCAGTATCGTTCTAATATAAGGATTTTGTATGTACCTAATTCTAACAAGTCATTACTTTTTGACAACATAAATGCTCTAATAAACCTTTCAAGCCAAAACATAAAGTTTAACAATTTTGTAAAAAGCCTTTTCTATAAAATATTCCCTAACCCTAACAAATAGCAAACAATCTTTAAAAGGGGTAAACAACGCCTCTCGAGAGTGCTTCTATATCTCTTCACACTTCCGCCACACCAGAGTTGTGTGTTCCCGATTAATAAAACTTGAACAAATGAAAAGCACAAATCTACATATAAACACTTGAGCAAACGGACGCCGCCGCCACCATATTGTGCTAGTTTTTAATTTGAACGAAAGAGAGGAAAACCCAGACCAATGGAGATTAAATATAGTGGCTTTCTCCTTCTCTTGCCGAAATAACCAAAACAGAAACTTTAGATTGTGTAAACAATTAGATGATAGATGACATAAACTATGCAAACCCAAACAAATCCCGAAACACTCGAAGAGGAACTAGGAAATGGCAACAAAGCGTAAATAAAGCCCAGACAATTGCCTCCAGATGGTGGTGCCCGAAGACTCCAAGTAGCTGACAGTGATGAGGGATAGAGCTACTATTTATAGATGCAACGAGAGGGAAATTAAATCGTGGTTTTAATGGGAGTTCAGGGAACCGAAGAGAATATGGAATCGGTCTTTAGTTATTTTGCCTTCAGTCATTACGAGTCATCCTCAATCTGCATACGAAAACAACCACAGTTGTGAGGGGTAATTTAAAGCGTTTAACCTGCTTCAGGGCCAACCAGATACAAACAAGGCTGCTTATTAGCAAAACAAACAGCAGCTAAAAGCAACTAAGCTACTACACCAAGTGAATATAATCATAAACGAGGTGAGAAGCACAAAAATGCAGTCTAAGGTCCATTTATAGAACTTCCTTAAAAATATAAAGCTTAAGATCGGTGATCATTAAGTTCTTAAAGATTATAAATTCTCCACAAACCTATACAATTCCCCAGTTTTTCTTGGTGAATTTTTGCTTTTAAAAGTTGAAAGTAAAGCCCCATTTTGATGACTCCGACTCTTTTTTTTTTTTAACATAATCAGGTCAAAGAAACATTCCGACCGCACCCTGAATCATCTTTCAATATGTGAATCAGATGCGGGGCCCATGGATATGACGCATTGGGGAGTAAAAACCAATAAGTAATATACTAAATTCAAACAGAGTTTGTCAGCCAAAGACTTCCGTTTCTTTTGGTTTATTCTATTTATAAAGCCACTGATCAAAACAACCAATAACAATAACCAAACAAAACAAGCTTTTTGGGGCCGCAGCAATTCAAGGTCGCCCACCGCCCACCAGAAACGAGTTTCAAGGGGTAGCAGGCGGAATATCCAAGACTTCAAAGCTGCTGAGTAAGCATGAAATTAGGTACAAGAGATCGCAGCTTAAAGCGCTTAAAAATTAAAGCAGAAAAAAGCTTCTGCTTCCGAAAAACAGTGATAACGGTAAGGCCACAGAGCGAGCTCGGTTAAAGTTCAACTTTTACGCTCTGCTAAAGACCATAAACACAATGACCAAAAGCATAACAATGAGAATTATATGTTGAAAGCGCCTCTGTGCACAGTAAAAAATAAAGTGTAGGTACCTAAAACGGTGGATATTAGAATATCCCAAAGAAGAATAAACTATCTGATTCCCCTCGAAGAGAGTACCAACTCTGTTTTTTATTTCCCTGATAAGCTTATCTTGTAGATATTTTGTTGTTATCATGAGGGTGTGACCAATATTAAAGATTAGATGATTAAGAACAAACATCTGATGATTGTTTTTCTTAGTTTTGGAACAATAACAGATTGTTATACTACTTTTTTCGGGGCGTACCGAAAGCAGAACAAAGGTGGCTATAATTATAGCGGGAACAGCTCACCCAAAACTAAGAAATAAGTAAAGCAAAAAGACCGAAAAAAAACTTGTAGCTAGACAAAATGTTATCGCACTTTTGATCTTAGCCAAGGTTTTATGCTCGACTGCAGTTGGAGGCACAGAGATATACACAGCTCTTAAATCATTTCGTGTATGTAAACACATACAAGCGCATAAATAGCATCGGAATTTCTCAACTGAATTATTTCGTATTCGAAAACTGTTGTTGTTTTTAGTTGTTGATTTGAGTCGTAGTGTTGTTTTTCTTTTTTGGCGCGCGCTCGCTCTCTGCTGACGCAAAGCACGTACGCACACACACAATAGTAAATATGCCAAGAGCTATAGCCATATTTTTTTTACTGTAAAAAATACGAAATAAAGCATACAAAAAATTTCACTTTTTGCCTATTTTCGTAAAAGACGGAAGGCGGCGGGCGGCCGAGACAGGTGTGAAATATTTTCGTAGCTTCTCTTTGTCTTTAACTAGGTAACAACATCGCTCAAATAAATCCCTCGACTGCAATTGAAAGTTTAGGTTTAAGGTGTGGTAAAGACGAAAAACATAAACCGAGATGCGTTTCCAAAACGAAAGTGAGTCCATCCGGATCGTAAACAAAGAGTGCCACTAAAAGCTAAATGTTTTCCCTAGTCAACATATGATTTTTAAACAGACAAAGACAGAGAGAGAGGGCAATTGCTTTTATTTTTTACGCTTTGTTTTTAATTTTTTTCCGAAGAACCAAGCGATCGACAAACGACGAACGGTTTGTTCATTTATCATCGTCATCGACTGATTTTCGTCGGCGATGAAGGTCAAGAAATGACAGACAAAGAGACGGAAAGAGAGAGAGTGTGCAGGAGAAAGATCGCTAAAGATTGGGTAGAAAGAGCAGCGGAGAAGACCAGATTTTTATGGAAAAAAATGGAAACGTGAGTAAAGACAGGCTTCCAATGGGTGAAAGAACGAGTTCTGGATTGTTTTAAAAAGAAAACAGACATTTCAAAATAAATTATTAAAGAATAATACATAAACTTGGTATATTTATGTTTTTTATTTATTTATTTAGTTTATTTTTTTGTAAGAAAATAGAGAAAGTTATCCTACACTCTGTTTGGCTCAATCATTGTTGTTATCTAACTACTCTATCTATAACGTGCATTTTATACTGTAAGGAATAAGGTTTTCTAATTAAAAAACCAGTTATAATCTAAGAGTCATTCCTGGTTTTTCGCTCAAAATAATATTTCCCACCCTTAAAACTGTAAGTTATTTACAAGAAATTTTCTCTTTCTTCACCAAAAACCATTTCTTCTTTTATTATATCCTGACAGAAAACAACCTGAACGAAACACCTCGTAAAAGGTGTTGTCAACCCCTAACAGACCTGAACTCTTCGATTATTTCATGTGTGTCTTAAAAAAGAGGTGCAAAGAACTTTGACTTTGCCGTGGGCTATAATTAACGGAAACATTGGAAATTGCCCAGCCAGTTTTTCCGGGGTGGCTTAGATCCAGAGCAACCCCCAAAAAGCCTTGTATATTCCACCCTGCTGACAGGACTGAGTTTCACAATTTAAATAGTGACCCAGCAGCAGTTCACAGCAAACAATTGGAGCGGGGGAATAATATTATAAAGGAAAGATCGAGCGCAGGCGCAGCAGCAGCTGCTGCTGCAGTGGCATGTGCTGGAAAAGATACGACGAAATTTATCTCTTGGTATCCACGAACAAAAGATAATACGACGTTTCTCGAGGCATTGAAAAAAAAAAGGAAAAGAAAACAAACCTTAAGCGGAAACAACAATAGATATTAGAAAAAAGAGAGGAAGAGACCCGACCAGCGGGCATTGTACTCGAATATATAGCCCATTTGGTAATCGCCGTTCTCTCGCACTCGTATCAGGCGATCGACCTTTGCCGAGCCCGTTTCGCCTTAGTCTAGTTTGAAATTCATGAGCTATGTTAAGTAGAGTCAAAACTATCACTATCAGTCTATTGGCCGTCTCGTCTATCTGTCAATGGACTTCGGTGGTGATTTGCATTATCGACCGATCGTGTGACTGCAAATAATTGCAGTGCACTCAAGCCCCCTTTGGGCATTATCAACGGAAATGCAGTAAAAGAAGAATTTCCCTGACGTAAAGTGAACGTGACCGAAAGCCAGAGTCACTGGAAACAAACGAGGCGAGGAGCGTGCCCAAATGGATGATAAGCGAGTGCTAATCACACGGAACACTGTCGTAGTTCAAAGTCCCAAAAACAATTAACAAAAGGAGAGAGACTCGTAACATAAACTACTAGTAGAATGCAAAGGCTACATTTGTTTAGAGAGGAAATGGTCTCTCTTGAGAGAGACTTGAAGTCTCCAAGGAAAAGGTAACCTTTGGCAGTGATTCACATGTTTTAGGTTTGTAATAAGAAATATATGCCTTTAGTAAATATTAATCATTTGGGAAACATTTCACCGATTACAAGTAATGACTGGTCCGGGCCCTGAATAATTGCAAGAACCTACGCATAATTCCATCTACATTCCCCCGACATATCCAAGCTTTTTACATTTATTATCATGTAGGTTATCGTATTGCCTCAATTACAGGTTGTTTGTACAGCACACTGGCATTATAATACACAAGGTTCTCGGACTGACATTTAGATAAGTGCAATCCCAATGATGACTTATAGCCCGGGGGATTCGCTACGTTATCAATGAGAGTGTTGGTGAGGACATTTCGTAACATTCCATGACGTAAGCAAGAGGCTCGATAAGGCAATTCGATCTTATCGCCACAAAACCCATAGAAATGCCACCAGAGAAAAAGGCAGCTGCAGTGCAAGAAATATAAAGGTACAACACAAGGGCAGCTGCACTCCGGAATATTGGAATTTTTCGTCACCTTTTATAAAATTGAATTAGACAGGAAAAAAAAAAAGAAAAAGGGGTGGGATTCGAAAAGTCGATGGCTTGGCACGAGCTGAAAATACGGGAGAATTACCAGGAAGCGGGGTTAAAATCGGTGCAGTTGAGTGCTTTTCCTGGGTGGCATTCATTCTCTCTCTGAATCACGGAGGGACTCCGATTCGGATTCGGGATGGTCAGCTGTTGTCAAGAGAGCGAGTGTTTCGAGCATTGAATTTCACTTTTGGACTTTGGCGTCTTTTTTTTGGCAGACACCGCAATTTCATGGCAGACTGAAATTCAAGTAAACAGGTAGAAGGCAGACGAATTCTGAGCCAAGGCGCCTTCCTACCGCCAATAGATGACAGATGGAGTCGGGGCCATATAAACACATCACTATTTGTTTATTTTAAACTCGATATTTGAATTTTGTACAGCTAAAAATGCGTTTATTATCATACCACATGTAAGTGGAGGAAGTAAATAGGGGTTGGCAAGCCCAAAATAAATATCCAACAAGAGAAAAGCCTACATTTGAAAATATTGAACCTTAATTAATAAATCAAGAAAGCAAGTGGTGATTAGAAGGACAAAGCCCACCTACGGGTTAAGGGCAAACAGTCTGCCCTCTACCTTTGTCTCGTCTTATTCTTCATCCGCCACAAAAGTTAGGTAGAAAATAGAAGATGGGTACCAAAGAGGAACCTTTTTTACATGTAAACAAGTGTGAAGAGGAATAAATAAAACAACGGTACAAGAGGCGTGATGGCGGAGAAGCCGCAGAAAACACCCACACACCAGCATTTGCATTGGTATGCGTGCGTGGGGGTCGTTTTATGACATGTATTTATTTTACTTTTTTGGAGGCTATGGAAAATATGAAAATCAACAAATTAAGCAATGTTGTCGGTTTCTACGGCTGCGCAACAAATTGAAATCAACAAATATGACCCAGAAAACAAAAAAAATGCTGAAGGTGAAATCAAGCAAAGGAGAAACGGCGGAAAAAACGCACAAAGACGGAATGCAATAACAAGCTGACACTTGAAGTGCGTTTAACCAAAACCAGTTGCGCTTCCGAAATCTACCAAAGATTTTTGAAATAAAAACAAGCAGTTTCAATTTTACTTTGTATTTCATTTTTTGGCTGACGCAATTTCAAGCCCGCGCACGCACACTCGTACAGGCTGCTGCCTTGGTGTGTGTGTGTGTGTGAATATGAGGCAAAATCCGAATGGGAACACACACACTTGCAAGCCTTTGTTTGCAGCCTGAGTGTGTGTGAGCAGCGGAACGCTGGTAGAGAAACACTACTGATTGTGGGGAGAACAAGAAATGGGGGCGGGGGAGGGAGGGCGGTAAACAATTGACGTAAATTGAAAATAAAGCAAATATGTAGATGTATGCAAATAGGGGGAGGCAGCAATACAGAATAACTTTTCTAGTTTCTAGTCAAAATAAAACAAGTTGCCAAACAAAGGCCATTGCTATGTTGTACTGTACTGCTTGCATAAAAGCACAGCCCCAAACTCGCACACACACAAGGCTGGCAGCATAGCCCCCTGCAGTCCCCGTCTCGCTCGCTCCCTAGCAACGACCTATGAATAGCGGACCCCAAAACCCACTCTCTCAGTCACACACACATACACACACCAGCCAAACAGCTGTGAAACGACTGAGAGTGGAACAAACCCGTAAATTGTTTTTTTTCACGTACGTACGAAATGTATATAACGAATTCTGTATGTATGCCTCGTAATTCTCCCTATTTTCCATCATTTCGCTTGGCAAACAAACAAAAATCATCTGATTAAGCGAGGCCTTGGCTTTCCTTTTTGCAATATATCGACTTTTTCGCCTATTACTTGAATATTGGTGCACTTACGTTATTACAGCCATTTTGTTGTTTTTGTGTTGCGCAGGAATGTGAGATGAACTTTAGTTATTGGCGAATTTTGGCTTCTGATATTGCACTTGAGAATAGTGTATAATTGTTGCTGTTTTAGTTCGCTAAACTACGTTAACTAATTTGTACTGCTGTTTGTTGTTTTATTTGTTGTATCACAATTGGAACTCTCTTCAGTTTTTCGATCGATTTTTCCCACACACCAGTTAAAAAGTGGATGGGGCTTTTCTCCATCAGCTGCGCATCTTACTGTTTCTGCGGTGCGGTCATTTAATCGCGCTTTAACGAGGCCTTGTACATTTTGGATAGCATTTAATCCGCGTTCAATTGTAAAAGTTTCTATTTCTAAGCAGACACTAAAAACGCTCGCGCTCGTCTAAAAACGGTACTTCTTTGTTTGTTGTTTTTTCGATGATTGAAAATGGAATGAAACAGTGTGGCCTGATATGGGCTCTCCTAAAAAATCTCAAAAGTTAAAATTTCCCGCTAAAAAATCCAGATGGAAATAAGGTTGTTGTCAAAATATCAATATTCCGATATTTTTCCTGAAAATGATATCGAAATCGCGATATTTTTTGATCTGGTACTTTTGGTCGCTGAGACCGAGACGTCTGGCAACGCTGGTAGATCGTGCCCGAGCGACCAAAAGTACCAGATCGACGTGCATGAAAAGTCTGGTTACCCGGAAACTAGCGCGTAATTCAAAGGGGGAACTTTAGGTTACCATTTAAATGTTTTAATACAGAAATACTATCGTAAAAAAAGACTACTATTGCTGGCAGAGAAACACTGACTGATTGTAGAGAACAAGAAAAGGGGGCGGGGGAGGGGAGGAGAACAAGACTCTTCCTGTTCTTCATGCGGGAAATGGAAACTTCCTGCATATTTCACTATCAATGCCAATGCAAAAAAAAAAGTACTACTACTACTCTATCTCTATTTACATTTTTATCAACTGAAATTCCATCAAGTGATCGCTGCGTTGCGTCTACTTCTGATTAGATTTTAAACATGAATATTACGCAGCCAGCTAGATTCGAAAGTAACGGGAAGAAGTGCATTTTCCCGGCGAAAGAGAAACTAATTTCTGTTGCCAAGGGAATTTTTACTAAACTCGGAAAGGGGGAGGAGCGATTGGGGTAGGGGGTGAGCTATTTCAGGGTCTCCACTCGCACTTCTAGAAATTGTCGGCAACAACAACCTGTGACACACACACATGCAAACACAGATATGAATGAAATGGTACCCCTGGAATGTTCGTGAATAATTATGCCACAGAAGGTGGTCTTAAGTGCAAATTAAAGCCATTTAAGGCCTGGATTCACCTAAATTTATGCATTTCCATCTGAAAGTTGCCTTAATTTCGTCACATTCACTCACACACACACACACACTATCACACTATGGAAAAAAAACGCGTGGCGATTGATTTTTGGTCTGCGAACAAGTTCGATTTACGCATTGAACAACTCCCGAAATTGATGCTAGGCGATTTAAATTGGTCCGAGTCACTTACCCGGATGCCTCTGTGTTTTGATCAGTATCTGCTTTCTTTTCTTTCTTTAACCAAAAAATATAAACTTATTCTCAAATTGGAATTCGAGAACTGACTAGGGATGGGAAAAATCAATCAAGGTATCGATATATCGATATTTTTGGACTTAATCTGGTATTTTTGGAAAAATTTCACATGTGATATTTTTAACATAATTTTACAAGTTTGGGGCAATCTCATTAAAAATTTAGGTAGCCGCCTTAAAAATTGAGTCATTTTTAATGTATTACATGGTAAAAAGACCTAAACAATTCGAAAATTAAGTGCGACCAGTCCACAAGATTGCCGAAATCCCGTCACCGACTTAAATTTGGTTTTAGTATTTCTCCGCAAAGCCACAAAAGGGAAAGGAGAAAAAAGAAAAGGAAAATCGGGTGGAAAACGGGAAAGAAAACGAGAAACTGCGGAAAATTGTGTTCTTTGGGCTCGCCAAGAAGCTACCACTAAGCAGACAATGAAACTTGTGGAGAAAATAGTGGAAATAACGCTCGAAAGCTGATAGAACGAAGGAGACTTTTGTAGTTTCCTGCCTCTGTGTGTGTGTGGCGAGCAGTGCGAGTGTGTTTGTGCCAGGAAGAAGGGGAGGAAGAGGCGGAGCAGCCGCGGAGAGACTTTTCGCAAGGAAAAGCAGCGAAATTACGCCAGCTTGGTGGGAGTTCGGAGATTAGCAGCAGCACCCCCCAAGCCCACACACACACGCACACCCAGGCGTCGCTATCGGCCGTTTGTTTTGTGCTCAGATTCGCGTGCCGCCTTTGTTTGGTGCTTTTTCGCCTTTCGTTGTCGGTTTTCCGGCGGCCCCCTCGTGTGTGTGCTTCCCTCCACCCCCTCTCTGTGCTCTTCGGCTCCTTGGCGGCTTCGTTTTGTGGCCCTCGTCCGGTTACGGTTTAGCGGCTTACGGTCACGGGTACGGCTCGTCCGAGTCCGGGCGCAGCAGCTCCGGCGGATCCGGTTACGGCGGCGGGGGGGTCAGCAACAACGCCGCAGTGGATGCCCATGCAGGTGGCCTGGGCCTGGCCCAGGACTTTGGCATGGGCGGCGGTCCGGGGGCGGGTCCGCCCACCCACATGTACGGCGCCGTAGCCCCGCAGGATAGTAAGTATTTTCAAGTCGATCTCTGGGTTTTACACACATGTTCGCCATAAGGCGGAACAAAAAATACAAACACTTTATATTTCATTTTTTTTTTTTTTTGCCCAAATTTAATCCCTGAAATCCTTGTCAGATATTGCTGGGAATTAAATTCAAAATTTTAATTAAAAAGAATTTAATTGAACAAATTCTAAACAAATCAAACTATTTAATGCAGAAGCAATAATTAATTAATTCAAACTAAAACAATAAATATAAGGCTTTAAAACATTTTATGAAAAAGATTAAAACCTTACAGAACAACTAATCCCTTTCCTCCCGCAGTAATTGTCCGGGACATGGTGCAAATGCCCCCGCCGCCGCCCTCTAATGCGCCCACATCGGCGGACGCCTGTCTAAGCATTGTCCATTCGCTGATGTGCCACCGGCAGGGCGGCGAGAGCGAGGGATTCGCCAAGAGAGCCATCGAGTCGCTGGTTAAAAAGCTGAAGGAGAAGCGCGACGAACTGGACTCGCTGATCACGGCCATCACCACAAACGGAGCCCATCCCAGCAAGTGCGTGACCATTCAGCGCACGCTCGATGGACGTCTGCAGGTGAGGTAAATGGACGCGCGTCTCTTATCGGGGATGAGTGGCGTCCGTGCGGGTATTTTCGGTTCCGAAGCAAACCTGGGAAATGTACGATTATCACCTTTTCCGTTTCACTCTTACTAGGTGGCCGGTCGCAAGGGCTTCCCGCACGTGATCTACGCCCGGATCTGGCGCTGGCCGGATCTGCACAAGAACGAGCTGAAGCACGTCAAGTACTGTGCCTTTGCCTTCGATCTCAAGTGCGACTCGGTGTGCGTGAATCCCTACCACTACGAGCGCGTCGTCTCGCCGGGCATTGATCTGTCCGGCCTCAGCCTGCAGTCGGGACCCAGTCGCCTGGTGAAGGACGAGTACTCAGCCGGTCCGCTTGTCGGTGGGATGGATATCGATGGCAATGACATTGGCACCATACAGCATCATCCCACGCAGATGGTGGGTCCCGGCGGCTACGGTTATCCACAGGGACCTGGTGAATATGGTAAGGAATATGGTTTGTTTTTTTTTTTTCTTTTCTTGGCTTGATTTTATTAATTTAATAGATTTTTGTGTTTTTTTTTTTTATTTCTTTTGTATTTGTTAACGTTTTGTTTCTATTTTTGGTTCTTTTCATTTCGTTGTTATTATTAGTTGGCGATCCCTTGAGTGCAATGTTTCCCAGCGGCCGTACAATACCGAAAATTGAGCCGCAGGATGGTGTTGTGGGTTCGCGCAGTTCTTGGATGGTGCCACCTCCACCACGGCTCGGCCAGGCCTCCCAGCAGCAGCAGCAGCAGCAACAGCAACAATCCCAGCAGCCACAACCCCCGCCGAACCCTCAGCAGCAGCAGCAAACCCAACCCCAAGCCCAGGCTGCCGCACATCCGCTCTGTAAGGACCAATAAAGTCCTTGATAATCAATTAAGATAACCTCTTAAATCCCTTTTATTTTTTAGTTTTGTTCATTTGTTAGTTCATATTTCGCCCTAAGTTTCTCATCCTTCTTCCTTAAACTTTATTTACAGCCGTACCTCATGGCATGCCGAGCATGCCTGGCCCCATGAATCCTGTAATGGCGCCCCCACCTCCGCCCCAGCAGCAGCAGGCTCAGAATCCCCAGGGCAATGGGGTGCACCATAACCAGGCTAATTCCCCCACAGATCCCGCCACCGCCTTGGCCATGCAACAGCAGCAGCAGCAACAGCAGCAGCAACAACAGCAGCAGCAGCAGGCGGGGGGTGTTCCCAATGGAGGTGTTAATAGCAGCAATGGGGCCACTGGCCCTGGACAGTACTATGGCCAGCCGCCGCCCGGCAGTCAGATGCAAGGAGGGGGAGGCAGTGGCTCGGTTCCGTCCACTGTGCATGCCCAGCAAAACGGCTATGTGTCACAGTCGGGACCTGGGGGAGGCACTCCATCCGTTGGTGGCTTTGGCGCTGCTCCAACCAACGCCCAGCAGCAGCAGCAGCCACCGACTGGAGTGCAGGCCAATGCGGGATCTGCTGGTGGTGTGGCAGCTCAAGCTGGCGGGGGAGGTGGTGCAGCAGGGACCTGGACAGGTCCCAATACACTCACCTATACGCAGTCCATGCAACCGCCCGATCCGCGATCCCTGCCAGGAGGATTTTGTAAGTTTTTATTTCATAATTCAATCGAATAGATTCAATCGGACGATTGAATATCATCCTGATAATTTTTCTTTTTCTTCAGGGAACTCCACGCTCTCAGGTGACCTGGGTTCGCCGCAACAAACCCCACCACAGCAGCAGCAACAGCAGCAACAACAACAGCAATCGCAGCAACAGCCACGTCTCCTTTCGCGCCAACCACCACCGGAATACTGGTGTTCCATAGCCTACTTCGAGCTGGACACACAGGTGGGCGAGACCTTTAAGGTGCCATCAGCGAAACCGAACGTCATTATCGATGGCTATGTGGATCCTTCCGGCGGCAATCGCTTTTGTCTGGGCGCCCTCAGCAATGTTCATCGCACTGAGCAATCGGAGCGAGCCAGGTGGGGTTCTTAAGGATTTTTTATTATGTACTTGTTTATTATTTATTATCAATTTTTAGGCTGCACATTGGCAAGGGCGTGCAGCTGGACCTGCGTGGCGAGGGCGACGTTTGGCTGCGCTGCCTCAGCGACAACTCGGTGTTCGTACAAAGCTATTATCTGGATCGCGAGGCGGGTCGCACGCCTGGCGATGCCGTGCACAAGATTTATCCGGCGGCCTGCATTAAGGTGGAATATAAATAGAAATATAAACATAAAAAGCCTGCTTATAAACTCTGTTTTTTAGGTGTTTGACCTGCGCCAGTGCCACCAACAGATGCACTCACTGGCCACCAATGCCCAGGCAGCGGCCGCAGCTCAGGCAGCAGCCGTGGCCGGCGTGGCCAATCAGCAGATGGGCGGCGGCGGCGGTGGCGGTGGTAGAAGTAAGTTTTTACACAAGATAACATTTCAAGAACTAATTTAACATTTAAAATATTATTTAAGGCATCACTGCAGCCGCTGGGATTGGTGTGGACGATCTGCGTCGCCTCTGCATTCTGCGGCTGAGCTTCGTCAAGGGCTGGGGACCTGACTATCCGCGACAGTCGATTAAGGAGACGCCCTGCTGGATCGAGGTGCACCTGCATCGCGCCCTCCAGCTGCTGGACGAGGTGCTCCACGCCATGCCCATCGATGGGCCGCGAGCGGCGGCCTAATCATCTACGTTTAGGATTCAGTTAAGGGCAGCTTTCCGGTCTTCATTTGCACGTTTATGTTTCTTTGCCTTTGATTATTTAATAATAATGATTTTTATAAAAAATTAAAAATTGAACAAGTGGGCGAGCAGTCTTAAGTACGCAGCTAAGCATCTAGTTTTATGTACAATATATTTAAATATACAAACTTACCCGCACACCCACACAGCGACCATTGACAAGGCGGCAAGTGTTAGTTCGGTGCCCATTTCCTGCCACGCGAATCACCACCAGAAACATACACACAGCATTGCAACAATCATCCAAGCCAACGGGCGAAACAAAAATAAGAAAAAAAACATCGATGCACACATAAATACATACATATGATGTAAAATGCAAACGTACACACATAAGGCAAAAGCAAAACAAGTAGTTGTAATATAAGTGTAATAAACAGAGCATAAACGAACGAGTGCATGCGTTTTTTGAGTGTAGTTTTTATACCCTTGCAGGGTTTCCAATGAAGGAATCCTTTTTAAAAAGTCGTTGGCCCATTTTATTAATTTAAAAAATCTCAAAATCGAATAACAAAACACATTCTAATGGAAACAAATTATATATCCCCATTCCCTAATAGCTTCCTATGCGTAGCTCCACCTGCTGGTCCAGCCAGCTAATCCAGTCCGGCGTTATCGGGCGCTGCAAGGTGATCTCGTGGAAGACCTCCACTCGACACGTTTCCACAAATCGGAAAGTCTCAAAGAGATGAACTGAGGCACTGTTGTCCATGTCAATTTTGACCTCGAACTTGGCCAGCTTGAGCAGATCCTGGGACTGGGCGTACTTGAGCATCAGGAGCATGGCCTCACGACCATAACCCTTGCCCCTGGCACCTGGCTCGGCAATCATGATTTCCGCCTCGGCCACTTGTTGATCGCTCTCTGGATCTGGATGCAGGAAGAGATTTGTGTCGCCCACCATGGCGGCAATTTCGTCCTGACTCTGGGCGTAGATGGCGGCATCAAGGATAATGAATGTGAGTTTGTCGCTGTCCTCGCGCCAACTCCTCTGCATCTCGTACTCCTCGTCCAAAGACAGCTCCTCGGAGGCGGTCAGTTGGCGGAGGGTCTCGCAGCTCATCCAGTCGTGGTATTTGGGCACATGGCGGGCTTCGTAGGGAACCAGGATGACTTTACGACCCAGTATTTTCGTTTTTTCATTCAAACGCATCTCGTGGGAACTTGGGCCTTGGAAAACTGTACAATTTGTGAGGGCTGTGGGCTTGTTTACAGAATCGAGATGTTCTGGCTTCCATATTCTCTATTTTCTTAAATATCCCACATTTCTGGGTTGACTTACTTGTATATTATATCTATTTTTTAACATTTTTATATTTACATTTTCCAATTTTTAATTCTTAACTAGTAACTCCGATTTCCAGCCAATCGAAATCGAATTCGGGAACGCCTCCGACAAAACAGCTGTTAGTGATACCAGATCTCGGATCCAGTGAGCGGTCACACTCATAGAGTTGCCAGACCATCTTATGGACTTTATGGGCGTACTGCTTGCCCGGCCGAGTTGGCGTTGCCACTGTTTTTTGGAAAATGGGCGTGGTTCCGCCCCTGGTTTTTTTTTTAGGAAAAAATGGAGCTGACTGGATCCGCGGAACCTCTTCACCGACATTGCCGAGCCTGCGGCAAATTCATCTTCTGCAAGAATCCGCGGAACCTCTTCACCGAACCTCACTGCATACAGCTCCACCAGATCGAGGCAATAACGGGACTTTATGTGAGTTTTCGGCGTCAGTCCAGCTGACACGGTCAGACAGGCTGATGAGTTTCACCTAAAACTTGACTTATCGGCAGTTGCTGGAGGGTTCCGAGCTCGATTTCCCCGTCTTCATTTGCGGGCCTTGCGAGGTGTCGCTGCGGGAGGCTGTACGCTTTCGGGAAAGGATCATTCTTACCCAGAAGACACTGCAGAGCAGTCGCGGCGCTCTAGTGGATGAAATCGAAGAAGGAGGCGATCTGCAGGATGTGTCGGAGCAGCCCCTGAAGGACTCGGTCGAGCTAGAGGAAGTGGACCAGCAGGAGGTGCTTAACCTGGAAGAAATCACACAATATGAGGTTACAGAAGAGCAGATATTTGATGCAGTCGGGGAACTACCCCTTGAGGAGGCGGACAAGAAGGTAATCCCGGAGGAGGCTAAGGAGAAGAAGCGGGAAAAACAGAGGGAATCCGTGCCATCAAAAGCCCCTCGCCATCCCTACACATCTGTGACCTTTGCGGACAACAGCGACGCCCGAAACCAGCCCCGCGTTCAATGGGACAAGCTCACCGAGGAGGAAGTGGTCGCCTTGAAGCGAGAGCGCCGCAAAAGGGACTGTATTTGTGAGCAGTGCGGTCGGCACTTCTCCTGTCCCAGCAACTTCAAGGTGCACCTGTTGCGCCACACCGGTCTGAAGAGCTTTGCCTGCACCGAGTGCCCCCAGAAGTTCTACACTGCCCATCTGCTGAGACGGCACCAGGACATGCATTCCGGCGAGCGTCCGTATCCCTGCCAGTTTTGCGAGATGACGTTCGCCAATACCAGCGTGCGAACGCGGCACGAGCGCATGTAAGAGGGTTATTTTTTACGATTTTAATAGTTTTTGTATTTAAATCCTTCGTCATTCCTTCCAGTCGCCATACAAATATCAAGCCCTTCAAGTGCACAGAATGTGATAAAAGCTTCGCCGTGAGCGGCAAACTCCGGGAGCACATGCTCACGCATACGGGCGAGCGAGCCTTTCAGTGAGTATAACCTCCTTTAAAGTGGGATTAACCCTATGATAATCCCGCCTTCCAGCTGCGAACCCTGTAAAGCCTCGTTTGTCCGACGCTCGCATCTCTTGGCCCACCTCCGTACCAAGGGCCATGCCCAGAATGCAAGTGTCCAGGACTCGGCCTCCAAGGCAATGGATCTCGACGTGGAGACGGTGCTGACCTCGTGTATAGATCAGACTTAGTGATCCGGAGAAAGCTTTTAAAATAAATGAACAACATTACATTTTTTTAAATTAGACCGCCGTTATCGAATACTCCACTATCGAATACTCGATAGTTTATGGCTCTTGAAATCGATAGGCGATAGGCGCGATAAACGCGTCTTGCAAATTTTTGGTAAAACAAGAAAATCTGTGATTTTAATAATTTAACGCTACACAAGCCAGTACACAGTGCACACTAGCTCCGAATAGCTCCGGAACTATAACATCTTGCACCTACAGTTAACCAGAGCTTGCAAAGCTTCTGTGCCTTGTCGTCACGTGCGGCATTTGCACAAACTTGGCATTTGTGGTTTTATTGTTCTTGCCTCCAAGGACCTTGAAGGAGTGCCTGTGCCTTGGTAGCTACTTTTGCCCTGGGATTTTGTCAAGCAAACGGGACAGAATCCATCGCGAAAGACGCAGCCTAAGAGCCAAACAGAGACAAAAAACACAACCGTAAGAATCGCGAGTGGGAAAGAGTGGGACGCGGTGTATCCGGCGCGGGGCTTCTGGCTTAACCAATGTGGCACTTCCAATGAGGAATCAATTGCAAGTCGTTGGATGCTCTCAGTATTGGTTATTGGCGAGATTGGCCCCCAGGCAGCTATAGTTGTTGTTCCGCTTAGTCCGAGTAATTTTCCCCCAATTTAGTTGTCGCACCACTCGTAAATGTCGGAGGCGGTAGAGACCAAGCCTGCGGTGGCTACATTTCCAAAGGAAACCACCGGACAGCCACCAGTTTGCAAGCGGCCACGGCTGGAGGATGAGGAACAGGAGCTCAAGGTGGCTGGGTTCTCGCTGAGTGCCATCGAGGAGATGCGTCAGACGCGGGACAATGAGCTCCAGAGCGAGCCCATGGACCAGCAGCTCCGGCAGTTTCAAGTGCTCGACGAGGTTGGCTATGCCAGTGATGAGGCTGATGATTCAGGTGAGTTAAGGATGGGTTTGGAAATGGAATTGGATGATTTTTGAGATGATATCATAGATTAAGGGCTAGGAATTGTTATTCTTTGACTATCTAAATTTATCTTTCATTGTCTATCTTAGGATTATTTTTAAGTAGAGAATGTTGGATTTTTGTTGGGTTCTCTCAATGCAAAGTGCAAGCAATAGCGAAGGCGATTTCTGATTTTGTAAGATTCCCCCCGATTGTTTCCTGTGCATTGCCACTTCATTATCTCGGAGAAATCACTGGCTTTATCATTGTGCAAATACAGGAGGCTGATAGATAGAGAAGCAGGCAGGCAGCCTCAGTTATATTTCGGATTCCTGTGGCTCAGGTGGCTCTGTGTCTTGTGGCTGGCTGTCATGCGAATGATACCAATTATCCGGCTGGATTGGCCAGCCAAGTCAGGTATAGTTCTGTAATACAGGAGGTCACATGTTTATTTATGTAGATTATCATGTTTATTATTACTCATCTAACCATTCGTCTGCTTAAATAAAGAAATTTCAACCGAACTGAGAGTGGATTTGAGTGGCGTTCCTAGAATATCAGAGTTTCGTATTTTCATGCAAAGTCAAGGTATCTTGGTATCATACCCAGCTTTTATAGTTAAATTTGATAGATTTCAAGGCGAATAACCAGTATAAAAGCAAAGATTCTTTACTCCAAAAATGGTTTCTTGCTGTCGTTTAATGTTTACCTCAGATTCCTACCTTTAAAGTCAATTATTAACCCCGATCTATGCAATGATTAACTGTTAAACAGATGCCAGCGACAAGTACGCAGGTGAAGATGGCGAGGACGAAGAGGAGCCGGCCGATGGCGAGGGCGAGGAATATGACTCTTCCGAATTCGATGACGAGGAGATCGAGAACCTGCTGGACGAGAAGCTGCCCGACGAACTGCGCGACTCCAAGCGACCCAAGTACGAACAGCGTTTCAAGACTGTGCTCGAGGGTAAGTAAGAGATAGCTCACTGCAGGCTCACAATTAACCCTTGGGTAATATTTCCAGAGAAGCGCCTCAATCACTTTGAGGTGTTGCCAGAGGGCTGGGTGCAGGTGACCCACAACAGCGGCATGCCGCTCTTCCTGCACCGCAAGACACGCGTCTGCAGTGCCTCAAGGCCTTACTTTCTGGGCACGGGCAGTGCCCGTAAACATGCTGTGCCCTTGGGAGCTATACCCTGCTTGAACTATCGCAGAGCTCTGGAGGAGGAAACCGAGGCGGAACAGAGGAAGCCCACAGAGGAGTCTGCGGCGCCAGTGGGCGTGTGTCCCATAACAGGGGCCACAGCCACAGAAGCAGCTCCAGCTAAAGTCATGGATGGCAAGGAAAACGTAGCAGAAGATGTCGATATGAAACCCGATGGCTTGACAGCTCACATGCCAGCCGCCAAAATAGTCACCGTGAACGAGAACACACAAAAGGAGTCCATAACCCCAGACCAGCTGAACAGCTATTGCCAAAAACTCTTCAAATTCAAGGTGATTCGTGTGCTGCGATTCCGGAGCTGGAATGCTCGTCGCAAGTTCATCAAAAACCGCAAGCACATAAAGAATATCCAAAGGCCCACGCTGCCCGACGGCACCAAGCTGATCAAGTTCCCCATTTTGGCCGCCTCCGGCGACGGCGGAGCCATGAATCCGCGTGGCCGCAAAGAGTGGATCATGAATCCCAATGGCAAGAGCTTCGTGTGCATACTGCACGAGTATGTGCAGCATGCTTTGAAGACCCAGCCCACGTACGAGTTCAAGGAGTTGCAGAATGCAGCAACTCCCTATTCGGCCACCGTTTCGGTGAATAATCTCAAGTACGGCACTGGCTATGGGACCAGCAAGAAGCAGGCCAAGTCGGAGGCGGCTCGCGAGACCCTGGAGATACTCATACCCGATGTCAAGGACAAGATAACGGGCAACAAGGACCAGAAGAGCGGCAGTGCCAAGAAGGCGCAGAGCGATTTGTCTGTAAGCTTTGCTCTTTTCCTATTTGATTTTTAGTTAAATATGTACCCCTTTTCTTGAAGGTTTTTGACGACATTCGCATTGAGGATCCGCGGGTCACCGAGTTTTGTAATAAAACCACAGAGCCATCGCCTAATGCCATATTGCTGACGTGCCTGCAGCGCAACTACGGCAGCGATGTCCAGATCAGCCAGGAGATCAATCGGACGCCGAACAACAAGAATGAGTTCACCATGACTGTGGGAAAGCACACCGCCAAAGTGGTGTGCAAGAACAAGCGCGAGGGCAAGCAGCTGGCCTCCCAGGCGATCCTTCAGGTAGGGCCCCCAATATATTTTTTAAACAGTTGCTAAACTCACCCGAAACATTGCAGATCTTGCATCCTCACATCATGACCTGGGGCTCACTGCTCCGGTTGTATGGCAACAACTCCATCAAGACCTTCAAGGAAAAGAAACTGGAGGAACAGGAGATCACCGTGCTGCAGAGCAAGGCTGCTGTGAATCAACCCAACTATGCCATTCTGGACAAGCTGAAATGCGAGATGCTAAAGCTGTGCGCCAAGCAGGAGAGCGTCCTCACCAAAGGCACCTTTGTCCCGCCCAGCGACGTCGATCTACCCACATCTTCGGGCTCCAATCTAAACAATGTCGAGCTTTAACTCAATTCTCTCTACACTTCATTTGTGACAAATAATTATTAGATTTTTTCTCTAGAGGCAATAACGAACTGACTTTACACGGCCTTAAGTATCGCAGCATTAGTAGCATGTCATTTTCCATATATATTATTATAAGCTTCAGTTTGGAGGAAGGGTTAAGAACGTTGCTTAAAACTAAATAAATTACATTCAAAATAAATAAATAAAATGTCTTTGTATTTGGATATTAAAAACTGTGTCAAAACGAGTTTAAAGATAGTTTAAATTTATTGTGGAAAATAAAATTAAAAAGGCGAACAATTTATGTTTTTAAATATTAATAAAATCAATAACATTTTCAGATATATTTTAGTATAGGTATTGTTTTTATTAACATACAATTTTTTTAAGTTTTTTTTTACTTTTCATTAGAAAATTTTCTATTTTATGCTTTTAGCTTAAAAGAACTCATATTATATCCCATATACTTTCAAGTTTCAAACTTTAAAAGCAGCTGCATAATTTATTCCCGTTTTCGCTAAAGAAAAACAGCAATTTATCAATGTTTACGCAAATATTTGATTAGCTAATTTGGCCATAAATCTTGTCTTTATCAGGTCCGTCGGGATGGCTTATGTTTTTTTTTAAAGAAAATACTCTCGGAAACTAAGTAGTTTCCGTTTAACTTTAAATGATTTTAATCAAAAATAAACGAGCATAATTAAATTAAACATTTGTCAACAACTTTAAACATAAATTGTGGGCGTTAAAATGTGAAATTCAGGATTTATTTCCTTTTACTAGACTCTCCAGCAATTATTTATCAATGTTTATGCAAATATCGCCCATTTTTGTTTAGCTAATATTCCCGTAAATCTTTCCTAATCATTTCGCATCGGCTGCCATGTGTGTTTTGCTCAAAAACAAACCATTGACCTTTAACCAATTTCGGCAAAATGTTTAAAAACTCATATAAAAATGTATAAAAAAAGAATGAAATATTTACTTGGTCATTAGAGGGGGGTGTGGGTCTTGGGGCCTGGGCAGGTGAGCAGATGTAAATATTTAAAACGCAGGCAGGAGGTGTGTGTGTGCGTGCAATTATTTAAAAGACGATGCAGTCATAAATTATGCTACATTTTCATTTCATTCTAACGCTTCCTTTTTTTATGGCATTCCAACGACAGACATATTTATAGGGGGGCTCCACAGAGAGCCACAGAAAGAGAGAGAGAGCCAGCTGAGAGCGACGCCTGCGCAGTGTCCTGCCACCGTTAGCTGCGTTTTGCGCAGCAGCCCTGCTGCGAGATGAAGCCTTCGTTCACTTGGCCAAAATCCGTATCTGTATCTTCAGTACGGATTCTTCGCGTGACGAGTACGAAACTCCGGTTGTGGTTGTCGTGGCCCCAGCTTTATAGATGTTCTCGTCTGCGATTTATAATTAAATCACAGTAACTCGGAACACAGAGAGAGAGAGAGAGAGAGAGGAAATAAAAACGAAAAATAAAAACAAATAAAAACAGAAACTAAAACATAACAGCCCCCGCAAAAAAATCAAGAGAAGTCCCTAAAAAAATAACCAACTGCAGCTTTCGAGCATCATTTTTATTGACATTCATCTTAGTCGCCTGTCCGCCTGTCGCCTGTCACTGTCCCCAAATCCCTGGCCCCCGGATAACCACCGACTAAGCCCCCGGTACTCACCCGTCGTGGTCGTCGTGTGTCGCGTGTTGCAAGTGCGTGGGTCCCATCAAATCACTGGATATATCAGCCGTACCGACACGCGCGCCGTTTTTGATTTTTCGCTTAGCGGCACAAAAATTGGGTCTCCCCAAAAAAAGAGCAAAAATCGAAAAAATCTACGGGAGTATATACAGTGCAGAGGCAGCTCGTGTCGCCTCTTGGATTCTACAGACACAAGCCGCCGCCGACTCTGTGTATACATTGTGTTTAATGCATTTCCCAGATATGTAAATCATGCCGAAATTCTATTGGAATTTTTGTCAACGCCAGTGAATTTGGTAAACAGCCGTAGCAGGAGTAGGAGCAGCCGTTCGCCAGGATAACCCAGCATCGTCCTGCGAAGGAGCCACGACCAAGACAGGTAAGCGGTAGAGCATTAGGCGCCAAGTGTCAGCGGCGAATGCTGCTGGAAAATTCAATAATCCGCCGCAGGGCGCCCAATTGTCCCCCCCATACACACGGAGATAGAGACGGAGTCCGGAGGGGTGGCCAGCCTGCCCTGCTCTTCTCCGCCACCCAAAAAACCCGCTCCGTGCTTCTCATCCGGGCCCATACTGAATGTACATATAAACACAGCCACAAAAAGAACGTACCTCTAAAAGATATTGATATTAAAAATGATATTGGAAAAGTCTTGGTTTTTTGGTAATTATTTTACGATTCGCAAATGTCTATAATTGTTTTAAAACTATTATTTAGGCAAATCAGATTCAGGCAATGGTTGTTAACTATGAGCAGAAGTTGTGGTTTTATTTATATTTTTTTTTATATTTCTGAACAATTTTATAAAACCTAAATAAGGGCTCATACCAACAGGTAATGGATTATTTTATTTGCTTTGATGATACATTGGCTATATTAGAGTTTTTAATATTAAAGAGGCTTTAGCTAGGGTATTAAATGGAAGTGTATATATTAAAGGTTAGATTCATAAACTTTAGGAAATCTGTAAATTTAATTAAATAATTTAAAAGTTATCAATACAACAACTTCATTAAAGTTTTGCTTTATATGAGATTTTATAGGTCTTTTTAGATACATATTTTAATTTTAATCTATAGAGATATAAGGGTGAAAGAAATCAAAACAGCATTTTCTCTACTGCCCTTTGATTTTTACAAATGTTTTTTTCAATCTACTTTTTCGCTGGGTGCATCCGTACATATAGAATGTATTTTCGCTCGGCTCTGCCTGTAGTCTGTTGCGTCCAAAAGTAGGTTGACTTCGGTCTGGTTTTAGGGTCCGCTCTGTTTTGCGTTTTGTGCTGCGATTGGCCTTTGTTGCGCCGCAGTTTGTTGCCACCAATTGTCGCTCGATATATCCATTTAGTTTCGGTTTCGGTTTCAGTTTCGGTTCAGGTTTCGTTTTCACTTCCACCTAATTTTGGGGAATGAGACAAACGACTAAATAACAAATAACAAATAGCAGTAAATAAGTAAAGAGGCCAGATGTGAACAAGGTTTTGTATATGTTTACTTAGCGTTACGCGACTCGAACTCAACTTTACTGCGGGAAAAGTGACCTTTGAAGTTTTGTTAAGCAAATCCAGGTAATGCCGTCCGTCCCCAGGATGCCCCCGGGACATCCATTCGCTCCTCCGGTTTTGAGGAACCCTGGCGGAACCAGGGACTCCCTCTCGCTTACCTCGAGACAAAGGCTTTCTAGGAAACACTGGAGTATTACGGACCCTTCTTAATGCGTTTTCCTTTCCTTCCGTGCTTCCGTCATTGTCGGCTCCTTTTCCTTGTCATTCATCAATATTTAAAAAATATAAAAAAAAATATGTATTTTCTTTTAAGTTTCATTTAATTACGGTTGATGAATTTGCCGAATTATAAAGGTTTTCTTTAATTTACACTTGCAGTTAATGTCCTTAAACATCAATTAGGATGGGGTCTAATACTTTATAAAAAGGGTGATTGGAGTCCGTAGAAATCAATTTTAAACTTAAAGTTTTAATGTGGCTTTGGGAATAATTTTTGAAATTTGATTTTAGTTTAAAGATAATAAAATAATAGGAATACCCTCTCGAAATCCTTTTATAAAAAATGGGAACGAATTGAAGCACAAACAAATTTAATTTTTCAAGTATTTAATTTAAATTAAATCCTGGCTTTAATCTCCTTCACATTGCCAATTCTGACTTCAGTCCCACTTAAAACACCAAAATATACACACATTTATACCTTATTATTCCTCAAGGATAAAAAGCTGCTCCCGCACGTTAGGTTTTTGTTTTTTAATAATGCTCACATTCCTCGGAAAGTTTGCTTTAATTAATATTCCAAAATGCTAAACAGACGAAACCAGACAAACAAAACAAACACAAAGCCAAACGAAAATATTTATGTAAACCTGAAGAAGGAAAGTTAGTTACCAAAAGCTGGAGATGGAAATTTTTGAAGGATGGGAGGAGGGATGAAGGTGGCACTTTGACAGGGGGCAGAGTTTTCCCCTTTTCTCCCCTAAGCGTTTTTCTCGGCGACGACGGGTTGCAATGGCAACGATCCGCAAAAAGATGGCACCGCAAGGTGTCCTTTGATGTCTGATAAGCAAATCCTCGGCAATATGACACCTTCGGCTCGATGCCCAGTTTCCATTTTCGCCCATTTTCCAACCGCGCCAAGAACAAATCGGAAAGGCGACGGAGGGCTATCGGTGCGTGTACTTAATAATGCAAATACCCGCAAAAACTTTTCTGGAGGGGCGACCGGGCGACTGACAGAAAATTCCAAAAGGGGCTTATCAAATTCTTAGAATGGCTTTGCCAAGAAATAGAAAAGTAAGCCAGAAAAATCGTCTTGCTCGACGGTCGCCGGCCAATTTGGTGTGGTAACAAATTATCACTTGGCCGGCAAAATCAATAAACATTAATCTTGTTGCGATTTTGTCTATATCCCGCCCGTTATTTGCATAGTTAATGGCGGCGAACCGACAGATTTTAAGTTCAATTGGATGCGCATCCAATTGTTATTAAAATTATTGCCCTGCCGGCTAAGCTGATTATGCTCTCCTTGTAGTTTTGAATGCGAATCGATTTCTGGGGGGAAAGCCATAAGCCTGTCTTGTTTATTTAACTGGAAACTGTGTGAGGAATTCGTTTGCATTTGCATTTGTATAATTAAAATAGAATATGGGAATTAATATTGGCCCTTGGGCATATTTTCGGTTGTTCAAGGTGTGCTGCTCGAAGGGCAAAGAAGTTGCAGAGGAAACACACGGAAAACAAGGATTTAGGATATCTTTGAAGAGAAAATAAAAGGAATTATAAGCAAGAGAGGGAGTGGGTTTTTTGTTTAGATTTTAAAGCTTTCAAGAAAGAGTAAATACATTTTTTATATATTTTAAGGCTTCCTTTAAGGGCTCAATAAATATTTTTACATTTATGTCAACTAAATGTTAATATTCTATTTCCACTCTTAAGGCACAGCTTCTTGATCTTCCAAGTTTAATAACCCCCGAAACCGTTCAACTGAAACTTCTTTGATGTTAATTAAACTCCAATCGACCGTTCTGAGGAGATCATTTCTATTTTCTCAGTGGCAATTAACACACAGAAATGCTCACATACTTAGATATGTGTGTACCAAGGGTCGGGCAGTTGTCGAGGCAAAACTCCTCCAAAAGCCAACCTCAAGGACTCTCCGTTGCGACGTAGATTGAATCTTGTGTGTTCAACATGGCGTATACATAATGTATAAATGAGTTTTCTTCGGCGGCAGCGTGACATGTGAGTTTGCCATTAAAAGGGAAAATGAAATGATTCTGCTAATAGACCCAGGGGATTTCTTTTTGATTGGCCGCCTTCGGACGTGTCCTCATTCCCCCATAATTCGCACATTTCCATATTGATTTCATGGAAACGTAAAGTGATGCCCCCGCAAAAAGCAATCTCATCGATGGTAGGCAACTTTACCCCATGAAATTAAAATTTAATTTCAATTAACTTATCACATCGTTGCCAGCATCCGACACCGACGCCCGAAACCCGACACCAATCGGGATTCCTAAGCCCCGTCACCGACGCCATTGAACCCAGGCTAATCTACCACAAAATACCTTGGGGAGAGGGGCGGGCCTAGCGTAGAAAGGCTCCTCCTCCTCCGTCTCCAACCATTACCTTGCCAACTTACCAACTTACCAGTTTCCCAACTTGCCACCTTGAAAATTTCATAATTAAACGTTGCCCGAGCACCCTGTCCAGGTCCAGACTGAGGCACATAGCCCTGGGTGACATCTTCAAGAATTCTAATTAAATCATCCCGACGAACTTTTTGAGGACTTTCTATGTTGATTCATGTTCCATGTGGCAGCTGCCCCCAAGTTTTCCACACGAAATCCGTAAAGCGAAAAAATAAAATAGACCGAACAGCAGCAAAATTTCGAAAAATGAAATGGAAAACTTTTGCGCCCGGTACGGTCCAAGAATTTCACTTGATTTCTATTTGTTGTTCTTCTGGCTGTCCCATCCCCCCCCTCGCATCCTGAGTTTTCCTCGTTTCCCCCGATTTCCTCGTTCCTCTCATGTTTTCCCTTTAGATCTTAGCCATTTACCGGTCCGTGTGTTTCATGCCGACTAATTTGTGGTGTTTGCTTTTCGGTCGCTTCTGACGGGGATTCCCCCACCTTCGAGGATTATGCAAAGCTAGCAGGGGAATAGGAGTATCAGTATCTCACACGACAAAAAACTTAACCATATCTTTAACAGTTTTGTCATCCTTTTTTTTATCTGACAACAGAAATTGGTAGGGATTTCAGATAAAAATGGTTATATCGCCTAAAAGCATGTTGAAGATGTACATAGTTGCACTTTTGTTGCTATATTGAAAGAAATGTTTCGAATTTTCAGGGAAATTGATTGACAAAGTAAGGATTATTTTAAGGGTATTGAGAAACATATAGTTAATAGAACAAATAGAGAAATTATAACTAACTATCCTCTTCTCCGTTATCATTTTTATTATATTTTTTCCAATTATTATATTATAAGATTTTTCTTTTAGATCCCAGTTTTTTTTGCGCTGTGCACAAAGCCACCGCCAAACTCACTCACTTGCTTTCGGATATGTACAAGATTCATAGACTCATAAATCTTTGAGTATTGAAAAACCATTTTTGCCTATAAGAACTCATGCCGAAAAGTTTATCCGGCATACAAGCTTTCCGGCTGGCGGCGTCAGGCCGAAGGGTGCGGGATCCGAGGAAGGGCTTCATAGGATGGGAAATAGCTGCTATCGGCGGGGGATGGAGAACGAGGCGGCACGGGAAACATTCACGAACTTGGCTTGAGGTGAAAGCAAACAACGTGACGCCGGACAACGAACACCAATGACGGTGTACAACACTGAATGGCAATTTAGC